GATCCAAAACATGACCAGGCACAGCGGTTCAAAACTAGAATCCCAGAACTCAAGAGGCAGAGGCAGGAGGAATAAGAGATCAATGCCAGCCTGGGTTACATCATAATAAGATCTAGCCTCAAAACACACACACACACACACACACACACACACACACACACACACACAAACACGGATAGGGTAATTCAGCTCACGCCCAAGGCCAGGGATCAGCAGCAGCAGCAGCAACAAAAAGCAAGAATTGAAACAGACAGTTGAAGTAAAGACCAAGAGTCTGAAAACCCAAAATTAATGGAACCCTAAAGTTTGAACTTTAGGATTAGGGCAACTGAACTCAGATGGAATGAGAACTACAGAAACAAAGGTCTTATGCTACTGTCTGTTCTTTTCCAGAACTTTGAAATATTTTTCTAATTAAACATGTTAAAGATTTAGAAAAACTGACAAGAAGGGGCTTTAATTTACATACAGCCAAATAAATTCTTAGTGAAGCTTTTCAAAAACTGGTAAGAGATACACTTTTATAGCTGGTACCCACACACTCTATAAATGATACACACTAACAGCTCCTCATTTTTACTAATTTGTCCTAAGGACATTACCAGAAAAATGTGCAAAAAAATACCATAAAATGTTCATTACAGCAGAGGAATGGTTAAATAAATTACAATGTATCTAGGAGTGATTACTATACTTCCATACAAAAATAAAATGGTCAGAAGTAATAGAAATTAGCTTTTGGCAAAGGCAGCCAAAATGACAAACACAAAGGGAAAGGGGAAAGGCACCTGCTTTTAGGCTTTTTAGGAAACAAAGAGTTGTTCCTTTGGGCATAGTCATGCAAGTTAACAAAAAGGGTGCTATAGATATCAAGGGGGAATTAAAAAAGGAATGCCTCAGGCCTGTCAGCATGGCAGAACTAGAAGAGTCAACACACCACCCAGCATGTTGTTGGCGATGTTGTAAACAAGCAAATTAAGGACAAGATTCCTGCCAAGAGAATTAATGTACACACTGCGCACATTGAGTACTTACTGTAAGAGCTGAGATGGCTTCTGAAATGGGTGAGGGAAGCCAAGAGGGCACCTGAGCACTCAGCCACCAGCCTGCCTCACCTGAGAAGCACACTTTGTGAAAACTAATGGGAGGGAGCTGTGCTCAATGCACAGAAAAGGTCTATACTGTTAAATAAAGACATCTGCGGCACAGAAAACACCTACATTTTATTAAATAAAACAATCATTCCAAAAAGGAACTATAGTCTCCATTTAGGAAATTCTCTTTACAAAAATTTAAAATCTACATATATTGAAATACTGAGTTATTTAAGTGGCAGTATTTTTGATTAATTAGAACTTTCTAAATTTTCTAAAATAAGCATGAGTATAATAAATTTTTAAGCTTTCAAAAATTCTTATTTCTTCCATACTAAAATAATGATTTGTGGTTTATATCTCCTTATAAAATGTAAAACCATCAGTTTTTGCAAATCCTAGATTGTCTAATAGAGAAACTAGTTTACTTAGATTTTTATTAAATTCTAGTTAGTTCAAGAAATTAATATTATCATTTCATTATACATTAAGAAGAACAAACTCATATAAAAAGCTACACACATGTAAAAATATGACCAGCAAAGAGGACATTCATATAATACATTTTTCTTATTTTATTTATTTCTTATTTATATCTTAAATTCTTTTTTTTCTGGCAGATGTGTGGTGCACATCTTTAATCCCTGTATGCAGGAGGCAGAGGCAGGTGGATCCCTTTGAGTTCAAGACCAGCCTGTTCTACAGAGTTTCAGGCCAGTCAGAGTTACATAGTGAGATCCTGCCTCAAAAATATAATATAAAGAGTAAGTAAAGAATTCTGTTTTCTCTGAGAGAAGGTCTTATTAGATGGCTCAGGTTAGTCTTGAACTCTCAATCTTCCTCTTTCAGCCTCCTGAGTGCTGGGATTACAGGCATGCACCATGATGTCTGAAAGTCTCTTCAATTCTTAGAATGCAGATGTACATCACCCATACTCAAGCTAAAATAATCTTCATTTCAAGTGAAACATCTTATTTCATATTTGAGAATTTTCTGCTAACAGACGGAGAGATTCCTCTGCTTAAACGGTTAGGTGTGGCACCTAGTGTGAGCCTCTGCTGTTGGGATAAGCCTCATAAAACACTTCAGATTAGTCTGTTTATTATAATTTATTTACTACTGATTATCAGTTTGAGCCTGAAGATGGCTCCAAATCACAATGTCTTCATAATCTTTGATGTTGAAGTCTGTCTATGCCTATTTCCTGAGTTCTTTCACAATACTTAAAACACATATCTAAGATTGATGTGGGATTCCCCTATGTATGCTGTGAATACCATTGGTGAATAAAGAAACTGCCTTGGCCTGTTGACAGGGCAGAATTTAGGTAGGTGGGGAAAATTAAACTGAATGCTGGGAGAAAGAAGAGTGGAGTCAAGGAAAAGTCAAGGAGCTGCTGCCAAAGACAGACATGCTGAAACCTTGCCAGTAGGCCATGAGCCTTGTGGTAAAATATAAAATAATGGAGATGGGTCAATTCTTGATGTAAGAGCTGGCTAGCAATAGGCTTAAGTAATTGGCCAAGCAGTGATTTAATTAATACAGTTACTGTGTGATTATTTCGGGGCTAAGCAGCCAAGAACTAACTAGCAGCCTTCCTCCAATATAAGACATCTTGCTTAACACACTAGAGAAACTATCTTTCACTATCATATTATCTAGCTGTCTCTTCCTCCATGCTCATTTCAAGTGATCCTCCATGATTTCTTAAAATTATAAATCTAATTAATCATAAAGTTTTCCCTCCTTAAAGTCCTTGCTTCAAAAACAAAATCCAAATCTTTACCACTGCTTTAAAAATATTGCAAGCCAAACACTGCCTTTCCAGCTGATCTCAGAACAGCTCCTCCCCAGTCTCTAATCCCCTGACATTCCAGGTCCCTACATTATTCTTCTCTCTCCCATATCTCAGTACTCTAAGATCCCAACCTAATGTCACCTCCTTAGAAGCCGCTTCGTTATATGGGCTTCTACTCACTGACACCTGTACCACATTTCCTATTCTGTTTTAATTGCCCAATCATGCTCTATGTCCTGCCAGGAAAGCGGGAACCTATGAAGCACAGGCTTATCATTTCACAGTCAGTCCTTAATGCAATCCTTGACTGAATGTCTTTTAAATTTTTTCCCTTAATTTCTAAGAAGTGAAGGAATTGAAATTTTGATTATAAGAAATTCTACACTTGCAAAACAGTATACAATCAGTTCTTTTCCCCCCATATAATGGTTGTAAAGACCAAATAAGGCAGTGGTTCTCAGCCTTCTTAATGCTACAACCTTTCAATACAGTTCATGACTGTAATTTTGCTACTGTTATGTATTGTAATGTAAATATTTGATAGGTATATGACAACAAAACAGTCAAGACCCACAGGTTGAGAACCATTAAAATAAGGTATGAGAAAGAATAATAAAATATTAAACAAATATCTCCTCACACACTTATTACTGAGTAAATGAGACAATGAATATATAATGATAAATTATACCATTATACTTTTTTCATTATTAAAATGTTAATATAGGAAATATAGAAAAGTTTAGAATAAAATGAAATTCAATTTAGAGGTAAATCTGAGCTAATATGAGTTTTCTAATATTTGCTTCTACTACACATTCAATTTTTAGGGACAAACATACAGATTTTTTTTTCTTTTTTGGATAAATATTTCCTTTTTTTTTTTTTCTTTTTGCTGGGGATCAAACTCAGCCTCATGCCTGCAAGGAGAGAATTCTACCAGCTGAGCTATATCCCCAGACCTGGTCAACATTTTGCTAATGTTAGAGAAATGTATGATAAAACCAAATAAATCTTCTCCAGCTAATGTTCTGGACAATGGCGATAATACTGACAGAACAGAAACAGCTAATATTCACTGAGTTACTTGGGGAAAATGTTCTGAGTGTTTTATATATTTAGTCATGTGCTACACAAAGACACTTTGATCAGTAACAGGCTACATAGAGAACTGAAAATGAAAAATTCCTATCTCCTAGTGACATGGTACCCATCACAAAGTCCTAGTCAATCCCTTACTCATGTGTTTGGAGTAATGATAAAATGGCCTGATGCTAGCATATAAGCAGATAGTAACATAGGCCATGCCTGTAATGGCAGCACCTGAAAGGCTGAAACAGAATGACTGAGTCAGAGATCAGCCTGGGCAATGCAGTGAGACCCTGTCTCAAAAACAAACAAACAAACAACAACAAAAAAAAAACCCCCAAAAAACAGTGCCTACAATTAGGCATTGTACTTGATAATGGTAATAAGTGACTATTACTGCTTTGTGTATATCTTGGCCTATACTTTCAATTATTTTAAAGTATATTCCTACTTATAAGTAAAAGTTTACTGAAAAACAGTACAGCAGCTTCATCCATGTGATATTTGCCTCATCTCCTAAAAGTATAAAGTGGCCATGTCATATGGCTGACCTATACCTTCTAGGTTTGTCTAAATACTATCATGTTTGAATTACAATTTACCCCCAATGTATTCCCACCTAAGCAACACATGCCTGAAAATAAATACATATTTAATTCTCTTAACAATTTGATCAGGTATGGAGCTATTATCACCTTCATTTTGCAGACCAAGAACGAAGACTTGACAGATCTATAAACTTGGCAGAGCTAAATGTGGGCAGTCTGGCTCCAGGGTCCAGCTGCGCAGTACTTTCCTATTGTTACATTACCTTCAACTGTGATTCACTCAAGTTTTGGTTTCTCCAAATCTCCACAAATTTCTATTGGTTAAATTAAATATTTGCTCAAGAGAACAAAACAAAGCCATTCCTACACCTGAGGGGTTGAGTTTCAGTCTCATCAACTTAAAATGTAGACAGAGTTCAAAAGGAAAGTGTGTGTGACCAAAATAAAAACAGTTTTGTTGTGAGCACTAACCAGGATGTGATCTACTCGATCTCTCTTCTTTCTTCCAAATTTCATCATTTTTTGCCAATCTGTTTTGTGGTTTGGCTCCTTCTTAAGACTAAACAACTTGAGTACTTCGGCTGTTATGAAGCGCTGTTGAAATGAGAGGGAAGAAGAAAACACAACCGTAGATATCCTCAGACTCGTGTGCTCATAACTCCAGAAACACATTTATGCCTATACAATATTTCTAGTAGAAGACCATATATTTCTTCTACTTAGTTCCATTTAGCAATATAGAGGGAAAACATCTCAAATACTCAAATTTTATTCACTTAACAAATTTTATTTTTATAGAACATATAAAAATAAAACCACAGAGAAATTACTTTAGAGTGACGTTTTAAAAGAACCACTATTAACTAATAAAAAATATTCTACTTATGTGCATATGTGTGCACGCATGAGTGTGTCCTTTGCAAGAATAGCACAAATGTTTAACTGCAGAGTCACCACTCCAGCACCTCATCAGCTAGCTTTAAAGCACAAACTCTATCTCAGAACTGGAGAAATCCCACATCAATAGTTGGGAGCAGTATTATATGAGAAAAGCACAAAGTTCATTTGAAACACCAACAACACTTCAATAGGAAAGACATGCTGAAGTTCTCTGCTTTATTTTTTTTGAGACAGAGTATTACTTTATAGCCCAGGCCGGTGTCAAACTCATCATAACCCCCTGCCTCAGTCTCCTACATGCTAGGATTATAGGCATGTAGTAATTGGAGCGGCGGGGCTGCGTCCCCAGCACCCCGGCCACCTGCTAGCTTATGCCCCGAAATAATTACATGGACACTGTATTCTTTTAAACACTGCTTAGCCCATTAACTCTAACCCTTACAGGCTAATTCTCATATCCCGATCAACCCATCTCTAATAATCTGTGTAGCATCAGTCTTACCGGGAAAGATTCTAGCCTACGTCCATCCTGGGTTCATCGCGTGTGTCTCAGAGAGCAGAGCTATCGCGTCTGCCCGGGGGAAGGGGAACATGGTGTCTCTGAGCTCACTTCCTCTTCCTCCCAGCATTCTGTTCTGTTTACCCCACGCACCTATGTTCTAACCTATCAGGGCAAGCAGTTTCTTTATTTAATTAACCAATGACCTTCCTCCATCATAGGCACACACCCACACGCCACTATGTGCATCTGTAGCATGACAATTTAACTATTTAACAGTATCTAATCAATCATCCTTAAAATCCTTTTTAAAATTAAAAAAATAAAAAACTTAATATTAAAATGCACATGCAGTATCTAGTCTATGCTGAGTGTGTAGACAAATGCACTTGATGATGGCATATATATCTTTGTCTTAATTTAGCTTATTTGTTCTGTTAGTAACAATTTATGTTTTTATTACTTTTAAAGGTGTTCATCAATCAACAATGATCTCAGTGGAGGAGCAGGACACATTTATCAATCAGAATCATCAGACAAGATTCTCAAACTGTCAATGTGTGCCTCAAACTCCACTACTCCCCATTTATAGACAGGCACACAATGTACACAGAGATTCATTTCTGTGGAATAAACTTATTCCTTCTCTGGAAGGAATAGAGGGTGGAAAAAAAAAAACCCACATTTTGAAAACCTGATAACTTTAAACCAGAGACTGGACCTTTTCTGTAAAGGGTCAAATATAAGTAGTTTAGTTTAATCCAGAGACTGGACCTTTTCTGTAGAGGGTCAGATATAAGTAGTTTAAGTTTGTGGTCATATGGTCTGTGATAACTATCTAACTCCATTGTTAGAACAGGAAAGCAATAAGCACAAACTAGTCTGGCTGTGGTCCAACAAGACATGATCTGTAAAAGCTCATGGCTAGATTTGGCCCATGGCCCATGGTTTGCCAATCCCTGACCACGCATAACACAACTTATAAACTGGTGTCTGCAAGCATAAAATCTTTGTCAAGGGTTTCTAAGATGAAGTTTGAAAAACTCAACTCTTAAACCTCACTGCTCATAAACACTGGAATCAACAGTATTAGCAACTGCACACCTGAGAGCAGAATGTCAGGGTCCTACCTCAGCAGTTCCATCTAACAAGCACTCCAGATGGTTTCTATGTACAGTAACGCTGAGAAGCTGCTCTGAAAAGGAAGCTACCACAGTCAGGCCTAGTGACTGAGGCTATTTATTATCTCAGCACTTGGAGTTCAAGGTCAGCACGGACCAAACAAAACAGAACAACAACAACTTGCTGAGTAAGGAGAATAGACAGAATGGACTGCACCAGTGTGCATGCAGGACCTATAAATTCCGGGGTCACATTCCCTTTCACCATACCGTCTACTCACGGATCCTGTCACAAGTACTTATGGCATATATAGACAAGTGCCGGCTCCTACGTCATTTATAGATCTGTATAAACAAACAACCAGTGGAGATAACTGATAGTGTGCAGTTTACCTTGATTTCATTAAGGTTATTTGGATTTTTCACACGACGAAAATAATTAGAATTGACTCTACATGGCTTCATCCACACAGGCTGATTCAAGTTGGGATCCTCGGCAAATATTTCCTCAAAAATCTCTTTTGTTAAATCAAAAACCGCCTTAAGAGAGAAAAAAAGACCAATAAAAAAGAAAACATCAGTAAGAAAATGGCTGAGAATCCAAATTTCAGAAAATGGGCAAGAAACTCCAGAACAAGGATCTTTTTCTCTTACCTGTTTGTAGACTCGTTTGCTGGTGCTTTCTATGTCCAGACCCTTACTGGCACAGCCCAGCAGCTTTGTAGGGACATGAAGGCTGTGAAGGTCCTGACCCAATTCTTTCCATTTCCAAAGCTCCTCTGCTGCGTTATGCACAAGGCTTTCCACTTCTTCTGCCGTGTGGGGAACTGCCAATAATGTTTCACATGGTTTCTGGGACGCTCTCTTAGGTTCTGCCATTAGAGGTACAATTGTTTCTTCTGCCTTACTCTTTTGAATCTTGTGAGAAGAGCTCAAACCAAAATCTTCATCAAACCAGTCTTGGTCATCTAATGTGCTCAGAAACTCACGGCTGATCTCAAGTTCAGCAAGTCTCTTAGCTAGCTCTTCCTGCCCACTGGCACCAAACACTGGGCTCTCCTATAGAAATAAAACATTCAAATAAAGGACTATTTAGTGACTTCACCTTATTTAATAGCTTTGAAAAGACAAAGCATACCTATTACTTATGTGTTTGATATCTATATGTATGAACAAGAAAAAACTATCCTCTTTCTACTATTCTGTTTATATAAACCTAATCATTAAAATTTATAATAAAGTATTTATTCATTAGTTTGTTTCCTCTTGTAAATCATTAATCATTCTATTTCTGAAGAACTATCACTGGGATTCTGAAATAGGAAATGAAAATTCTTACCTTTGGTGATTATCTGGATCAAATTATACAAAATCATTACTTTTCCTTAGTTATCCATGGGCAGCCTAAACAAGCTGATGGTCTGAGTCTATGTCATAGAGGATATATTTCAGTTTCATCAGAATCAATATCACAACTAGTAATCTCTGTAGGGCACCATAACTGAACAGACAGGTGAAAGAGACTTGGATTGAGAACCACTGCAAAGTTCCAAAGAATCTGGAAGGAGATCTAATGTGTGGACTGTTACAGGGGCCATCAATGTAGTAGTTTAAAAGATGCTTCAGATCCTACAACCTGACAGGGTTCATGACAACCCTATAATGACTACTCATGACATAACAGAGGGCGATTATACTTCTGACAGAAAAATGGCTACAAGTCCTTTAAACACATAGCGATCTGTATCTAATGAGCAGGGGGTTGGGGACCATGCCCACCTCAAGCCACAGAAGGAAAGGTAACCAGACTCTCCTCTAGATAAGATACTCACAGGTCTGGGACACATATCTGGAGAAGAGAGCTCTTCTTTTTCTTCTTCCAACTCAGGTCTTAAAAAGCAACTTGGAACACTGGGTGGTTGTTCCTCAATATTTTGGGGTGGGTCTTGGGGCAGTCCTTCCTTTTGGTGGAGAAACTCCTCATTGCTGACCTGGATCTTCTCATTCCTAGCCTTTCTGATTTGATGTAGTTGGCTCACTGTGTCTTTCACAAAATCTCTCAGTAAGCTGTCTGTTAGTAAGCTGACTGTTTCTAGCTGTTGCTCTGATTTTTTTTCACTTACTGATGACTTCAGCTGAGCTTCTAATTGATTTTTTTCTCGTGTTAGAAGATCCAGAAGTGGGGTAGAAGGCTTTTCTGAAACTTGGGAATACGAGTTCTCTTCCTTCTCTGTAAGCTGCTGCAGCTTTGACTCTTCAGAAAATGTGCTGTCTGGAGTAGCACCTGCAGCATCGGGAACATTTTCTGTGGTGTCAGAAATAAGGGCTTTGTTCTCCTGACAAGAAATCAGGGGATCTACTGAAGATTGTTGGTCAACATGGACGTCTAGAGTCCCAGAAATGTCCAATTTATTATCTGTTTCTATGTTAAGGCTTCTATCTGTGTCCACTGAGGCTTCTATATTATGCATACTAGGTAGCAATTTCTCACAAAAATATTCAGCTATATCATCTTCTCTGTCTTTTAGACATTTTATATCTTTCTGCTCTTGATTATAGTATTGATAATGTTCATCAGAATAAGATTCCTCATCTTCATTTATGTCTATATAGTCATTAAAGTTTTCTAGAATGTGAGATATTTTTTGAGGAGGAGCAAAAATACCATGCTTGTCTTTGCACACAAAATATACAATGCCATCATATGTTCCATTGTTATTTCCTTCAGGTTTATCTAGTTCTACTCCAGCCCAAAATCCTTTAGCGAAATTAGTTTCACCTTTAAATCGAAGAGTGCCTGGCTGAACATTGCCAATCAACACCCTATCCCCAATGTGGAAGTCCAGCAACTCATCTGCCGCAGAAACTGCAGCCAGGGAAAGGGAGTCCGTAACGCCCTGCTCGTGTCCAACGTCACTGCGCTCCTTACTTTTCATCAGCTCAGTCGGGGACTTGAGCTCTAGCAGCCTTTCGGAGTGGACACTGCTATGAATGGAAAGGCTCTTTTCACTGAGGCACTCGCTGATTTCATCCTCACTACCAGAGCCAGGGGCCCTACTTCTAGGGCTCCTTGCTGTCTGAGACTTATCTCTGTAAGACTGTGAGTCTTCCCTGAGTGACGGCGACAACACCTCGGAGTCATCGTTGTTCACCTCTTCAGCAGAAATCCCTTTCTTGAAAGAAGACACTTCAAAATCTTCAGAATATGATGAGTCTTTAGGAGCAAGGAGTCCTGACAAGGCCGAGTCCCCTTGCTCTCTGCATTTCTGCTCGTGGACATCGCTTGCTGACTGGAGGTCTTGACTGGGATCTACACTTTGCTCAGAATGATTCAATACTTCCTCTTTTTCATGAAAAGCTTCAATGGTTGGTTTAACTAAATCTTTCTGAAGATTTGTAGAGTCCGAAGGAAGCTCTTTATTTGAAAGGATTTCAGAGGTCAGGTCTAGTCTCAGTAAGACTTCGGATCTCCCCGACTGCTTCGAACAGGAGTCTCCGGCCTCACTCCTCTCCTGTTCCGGGTATTCTAGTTCTTGTATTTCTGATTTTTGACTAGAATCTTCAGCCTTCGCCTCTGACAGGTCATAAATCCTAGTAGGTGCAGTTAATTCCTTGAGAGGAGGTAATGAAGGTGCACTTTTGAGAGAGTCTCCGGGTTCTTCCTGTGTTCTTCTCGAGGACAGAACTGGAGACGAGGCCTGTAAGCCTTCTTCTGTCCTGTTGTCCAACTCAACCACTCTCTTTGCGTGTGCAGGTAATGACCTTTCTGATATGGTTCTCTCAGAACATGATAATGAAGAATCTTTAAAAAAGTCACATAAAATTATTTAATCACAATCTTTCAAATCTGAGACCCAAAATTTAAATAAAAGCTAAGTCTCAGTTAAGAAAAACTCTGGTTAGTAAACATGGCTTATTCTGGTTATCCTATAATGTTTTCTTTTCTTTTAAGAAAATATACTATATTGAAATAGAGAGAATTAAAATTTTTTAAGTTTGGAATAATTTATAAAGTACCAGGGACTGTTTCTGACACCATGTTTAACAGGATAGTTTCAAACCATGGGAAAACAGGCTGTGCAGAGAATGTTATAGTCTTCAAGCAGAACCTGAAGCTGGAATATACTTCTAGTGTTCTTTTAAAGAATGGATTTTTGGTGACTAGAGAGATGGCTCCACAGTTAGGAGAACCTGCTGTTCTTGCAGCAGACCCAGGTCCATCCCCAGCACCTACATTGGCAGCTCCAGTTCCAGGGAATCTGATGCCCTCTTCTGGCCTCCTCGGGCACCAGGCACACATTTGGTAAACAGACATACATGTAGGTAAAACACCCATACACATACAATAACATTTTTTACAATTTCAATGAACTTTTTTGTAGACCCTAAGTTTTCTGGTGTGTGTGTGTGTATGTGTGAGAGAAAAAAACGGGGAGGAAAGGAGGAAGGCAGAGGACAGAGAAAGAGAGAATATGAAAATATAAGATTATTATATCTGCAAATCTATGACCTTAAGGGATAAAGTGGCAAACTAAGAAGAAAATATGACATAATGAGCTAACAGGATTTGTTCAAATCTCCACTTTATCATTAATGGTAGGAAGGTAGCTTTTATTTGTCCCAGCTTAGTTTCCAATGTTTTGTTTTCAGTAATAATTTTCTAATAATTGTTATCTTTGAGTTAAATCAAAAAATAAAACTACAATCATCTATCATATAATAGATATACAATCTGATTAAGGAGGAATTTAGAGATGATAATAGTAAGCAGCTATATGGTTTTCATGCCTACTTTATCAGAAATATGGGGCAATGAAAACTGATTTAAAAGAACTGAGTGCTGGGACAAAACAGTCACTTGGGAGTCTAAGGCAGAAGGATAACGTGAGCCCAATAGTCCCAATCAGAGTAAGCAACAATCCAGACCCTGTCAGAAATAAAACACCAAGATAAAATCCAAACAATGTAAAATGTTAAATAATTGAGGAAATGAACTCCTTTAAATTAAAAATTTTGTCTGTATGTTTGCCACGTGTGTGAGTGCCCATGGAGTCCAGAAGAGGGAGTCAGGGCCTCTGGAGCTGGGGTTAGTGACGGTTATACCAGTCTGAGGTAGGTGCTGGGAACACTCTTAATTGCTCAGCCATCTCTGAAGCCCCAGATATTCACCTTTATAATTTATTTATTTTTAGTATTTTATGTACATTGATGTTTTGCCTGCACCGGTGAAGGTATCAGATCTTGGAATTAGACATTTGTTAGCTGCCATGTGGGTGGTGGGATTTAAACCTGGGTCCTCTGGAAGAACAGTCAGTGCTCTTTAATCACTGAGTCCACTCTCCAGTCCCCAGAAATTCCCTTTTGTAGAGGTGGAATTCTGTGGCCTTAATCTCTGGCTGTATAGCTTAGTTCTTTCAGGCACATACCAACGTGTTCGGCAATCGATGCCAAGGATCCTCTGGAACGCTCTGATTCTGTTACAGATTTCCAATTTTTTGCTGCTTCAGATCTGAAATGAAGAAAGTAATAGTAAGATGAAATATATGCAGACACTACAATAACTGACAATAAATATAACATTCCTAGACAAGTCTCTCCTCTTCTCTAAGGAGGTACTTCAAACAGTTGCCACCTCAGAAAGTCAAGCCGGTTTCTGGTCGGCCCTTGTCATTCTCTGTGGTTGAACTCCATGAGAAAAGTGGAGGTCACCAGGCACCAGGTCACATCACCTCACCTTTCTCCTTACACATCCATCTAGATTTCTAACCAATCAACTTCTTTTCCTCCTGCTTCCTGAGGGCAGAAGTATGTCTTTACGGGCAAAAGTCAGTCTGTCTGTCTGTCTCTGTCTCTGTCTCTGTCTCTGTCTCTGTCTCTGTCTCTCTCTCTCTCTCTCTCTCTCTCTCTCTCTCTCGGCCAGTCTTGTTCATCCCAGGCACATGCTCCACCCCCAGCCCCTCCTCGTTCTCCACTTTCCCTTTCTTTAGATCCTGTCTGACTTCTGCTTTTTGCTTATAATGACTTAAATGTTGCTGTTTAGTTTTACTACTAGATTTCCTTTTCTCTTTAAATGCATACTTTTGCAGCTTTATTTACCCTTTATATCTATGCATATATGACAATTTCAGTATCTCTCTCCTTGACACTTTATAACCCAATTTGTATGAATTACAACATCTCAAAATGAACATTTAAAGCACAAATATTAAGTTTCCCACAAAACCTTCTTTGCTGTTAGGGTAAGGAAAGCCTGGCCCAATTAACTAAGAGAAATCTAGGAGCCCTAGGTTTCCTGTTTCCCATCTAGTGCTTTAATTATATAATACCACTTCTTAAAAATTCCTAAACTATACTTTCTATTTTTTCTATTCTTATTACCGCTTCTTTGAGTTTGGCTCATACTGCTTTTCTGTTAGCTGCTAAGCTTATTTCTTCTAACCTTTCCTCAATACTGGAATACTAAATAATCTCTGTAAAAAAATACATTTTCTGATGTTGGAGACTGAATCAGGGCCACACAAAGCTAAAAACACTAGTGTTCTACTGCTGACCATAGTCCTACCTAACTCCTGGTTAAAAAGATCTCATAGCTTGATGAAGAAAATAATTCAACGAGTACTTCATAATTTACTTAGTTGTATCCCAGCCCCCCACTCCTGAGCTTGCTATGTAGAGGAGGGTGATCTTGAACTTCTGATCTTCCTGACTTTGCCTCGAGTGCTGAGATTGCAGGTGTGTATCAGCCATGCCCAGTCTGTGTGGTGCTAGGGGCCGAACCCAGGACTTCATGCACGAGGGTAAATACTCTAGGAATCTTCCTAATGCTGTGACCCTTTAATACAGTTCCATATGTTGTGATGACCCCCAAACAAAAAAATATTTTTTTGCTACTTCATAACTATAATTTTGCTATTGTTATGAATCATAATGTAAACATCTGCTATGCGACCCCTCTGGGGGTCGAGACCCACAGGTTGATAATCACTGATTTAGAGCTCAAACTAAAACTTACATTTAGAAGATAATGGAAAAGTACATAGGAACTCAAAAAAAAAAAAAAACTAAGAAAATAAATCTTGTAAAATTTGTATTTAAAAATTGTATAATAAAATTGTAAAATAGCTGACATACACTATTTGGTGATAGCTGGACATAATATGATTGTGACTGCTTTTTAAAAAGATGCTTCCCTGGAAAGTCTAATAATAAAAATGACTGGTGATTAGTGAACACATGATACTTGCTGTGTTGGAGGCCCAATTCTTTTAACTTATAACAAGCACACTAATAGTAGCAAAACCTGCTTAATAGGTATTTATAGTCCAAACAACTCAGAGAGGTTAGATAACTTACACAAAGCTAAACAGCTAGCTTATACTAAAGCCAGGTATCTAAGCTAACTGTCATGAGCATAGTTTGTGCTACTCATATATCTAACAAAATCTCAAAAACATTTTCCTTTTCTTTTTTAATTTTTTAGATTTATTTACTTATGCATATGAATGCTTTGCCTGGATATGTCTGTATACCATGTGCCTGGTGGGCGGTGGGAATCAAACCTTAGTCCTCTGCAAGAGCAGCCAAGTATTCTAAACTACAGAGCCATCTCTCCAGCCTCAATACTTTTCTTTATCTATTATTACTATTATCTTGGATTGCTAGTATGAGCACTGGGGGGTGTGTGGAGGTCAGAGGACTGCTCTGTTGAATTGATCTTCTCCTCCTACCCTTATGTGGGGTTCCAGGGAACAAACTGAAGTTATTAGATTTGCATGGCAAATACTTTACTAGCTGAGCCATCTCACATCCCTTTCTTTTTTTAAAAAAATTACAAATTTATTTTAAATTATGTGCCTCTGTGTGTGTCTTTATGTAGGTATGTTTATATGAATATAGGTGTCCAAAGAAGACAGAGGTACTGGAACTTCCTGGAGCGGAAGTTATATATGGTTGTGAGCCACCCAAAGTGGGTACTGGAAATTGAACTTGGGTCCTCTGCTGGAGCACTATGTGTTCTTAATTAATTATCATTTCTATAGCCCTAGTTTTCTTCCTTCCTTCCTGCTCTTTCTTTTTTCCCTTTCCTTTCTTAAAAAAAAAAAAAAATGTAATGTGTATTTTGCTTGTAAGTATACTTAGTCACCATGTGCATGCAATGCCTGAAAAGGCCACAAGAGGGCATTAGATCTCCTGGTACTGGGTGTAGAGACCTCTGTTGGGCCATTTGAGTGCTGGAACTGAACAGGGTCCCCTAGAAGAGCAGCCAGTACTCCTAAGTGCTGAGTCATCTCTGTAGCACCCTAGGTATGAGGCTGGATAATACAGAGTTGCACTGTGTATACCAGGGAAACCTGGAGTTCACTACATAGTCTAGGTTGATCTAAAACTCATGATCCTTAACCTCCTGGGTGTTGGGATGACAGGCAGGCAACACTATACTCAGGGAAGCATTTTGGCTTTGTGTAGGTATGTTTACATGAAATTGGAACTTCCTGTTTTCTTATAGCAATGGGGATAAAAGTCTTGTGCATGGTAGGCAAGTGCTCTATCATTACGCTCAAGATACTTTAAAGCAACCTTAAAGGCCCGTATCATCTCACAGTAAAAATAAGTGAGGAATAGAATAAGAGGCGACTCCACAGAGCAGCCCTCTAACCTCCACGCACTTCCCCAGTAAAGCTAGCACAATGTGGCTTTTACTTAGTTTTTTCAGTCTCTCCTAACTCCAGCAATATCCTATCATATTTACCTTTTATGATCTGTCCACCTGTTCTTTCTTTCTCTCCTCATCATTCACAAATGCTATTCTCTTTCACATATCCTTGTTTCTCAGATGCACTCACTGGCCTCTTACCCACTGTCCAAACCATTTGAATGTTATGACTTGACTTTTTATCTAGTATACCGTAGTCTACTATTGCTACCTAAACCATTTACTGGGTGTATGATGTCCTATTACCTGAATGGGACCATAATTTACTGAGATATTTCACTCATTTTTTTGAATTGAAGATTATTTCCAATGTCTTATGCCTATAAATAGATATTACAATAAACACAAAGGATACTATAATAAATATATTCATGCAAACAGAGCTTTTGGTACTATATATCTTATCAAGCTTATTTTTTTAGACATGAGGTTACAGATACTTTTGCTTTCTAAAACATTGCCTGTTTTTCCAAAGATCTACAACTAATTCTACTGCTACTGCCAACAATGCTGAGATATGGTTTGCACCGCACCCACCAGGCTGCAGGTTAAAAACACACATTTCCTATCTGTACCTTATGCATTTAGTTTGTACTGCTCATATGCAACACTTTACGTCTGTAAAAAACAACAGTATTTTTACTTGTATAACTCACTGTCACTTAAAAGATAACTTCTACTAAAAACCTTTCCTTATTGCTTCTTCAATAAAGCAGAATACATGTAACTTAAGTTCCTACCTGTGTAGTGGATGGGGCTTGATTTTGGGTTTTTCAGAAACAGAGGAGAGACATTTAATTTGAAGTTTGGATGTTGGTGATGTGTCCAAATCTTGGCTAAGCTCACCTTCAGTTTTCTTAATGAATTCATCATAAGTCTAAGTTTGGAAAAGTTAGAGGAGTTATTACACAGAATGTTTTATTTTAAATCATTAAGGCTTTAAATTTTTTAAATAGCATAATTTAACCAGTAAACCAGTAAAAAGACAGAACATAAAGATTTCCCTCCCTGCTCCCTACCACATCTTCAGCACTGCAAAAAAGGAGAAAGAAATGATAAATTTCAATACAAAGCTAAGTATTTATGAAATGGCAATACAAACCCAGACACATTAGCCTTAAACCTGTTACATGTTATTTTCTAATATTTTGTGTTTTTGTTTGTTTGTTTTTTGCAGATGGGTAGGTTGAGGTAAGGTCTCACTATGTAGCCTTAGCTGACTTGGAATTCTCTATGTAGAGCAGACTGCTCTTGAACTCACAGAGCTCTGTCTACCAGTCCCTGTCTTCTAGTGCTGGGACTAAAGGCATGAGCTACCACCTTGTGCGTTTGTTTTTTTCCCTGAGTTTCAATGGCAGTAAACTTCTTAAGAAATAGTACTTGGGAGAAATTGAGTGTAATCAGTCAGGTGGTCAGAATTACTAAAACGGCTGTCTGGTTATTAAAATACCCATTTTCAATTGTTACCAGAACTTTGCTGCTTTGTAACTATCATTAGTATGGCATCCAAAGGGGCTCTCTATCAATCATGTCTTTCCTTCATTTGGAAGGCTAAACTCACTTGTACAACTGTATTTGATGTAATAGCTGAAAACAAAGTTAAGCACTTTTTATCCAGGATGTACTTAGGTCTGGCCTAAACTAGATTGTTAATAAATGTTTATAGAATAAAAGAGAGATTTATGGATCTTTTTTAATTGCTACATATTCTTGACATCTGGACTAAGACCCCTACATTTAAAACTCTTACCATATTATCTTCACCTGAATTATCTATCAATGCTTGATAAATTCTGATATTAATCACTAACATACATAGCCAGATGGCCCATCTAGCTAAGTCTACATAGAAGGGATAGTTACTCAGATCTGAAAGCATCTGAAAGTTTAGTTCAGTTATTAAATAGGTGACCAATAAAGTCCACTAGGTCTTTTTCCATATACGTTGACATATATATTTCTCTATGGCATAATTTCAAGACCTAAATACATAACTCTTTCATTTTTGTTTAGCCACTTAGCGAAATGCTGAGTGAGATGGCTCACAGCACTATTCTAGAGACTGTCTATCAATGTAGATCTTTTAAACTTTAAAAGTTCTTTTAAGACAGGATTTTGGATTTTGGCTGGATTCAAACCTGAGATCCTCCTGCTTCATGTTCCGAGTAATAGAATCATATTATTGCACATTTTTAGCAACACTGTTTATTCTTAATTTATTTCCAGTATTACTTTAATGGCTCAGAGTTGTATGACCAATCAGATAAAACCCAGACTCCTTAGTTTAACCTCTAATTTTCTGAGTGTCACCTTCATTTTTGAACTTGTTTTCCCACTGCTTTCCAATACAAACACCCAGCACGGCCACTGTGTCTCTGCTGCTGTGGGTCAGGTTAAATCTGAACTCCTATTTCTACTTCAGTCTCCTAAAGCTAACTATAGGAATGTCTGGCTAACCTGGACCTGGTCATTTATTATAACCACTTTTCTAACTTTGAAACACCACGTAAGTTCTGATGCCGGCTATCTCCAAGTGATGTACCTGTGCAAATGTTTATTCCACATTTATCAACAGGCCTATTTTCATGGAAAGATATAAAATTCAGAATTAGAAATAAAATCCTGCCTTTATCATCTATGGGTTGTGTGTCCCTGGATAGGTCCTTAATCTTATTTAAACTCAGTTTTCTTATCTGTGAAACAGTGGTAACAACTTATCACTATGAGGATTAAATAAAAATACATTCAATTACCTGAGTTTCCCACATACAAAAATAGTCATCTAAATACAGGAAGAATTGTGTTAAACAACAAAGATCAATAGGTAAACATTAAAAGGAAGGAAAATTTGTGGCTCAACACAATGCACGTTCTCCCATTGGTTAACTTAAAGGCCAAACAGTTTCAACTGCTGTGAAAATGTGAAAGCGAGCAGATCTGGACAGTTCTCTCCGGCAGGGGCCCGAGAACAGATTCTTGTGAGTTAGGAGGTTCAGCTGGATGCCATGATAAATACTACGACTCAGAACAATAGGCTGGCACAGCAAGGGACAGGTGGGGAGGAAGGAACACACCAACTTCAAAGGGAGAGACACAGAGGGACACAGAGAGACTGACATTTGTAGAAAATCACCAGAGGAAGTCATAACTAAGAGACTATACAGATAATACAGGTAAGAGGGCTTAAAATTCCTAGCTAGAACCCTAGACTACAGCAACAGGAATAGAAGGAAACCAAAAGGAACTGGTAAAAGAGCAATCAGTGGGAACTGGGCTGCAGAAGAAACAGAAGGAAGACATCAGCAGAAGCATATTTCTAGTGTCAGGTAGAATATGGAAGGGTGCTAGAGCTTAGGAAGAAATTCAACTAACAGCTGTTATTTAGGAACTGTCCTAAATTAGCTCAAGGATTTTAATAATTGTGTGGCCTACTTGCAAGAAAAAAAGATGACAACAATTTTAATACCTAGATCTGTTTATCTTTTTCATCCTAATATTTTTAAGAGAATATGAGTAATCTTTATCACAACTATAATCTTTATCAGAAGTGTACTTTAGTATTCAATATTTTAATATTTAGCTTAACATTTTGGATATCTTCAGATTCATTTTTAAAGATGATAAAATATTACAGTACATGACTACTGAAAAATCCCATCCACTACTTTATTAAGAGCACTGCAGATACTTGAGCTTCACCTGTGAACTAACCTTGGCAGCTGGCCCACTCCCCATCTCACCTCCAGCTGTCTGATCAGACTGGCTTCCTGGGCTTTTAGCCTCTCCTTTTGTCTTTTCCTCTGCTCCTTCTTCAGCTGCTCCACAACTGATCTCCTTTTCCGCAGCTCATCCTTCAGAGCTCTGATCCTACCTTCAATGTCACTCTGGTCAGATGGAGTTTCTGAAAGATAGGAAATATTTTCATTAATCTAAACAAAGATCAGTAACTAATAAAGAAAAGTTGTAATACTTAAAGTCAATATTTAGGGGCTGGAGAGATGGCTCAGCGGTTAAGAACTCTGACTGTTCTTCCAGAGGACCTGGGTTCAATTCCCAGCAACCACACAGCAACTCAAACTATCTGAAAATCCAGTTCCAGGGGATCTGACATCTTCACACCAATTCACATAAAATAAAGTTAAATAAATCATAAAAAATTCTTTGTAAAAAAAATAAAGTCAATATTTAAAATTTAAAAAGTTGAGCTTCTGAAAAATGTTATTAATAAAATGTGAGTGTAGTTTTCCATAGTCTTTTTTCTTTAGTTTTCCTCATTATTTTCTAATTTCTAATATTATTATTTGTTTATTTATAATTTACTTTATTCTTGTGAAAAATGTGTATGTGTGTGTATATATAATTTGTGTGCATGAGTTTGGGTACACATATGGAAGCCAGGGAACAACTTTTGGGAGTTGGTTCTCTCCTTCCATTGTGGTGGGTTCCTAGGATTGAACTCAGGTTGTCAGCCTTGTGAAGAAAGCATTCTTAACCCAGTAAACTCGTCAGCTCAGGATTTGAAACTATAAATAGATGCTGAAAAACCCTATCTTTGCAAGATACATAGTTTAAGTTTAAATTTGTATGTTAGTGAAATTTGAACCTTCTGTAAAAATTTACTTCTGGTAGCAAAACATTCATACAATTATCCTTAGATATTAAAGCATGCTGTCATATTTTTAAAGCCAAATTAGGATAAAACTAAATTTTATTTTTATTTTCAAATTGTGACTCATTAGCTGAGTTTTATTATAACATAAAAAAAGAGAAAAATATACCCTATTTTAATTTTTCTTTGAAAGCTTTTAAAATTACTAAAATGAAGCTAGTTACATTTTTTTCTCCCCAGTAGTTTACATCCACACATGAGAGATGCAGTCATGGCAACATCATAAGAAAGCACTCATTATAACGTGTCCTACATAGGGATGACAACAAACAGGCACCACTGCTTACTTCACTGCTCAGAAATCACAGTGACTGACTATTTCTTCTCATACCTCTTGAGTCACACGCTGATTGCATCTCCACACACAAAATAACCTTGCAAAAACAACACTATCAGACAGAAACCTCAAGATTAAGATGCATACTGTTCTACCTTGAGGCTAGGTTTCTATCAGGTACTTCAGATTAAGTTACCCAAGAACAACAGAGCTCACTGAAATGCAAATGATCACTGTCTCTTTAAAATGGTGTGATCCAAATATCTGGGCTACAAAGAAAAGCTAAGTTCCTGTGATTTCTTTACTGACTTCACACTGTACTAAAAAGGAAGCAGTGATAAGTAGTAGTGGTAAGCACCTTCTTCAGATGCTTTCTCTTAATTTTGAAAGAAATGAACTGGTTTTAGGTTGGAAACTCTAAGTGCTTGGGGCTAGGTTTATACTCCTTCAATCAATGGTTCTAGTGTGGAGCCCTACAGTCTCGGTTTTAAAAACACCATCTTTCCTAAAATCAAATATAAACTTCTAATCCTCTAGTCTGATGAGCTGCATGCGTCCTAACCAAGAATGATGGCACACACCCGTAGCCCCAATTTCAGGAAGTGGAACTAGGCAGCCAGCCTGAGCTACAGGACATCCTGTCTGAAAAACCAAGACCTACATGCCCTTGAAGCCTGAGATGTTGTCTTGTGAAGTGTAGGAGACCACACTTAAACTTTGCTCTCCAGATGATTTTAGATCAATGTATTTTTAAAACAGACTGTCAGTTCTGATGCTATAATAAAATTAATTTTATAGTCTATGGTTATGAAGAATTAATAACAACTGATAAAAAAAACCTGGGAGTTTTTAGATGAAAAAACTTGAAAAGTATTTGTATTTTCAACTACTGAAAAAAACTAAAGGAAAACAAATACGTGGCAATAAGAGGCTGATGGGGATGGGGTACACTACAGAGCTGCCTTCAGCTACCTCAACACACAGTCCTTACCAACAAGATAATCTTTCTAGAGATTTTTTTTGAAACCAGGCAACTCTCTATGTGAATATTATTTTCATGAAACGCTCTGCCATAAACATTTTTTGAGAAGAGAAGGGATGAGAAGAGGCAGGCAAATGACACTTGAATTTGTCAAGATAAGTAAAGTGTGGACAGAGCAGTTTGCTGAGGTTTCTGACTCCCTCTCAGAGGCTGACTATATTGACTTGGTTGGTAACAGGGTTCCCCTTCACTCACTGGCATTACTTAACCCCACCACATTAAAATGGACCACATCTTCAAATACTGTTTATCATAATTTCCTCATGAAGCACTACATCTCATCTATAATTCAGAAATCTCAGCTTTTTTTCTAAAATTACCTTTTCTTACTTAAGTGCTAACAATAAACTATCTCATAAATATCACTGATCTTTAGCAAATAACTCATGCAAAGATGTCATCTTGTTGCTTCCAGTGGAAAAGATAATCTAGTATGGGAAACACACTTGAAGCACATATCAGTAAGGAGCAGATCCAAAGCAGGAACCCATGTTTCCAAGTGCACACCAAGTTTATGTCTACTGACTGTATTCTACCAGAGTACACCAGTACTGTCTGCATTAGAACATATAAAAAACGGATACAAATATTAATAGCTGGCCGGGTGGTGGTGGTGCACGCCTTTAATCCCAGCACTCGGGAGGCAGAGGCAGGCGGATCTCTGTGAGTTCGAGGCCAGCCTGGTCTAGAAGAGCTAGCTCCAGAACAAGAACCAAAAAGCTACGGAGAAACCCTGTCTTGAAAATCAAAAAAAAAAAAAAATTAATAGCTGCACAAAAATAACATAAAAGATAATTTCAACTGTTTGACCTGATAATTCGATTACTATCAATCTATCAGATTTCAAAAATATTGTATATATTTCTTAAAACATTATTTACAATTGTGAAAAATTTAAGAAAATCTAGAAAACCATCATCAGGAAAACAGCTGAAGTATGGTACATCATCTACCCTTTAAACATGTATGTGTGTGGGTAACACTGCATGTGTTTGTGGAGGCCAAGGGTCCACCTTGGGTATTTTTCTTCAGGATCTGCCTATTTCCACTTCCCAGAGCCAGTATTACTGCCACTTACCACCATGCCCATTTCCTGGGTTCTAGGAACTGAACTGAGGTCTTCACACTTGCAACAAGTACGTCCCTGACTAAACTACTTCCTTAGCTCACCTTCTCTCACAACAACTAAACCATTTCTACTAAAAAAATAAACATCTACTCGAATGACCTCAAATGGTAATATATATGTTTATTAATATAATTAATATGGCAATACTCAATACTGCATTAATTTTCCTCATAATTCTCATACACACAGCATCGTTTCCCCTTTAGATATGTTTCCTATGGCCAACAAACTTCTGAAGCCTTGCAGGGTAGAAGCTCTTCAGTCTTTCAAAATAGTATCCAACAGAGACATGAACAGGAAAAGGCGTAAGAAAACAGTTATTCCTTCTCTACGCTGCTCCTTTGAGATTTGTGCCATCCTTTCCCACAACTTTCTATCTTCATGGTTTATCAATAACTCGTTGAAAAAATCAATAAATACCCTCCGCATGAAATAAACAGTGCCCATGAGGCCCTGGTGTTACAACCTGCTCCCCAGTTCCATCCCGGCCTGGTGGGCCAAGCCCAGCTACCAGCTATGCTGCACAAGTACGACACACTGAAAACACAAAGGCGGTGTCGGACACAGAAAAAAGGAAAGAAATTTTGATGAAATAAATGTTTATTAACACAAGAGAAGTTAGTGGAATTAAGGATATAATTATCAACTATAATCCCTGAGCAAGAAAAAGCCTATACAAATGCAACCAAGGATAACATAAAGTTTCTTAAAGGAGAACTCAGAAATAACAACAAAAAAAGAAACTCACAGCACCCTTACCTGACTGTGTCACAGACGGTGATTCATCTGACCAACTGTAACAGGGCTGATGAGACTTGACAGAAAGGCGACAGTGTGCTTCGGTCCTATGACTTCCTTTGCTAGACTCTTGCTTTGACACAGATAAACAACTTCTGGGAGGAGACTGTTCAAACAGAAAACCAAACAGGAATTATTCTGTCATACAACTGTGAACTTATATTTAAAATACATTCTATAACACTTCATATCAAATGAACATGAAATTTAGTGATATACATAATAGACTGAATATATTAAATTTTAACACAACTTTATATAATTTCACAAAAGGTTAAAAAAAAGCTTACTAATTCTACTCAAGACCTTTTCTCTTTCTTCAACTCAATTCCTTTCTTTCAAAAAATTATTGATTAACGCAAGCCTTTAATTCCAGCACTTGGGAGGCAGAGGCAGGTAGATCTCTGTGAGTTCGAGGCCAGCCTCGTCTATAAGAGCGAGGTCCAGGACAGGCTCAATAATACAGCAAAACCCTGTCTCAACAAACAAACAGACAAACAAATCCCAGCACTAGGGAGGTGGAGACAGGAGAGATATGGCTGGACAGAGAGAGGAAACTGGAGCTCAGTGCAGTCGGAGGAGGCAGTCTGAGGACAGGATCGCCCTGTCTTTGAGCAGTGGTAGAGGTGAAAGGTCTCTCTAGTGTCTGGCCACACTGCTTCTCTGATCCTTCAGCTTTCACCCTGATATCTGACTCTATGTTTAATTTATTAAGGCTAATTAGAATTAATGCTACAACTTTAACTCAATTTTTGATAAGCTTAAAAATAATGGGTTTCATTATATTTTCATACCTTAAGCCAGGTTCTCTCTCCGAAGCTCAGGTGGCCTAGAGATCACTATGTAGCCCATACTGGCCTAACTTGTGCCAATCACCCTGCCTTGCATCTGAGTGCTGGAATACAGTCATGAACAACCACACCTGGCTAATTTTACTTTCATGTTTTGTTTTGTTTGGGGCGGGGGGTAGGGAGGTAGGGTGGGAATCTAATTTTTCTTAACGACAGAAAACAAGTTATGAAATAACATGCTTTAAGCAATTATAGTAAACTACAAATGGCTAAGATGTTAGTGATATTTACTCTCCTTATCCATTTAATTAAAAATTACTAAATATGTACTATTTTTATGGGAGGATAGAACAAAATGGTGTGAGACTGTCCACAAAGTATAGACAATTTTACTTTCCAAAAAAGGCAAAGTTCCTGCCCTGCCATCAAGGGGGAGTGAAAATAGCTGACCTGAGTCCTGTCACCACCACTTTCTATCCCTAGGACTTTGGACAAGTCTTTATAAGAAAATATTGTTTTTAGATTTGATTATTTAATTTTCTGTGTATGAGTGTTCCACTGTGTATGTAAATGCATCACTGTGTACCTTGTGCCTGCAAAGGCAGAGGACATCAAATCTCCTGCAACTGGAGTTACCATGGGGTGCTGGGAACTAAGCTCAAGTCTCTGTAAGCGCCCTCAACCACTGAGCCATCTCTCCAGACCCTCACAATAGTTTTAACCTGCTGATCTTCAGAACGGGGATTTACAGTGTCTCCTACTTTCTAAAGTTGTTGTGAGGATTAACTGAGGTCATTCATGTCAGGTACTTAGCATACTACCTGTACCTGATACATATAAATGCTACTTTTTAGTATAAAAATCTACCTTAGTACATCACTTGTTTTAATTTCCTTTACACATTTTCTTCAGAAAGAAAAATACCCAATTTTTAGTATTCAATTAATTTTGTGGTTAAAAGGTAGAAGCTAACACATTTATAGAACTTAGAAATTAATAAAACTGTGTTCAAATGCAGTTCAGTTCCACAAGTATTATGCTATAAGTAAATTACCTATATAATAAGCTTATTATCACCATACAATAATTTCAAAAACATTAGCATAAAAATGAGAAGTCTTCTGTACTCTAAAAGCATTTTCTAAGTCTGTGCAAAAGAATATTAGCAATGTAGTATTTTCAGCATAACATGGAATCAGCTCTGCATTAACGATCAAAAATTTTTCTGCTAAATCTTTCAGGTGCAATAATGTTATACACGAGAATCTGACTAACCTTTCAATAGGGAATCATACAACTAATTCTTCACATACATACTAAAAATGAGGATTTTGAGCTGGAGAGATGGCTCGGGGATTAAGAACACTGGCTGTTCTTGCATAGGACCTAGGTTCAATACCCAGTAGCCACAGCAGCTTCTGACTGTCTGTAACTCCAGTTTCAGTAGCCAATGTCCTTTTCTGGCTTCCTTGAATACCAGGCATACAAATGGTACAGACATATCTGCCAGCAAAACATCCACACACATAAAATAATAATTTAAAGACAAAATTCTAACTATACATATCCCTACCCATATTTTTAAACAAAATGAGGTTTTAACATGGGCCAGTAAGATGGCTCAGCAAATAAAAGCACTTATTGCCAATCCTACAACCTGAGTTCAACTGCTGGAACCCACATACGTGGTTTACAGGAGAAAACTGACTTCTACAAGTTGTCTTCTGGTTTTCACATGCAGACATACACACAAGTATATATGTAACTTTCTTTCTCAATAAAGAAGCATTTGTTAGTATTTCATATTGTTATGCTGATGTCTTAATCTCCCAGAAATCAATCTGAAAAGCAGCGGAGTTTCTTTCTTGAATTTTTAACTTTCCATTAAGTAAAATCTTAAAACATACCTAAGTGTCTTTGCTATACTTTAGTTAATAATTGCTAATTCATAGTCAGAATAAGAGTGATCATTTTATGTCTTTAAAATATCTGAAATGAACAGTTTTCACTTACTATATTGGGCATTACATTTTCTGTATTTTCTTTTATTCTATACTTAACCCAACAAAGAAAGTATTCCCTGATTCAGCAAGGCTTGCAGACTTTGGAAACTGTTGCTTTCATCTGTAATTTCACTTGTGCAGTAACAGCACAACAGGTGCTATCTCCCTATTACCATGCATTTTCATGTAATGTGTACATGGAATCTCATGATTACATCTCAATCTTATGGACACATATATCTGTGGATGATCAGAAAGATGACTTTTCATTTAGTTATATAATTTTAATGTACAGAATATATACTGGGACATGCTTCATAACTAAATGTATTTGTCCCATGAGAACTGTGGACACTTAAAGGCCTGCCCTGTTCCTTTTGCTCAGACTAACTGCACAATTAGCTCACGTAGTTCAAACTACACTAAAGGTTTTTGTAAATAGCTCTTAAGTTTAAAACTTTACAGCTGTGCACAAGGTCAGATCACAGATGTCCAGCCAAGGTTGCTATACAAGCACCCAAAGAAAAGCATGCCAGTTCTTCACTTGCCAGTCTGCTGACAATAGACCTATGTCTCATGTCCCTCCACCCCTCCACCCCCGGTCTGGTCACATCTGGTCATGGTCTCACTCTGTAACCTTGGAACCTTGTGTTGCCATGGCAATGGCTCTGCTCCCTATTGCTCACCCTATGAATGTGCTTTTGACCAATGAGGTAACTCTTGTGATTTTATTGCTTCAAGGCTCCTGTAAGGACTAGAGAAGAAGAAGCTGGAAGAAGCTAGGAGAAATTAGAAGTAGGGCAGGATAATTAGAATAGAAAGTAGAACAATAAAGAAACTGATTCAGAAAAGCACATGTGAGAAAGTTCATTCACCCTTAGAAAAAGTCCTTTTCACTTGCTATGCATCCATTCTGAACCTGGAAGAGAATCTTGGAGTTGGACCCCAAAGACTCTCGGTACTCATAATGTTCCCACAAATAATCTTCATTACTCTGTGTGTGTGTGTGTGTGTGTATGGGTGTGTGTGTGTGTATGGGTGTGTGTGTATGGATGTGTGTGTGTGTATGTGTGTGTGTATGGGTGTACGTGTGTGTATGTGTGTGTGTGTATGTGTGTGTGTATGGGTGTACGTGTGTGTATGTGTGTGTGTATGGGTGTACGTGTGTGTATATGTGTGTACGTGTGTGTATGTGTGTGTGTATGGGTGTACATGTGTGTGTATGTGTGTGTGTATGGGTATACGTGTGTGTATGTGTACGTGTGTGTGTGCATGTGTGTGTGTGTGCATGTGTATGTGTGTGCATGCGTGCGTGTGTGTGCATGCGTGCGTGTGTGTGCATGCGTGCGTGCATGTGTGTACGTGTGTGTATTGTGTGTACATGTGTGTGCATTGTGTATGTGTGTGTACGTGTGTGCGTGCATGTGTGTGCATTGTGCATGTGTGTATATGTGTGTGTGCATGTGTGTGCGCATGTGTGTGTGCATGTGTGCGTGTGTGTGTGCGTGTGTGTATGTGTGTGTGCACATGTGTGCATGTGTGTGTATGTACGTGTGTGTGCATGTGTGCGTGCATGTGTGTACGTGTATTATGTGTACATGTGTGTGTATGTGTGTGCGTATGTGTGTGCATGTGTGTGTACGTGTATGTGTGTATGTGTGTGTGCATGTGTGTGTGCATGTGTGTGAGTGTGTGTGTGTGTGTGCATGTGAGTGTGTGTGTGCATGTGTGTGTGTGTGTTCTTGAATGTGCACGCGTGCATGCACATGTGCCATGTGCTGGTCAGAAAAAATTTTGCAGGAGTCAGTTCTCTCCTTCCACCTTGAAGGTAAGAATCAAGCTCAGGTCATCAAACTTGGCAGCTAACGCCTTCTTTCCCACTGAGCCATCTCTCTGTACCTATTAGACGTTAGAAATTTCTATCTATGCTGACTAGTTGAATCTGGCACACGCTAGAGTCATCTGAGAGAAGGAAACCTCCTTAAGACTGGACTGTATGGAAGCCTGTAGGGTACTTCCTTAATTAGTGATTGATGGGGGCCAGCTCACTGTTCGGTACCACCCTGGGCTGATGGTCCTGGGTTTGGAAAAAAAAATAGGTGGAGCAAGCCAGTAAGCAGCTCTCCTCCATGGCCTCTGCGTCAGCTCCTGCCTCCAGGTTCCTGCCCTGACTTTCTCAGATGATGAACAATGACGTGGAATTATAAGCAAAATAAATTCTTTCCTCCCCAACTGGTTATGATGCTCTGTCACAGAAACAATAATGCTAACTAAGTCACTATCTCTTTAATATTATTAGACTTGATAATGCGTAATTTCAACTGCTACTAAAGCTAAATTCATATACTTATAAAGATAAGCTTACTAAAAGTTTTATTTCTCTTCAAATATTAAACTCTGTATGTTACAAGTATGGTGATAATCAACGTTGCCATTATAACTATTAGTAGCACCTTTTAGACAGATTTTTTTTCCAAAGGAATTTTAAGGTACAAATAGGTACTGGGTGGTGGTGGCGCACACCTTTAATTCCAATACACAGAAGGTAGAGGCAGGCAGATCTCTGTGAGTTCGAAACCAGCCTGGTATACACAGAAAGTTCCAGGACAACCAGGACTGTTACAATGAAAAACACTTTCTCAAAGGACCAAAAAAAACAAAACAACAAAAAACAAACAAACAAAAAGATATAAATAGGCATCAACTTACATGTTTACTAGGAGAGGTAGATTCCAGTTCCTGTGAAAAAACCATTTCCTCAGTAAGTATACTGAGATCTGGACTCCCAGGCTGTACTTGTACCATAGATTCAGAAGGTAAACAGAGGACAGAAGGGCTGCCTAACTCTTCTGGAATACAATTTTCACTGTTTCTGTGAGAGTAGGAAGGTATCAGAGACTCCTCTTCACTTGTAAGTCCTGAAAACACAGGGTGAAAATGTCCAATCTTGGTCAATGAAGAAGTTAAATTTGTTACACTTTAGACTAGTTTCCGGCATAGAACCACAATACTTAATTAACATTTACTACTAAAGTCTGTTCATTAACAATTTTGGCTGACACCATTTGAGAGCAGATATTAACCAGTGATGATGACTGGCAACCTAAGTACGAGGGTATAGAACAATTATGATCCACAAACATACCCCCTTTGCAATGAAAACTGCTTCAGTCATTCATTGAAAATCATTTAGTACCTGGTTGGTACAGACCTTCAATGTCATCAGGTGTGGACCCAACACCTCACTGTTTCCTCCCATTAACAGTATTGGAGAGTTCCTTTCTCTATAGTCGGCAAAGTTGATGGTGTCATGTCAACTTCCCATAAATGTATGGGTCTTTCTTGGGTTATCTGTTCATAGTCTATTAATTACACACAATGGAGTTCACTATATTCTCATACACATATATAACACATCAGATTCACCTATATCTTCTCTTGCTCTCTTCCTACTCTCACTGATCTTTTCTCTTCCCAACTAATTCTCCCACTTTCAAAATTTTTTACAAAAGTATTTTTTAAAAAAATTATTTTTATTTATGTGTACGTCTGTGTCTGTGTGAATGTGTCATGTCTGTGTGGGTACACAAGGAAGCCAGAGTAGGGCACTGGAGCCCTTGAAGCTGGAGTTAGTCAGTCGTAAGACACCTGACAGGTGCCAGCAACAAAGCTTCAGTCCTGTGAAGGGCGGGAAGCGCTCTGAGACACAGAGCCGTCTCTCTAGCACTGCTCCTGCCCTGTCCCTTTAAAAGTGATTCCATTAATATAATCAAGGCTGCATGTAGGAGCATCACCAAGTAGGGTTTTGTTGATTTATTTGGTTAGTGTTGAGTCAAGGTTTCATATAGCCCAAGCTGGCTTCAAACTTACTGTGAAGCAGAAACTGACCTTGAACTTCTGATTATCCTGCCTACACTTCGGAGGCAGTCTTGTGCCATCAAATCTAGGTGCTGGGGGAGGAACCCAAGGCTTTATTCTAGGCAAACATTCTAGCAGCTGAGTTACATCTTCAGCCCACAACTGAGTTTCATTTTTTTGGATTTCCTAATCAATGATCTTGCTAAAGTCACTCATTATTCTAATAAAGTGGAAAATCCTGGTTTTGTGTGTGTTTGTGCATAGCACATGTGCATCCGTGTGTGAGTGTGTAAAGGGGTACATATGCACATGCATGTGCAGTTATATACGCCTGTGCACTCATGTGTGGAAACTAGGAAAGGTCAGGTGTCCTCTATCACTCTCTGCCTCATTTCTTTGAGGCAAGGTCTCACACTGAATCTGGAGCTAGCAGAGTCTCTGCTCCCCCCCCCCCCCATTCCGGGATTACAAGCAAACATGGATGCATGCCCAGCTTTTTACATGGGTACTTAGATACAAACTTAGGTTCTTAAGCTTATGAGACAAGCACTCTTACCCAATGCATCATCTCTCCAGAATCAAATTCTGGATTTCTATGTGCATACCTTTATTAACTGTAAATAATTAGAATTTTGCATCTTCCACCCAGTCCATACTTAATTATCCAAACTTTAATTGTTTTTCAGGCCCTACTGAAATACTTAGAACATTCATACAATGCTTCATAAACATTTTCAAGGAGAAAAATTTTCTGTTTTAACACTAAATATTGTGCCGGGCGGTGGAGGCAGAAGCAGGCGGATCTCTGTGAGTTCGAGGCCAGCCTGGTCTACAAGAGCTAGTTCCAGGACAGGAACCAAAAGCTACGGAGAAACCCTGTCTTGAAAAATCAAATCAAAACAAAACAAAACAAAACAAAACAAAACAAAAAAACCATTAAATATTGTATCTGTTTTAAGTCTGAGGTTTTTATTTTGTTTTGCATTAATACTATTTTCTTCCGTCAAGACAGCTCTTTTCCATATGTATTTTTATCTGAGGTTTATGTACGTGATCCGAAGTCTTTTTCTGAATCTATGAAAGTGATCAAGTTATTTTTCCTCTTTAGATTAGATCTGTATGCATAGTATTTAGGACAGAGAAGAACAGTTTTTTTCCTTTCATGTTATTATTTTATGGATTTAGAATTGAAGTTATAAATTAATGTCATAAAGTGAGTTGAAAATGTCTATCATTTTTATATTCTGTGGAAAGTAAAGAATTATACACCTGGGTTTTCCCTTTTTGAATGTCTACTAAGCTTTGGCAAGCTGAACATAAATGTTTATACTGGCAATAAGTCACTTATATTTTCCTTAAAAGAGCACACCATTTGTAACTGCGTTGCCTTCTTCACTGTGAATTATTTCTATCAAAAAGAAATAAATATGTTACACTTTAGTTTGTATTTATTACCTTTCTGTTCTGTTCTTTGGTTCTCCAGTTCTTTCTTAGGAGTTTTGGGTTTTATTAGTTCTTTGTCCCAGGCAGCCAAAGCTTGTTTTTCCATTTGTCTAATTTCTGCTTCTTCTGCATCTAAACGCCGCTTCCATTCCAGGAGCTCCTCCGCATGTTGTCGTCGTTGCATTAGTTTTTGTTCCCGCTTTGTCAGAAACCTATAGTTACACCATGAAGAACAGTTAGAAAACTACACAGAGGCAGAGGTCACTTTAAAAGTCATTCATGCCTCACCAACAAGCTGTGCAGAAGCAGGGCATTCACACCCCTCTCTCCCTGAGAAAAGTTTGAAACGACAAAAGTACGATGAGCCAACTTACTGTTTTTAAATATGAGATTAGTGTTTCCTTATAAGAGGATGTCAGGGTAGTGAAGGAAAACTAGTGTAAATTCAGAAAAAAAAATCTAATGCAGATTTCAACAAACTTGACTGGTAATGTTATTAAGTGACTTACATACTCGTTTTCATAGGGGGTTCTTTTTCACAAAATAGTATGTAAGGAATTTATTCTAAAAAGCTCAGATTAGAAAACACACAAAACTCACAACAATAAAGACCAAAAGGAACTATAAAAACAAACCCCAAGTTTCCCAAATATGCAAGCAAGCAAGCAAACAAAAATGGTTATGTCTCCTTTTGATTTATATTTTGAAATTTGGGCTCTGCTTTTACCCAAGAAATGCAATGACCAGTGACAGATCTTTTGTGTATGCAATAGTGAGCACCATTTGGATGCCACATGCATATCAACTATTGGCTCACTAAGTAAGAGGATGCATTAACTCCCTTGAGTCTCTCAATTTAACCTGATTTTTGACATTAGACCTTATTTTGGGCCTAAAGGATTTGGAGAAATTATTGATTTAGGAAAACCACTTTGGTCAGATGGGAGGCTACTAATTAACTGTCCACAAACAGATGCTGTGCCTAGTGAACGGGCTGTTTTTATTACTGACATTAGATCTGCAATGACAGCTAACCAAGGAAAAGAATTCACACATCCAACAAGCAATAAAAGGCCAAGTGGAACCGACGCCTCCTCCTCAAATAATCATCATGTCATTTGTGTAGAAATAGTAGGATAAAGTCCATATGACATCGGACCAGGCCTCCAGCCTTCTATTAAACAAACAAAAAGAAAAAGCAAACAAAACAAACAAAAAGAACAGAGCATGCTCTATCGAAGAGTGCACTGAAAAAGGTGCAAAGTTACCTGACCAACTGGTTGTAGATATACAGCTGGAATTTGGGATGAAGGTTGGGAAAACAGACACTGAGAGAGGCCCAGTGGTGAGACGTAAAGACAGAGAAGAAGTAGTGAACAGGAGAGCAGTGTCTACAAAATAAGGAGGCAGATTTTAAAATCAAGAGATCAAGAGGCAGGAAGAATGAGAAAGGGAAAGCAAAAGAGTCTAATGAAGTCGTTCTGAATATTATTTGCTACTCAGAAAAGCAAATCCTTTTGTGTTTCACACACAAACACATGTATTTATAGATCTTATCAATGAATTCCAAGTAAATGTGTCTTCTTAAACATTGCTTAGCCATTGAGACAGGATTTCTCTGTGTAACAGTCCTGTCTTGGAACTTGTTTGGTAGACCAGGTTGGCCTTGAACTCACTTGAGATCCACCTGCCTCTGCCTCCCAAGTGCTGGGATTAAAGGAATGCACCACCACTGCCTGGCAAGCAACTGACTTTTTTACCTGTACCTTATTGTGTACTTTAAGCTAAAGTACTGCGTTTGTCTTATTTAACCTTACCATTATGATCTAGCTTAAAAATAAAATAAAATTCAGTAATCCAATTTACAGAATAACATCTTAACTCTGACAACATAAACTACTAACAATATACTGGACATATCTTGCTTTAGGTCTAACACAGGGCTACTTAAATAATAATATAGAAAATCAATACCCATTCTTTGAAATATCTGGATGCCCAATTAGGAATAAACTGAGGTAGTCTTAATAAATGCTGTCAGCAAAGAATGTTATGAACAGTTCAATCCTAAGGCTAAGGATAAGAAAATTCCATATGTTAAAAGTCTTCCATGCAGAGGAAACTCGTGTTTCTTCTTTTGTAGTAGTAAACAGATCACACACATAGATACAGGACAAATGAGTCCAGTGATGGTTGGAAAGGCTAATTCTCTTTGACAGAGCATGCTCCTGTTCACATGCACACAACAGTGACTTGCAGAAAAGGCAACATTTCATTATTGCCTTGGAAGGGCAAGGATTAATATCAGTATGTCCCGGAAGTGAGAAAATCTAGGTGTAGATCCAGCCATGGATTCTTTTTTGAAGGCAGATACACCTTGTTCATACATGCCTTAGACAAAAGACTGTCTTTTTTCTCCAAAAGATTTTTTTTTTATGTATATGGTATTCTGCCTGCAGGTCACAAGAAGGAATCAATTCTCATTATAGATGGTTGTGAGCCATCATGTGGTTGCTAGGAATTGAACTCAGGACCTCTGGAGGAGCAGCCAGTGCTCCTACCCTCTGAGCTGTCTCTCCAGCCCCCTGAAGACTGTCTTAACATTTGTTCTCCACAGACAGCATTTCCTCACCCTATTCATCTATGCATACACATACAGTGCTCTTATATCTGGATTGCCTTGATTTTCTACACAGAACTTTAAGGATAAACATTCCTATAAATGTCAGAGAGACACTGCAACATCCCTTGCCCTTCTTTATGAATGTACAACAAACTTTGATGCTAATTAAAAAACATTACGCAAAATGAAATGCATTTTGGTTAAGGTTAAAAATTATACCATAATGTTCAAATATCACCCACCCTTTTAAATGTAAATCTGATAACTGAATGTAAGACCTAGCATAGAAATTAAAATAGTATTGGAACACATAAAACAAGCTTTTTAAAAATGTATAGGTAAAAATATTTTTGTCCAACCCTTTAGAGAAAACAATTTTTCACTATCAGAACAAGAACTGATTTTTGTCAATTATAAAGATCAAACATATTCAAAATCTCTGTTAAAAATGAAGAACAAGAGAAATGACTAACATAAAATGAACAGTTTACAAAGAATGTAAGACATTATATTGAAACATCTCTCCAGAAATATATTTCCTTATTTAATATAAATATATAACTAAAAGTGACCTTTACAACCTGGAAAAACCTTGGGATAATAAGACAGAGTACTTCACATTAGAGTTAATAATCCTTCAGGATGTGAAACAGGTAATTGTATGGGAATGATGAAAATGCATTGCTCTGAATTTAAGGCCAGCTTGGGTTACATAATTAGCTTTTTTTTAAAAAAAGAAAAAAAGGCTCAAGAAAAGTCATTTATTAGAAATATAAATTTTACCAAGGGCATTACTATCAGTGAAACATTAAAGACAAAACTCTTTCATTGTAGCCCAAAGTATTATCATCACTTCAGAAAAATGTCATAAAAATCAATTCAGAAGGCTGACAGTTAGCAAGTCTAATCTTAAGTTTGTTACTAGGGCTTTAAACTGTTAATCTAACCTAAATTTACCAGAGTAGACACAGACTAAGCTCATACACAAACTAGCACTTATTCTCCAGATGTTTATTGTGTTTAGAGACTGTCAAGAGAGCTCTTAACTGACAGAGTGCAGGATCAATGAAGAACTTGCACCTGAAACTGTCTTCTTCCCAGCATGCACCAGTCAAAGGCATTTGGAAGAAGACAGAATGGGAGAAGGATGAGTGTGCTGGGTAGTGTCTGTCGACTTGATACACTAATGTCTGAGAAGAGAAAGCCTCAACTAAGCAGATGCCTCCGTCAGACTGATGGGCAAATCCATGGGACATTGTCTTGATGGGTGACTGAAGTGGAAGAGCACAGCCCATTACGAGCAGTGACACCACCAGGCAGGTGTTCCCGGGTTATATAAAAAACAAGGTGAGGAAGCCATGGAGAACAAGCAGTGTTCCCCCATGGTCTCTGCTTCATCTGTTCCTGCCTGAAATCCCTGCACCGACTTTCCTTTACGATAGACTATAAGCTGCAAGATGAGATAAACACTTTCCTGTAAGAGTTGCTTTGGTCATGGAATTTATCATAGCAAAAGAATGAAAACTAGGAAAGCAATACAAAATTATTTCAACTTTGAAATCAAATGATTCCCTGAACAACGCAGCATGTTTCCATGCAGGAACATGGAATAATAATAAATCTTTATTATTAAAGGAATTGTTGTGGTTTGAATGTGCAGTATCCATACGCTTGTGTTTTCAATGCTCTTTTGAAGGCTATAGAGTCTACCTGGAAGAAGATGGTCACAACTTTTGAAGGTTATACCTGCCTCTGGCTCACCTCTTCTTCCTTTCTGCCACGTGTAAACAGCTGCCTCATGTTCCAGCCACCCCAGACAAGGTCACATATTTTGCCTATGATAATGAACTAAAATTTCTGACGGCATGAACCCAAACAAGCCTTTCTTCCCTTACGTTATCTCTACCGGGTATTTTGTCACTGTGATGAGAAAAGTATTTTTCAGGAAGCATAAAAAATTCTTTGAAAAATTCTCCCCAGTGTTAGGGAATCAAACATGGGGCCTTCTACATTCTACCTCTGAGTTATATACTCTCTGCCTATATTTGAGACAGAGTCTTCGGTAGCCCACACTGGTTATGAACTTTTAATCCTTTGGCAGCATCTCCCAAGTGGTGGATAAAAGGCATGCAAAACCATACCCAGCCGAATAAATTCTTATCAAGTTATTCCATGATAATCAAGAGATATTCACATATATGTAGCATTCAAATACTCAGTTTACACTGCCTTTGTCTGTGTAGGTTGGCAGTGTGTGCAGAGGCGTCTCTATCACTCTCTGCTATATATCCTTGAGACAGAGTCTCTCAATGACTCTGAACTAGGTTATCAGCCAGCAGGCCCCAGCAGTTCTCTTGTCTGTTTCTCACAGCACTAGGGTTACAGGTATGTGAACGACATTTTTATGTGGGTTCTAGGGATTTGAACTTAGGTCCTCATGCTTACATAACAAGCACTATGACCTGCAGAGTTATTACCTAGCCCTTTACTTTAGCTTTAATTATAAAATTTTGTTTTAAGCAGGGAAAATTAAGAGACATAGGAATGAAAAGAAGTCCCTTATTCCTGCTAAAAATTGAGATAAATTTCACCAACAAGGTTATGAAGTAGGTTTATATTTTTACATTTGTTTATATAATGTTTATATGTTTACATCTATACCTCTTGTGACCTATTTTACATAAAAATTCCTATCTTTTTTGACTTATGTTTTTATTTTAGTAGTTCATGAACATATTAACGTCTCATAAATAACCATCTCAATTCATTTACCAAAGAAAAATCTTTGAAATAAAAATTAAATGTACCAAGTCAGGGATGGTAGTACATGCCTTTAATGCCAGCACTTGGGAGGCAGAGGCAGGTAGACTTCTGTGAGATGGAAGTCAACCTAGTCTCTGCTACAGAGTGAGTTCAAGGACAGCCAAAGCTACACAGCAAGACCCTATTTCCAAAACAAAACTAAAATATAAAAATATTCTTACTTAACCTTTTGAACAATTTAATGTAAGCCACCAAAATCATTTATATAGTTGAAACTCTTGAACTTACACACATGTGAATATGTTTCTTTCAATAGGGTGCTATCCATCCTTGTCTTGGTTACATACAACTTAAGCCACAAATCGACCTTTTCTCGTCTGTCTCTTCTATTCTCTTACCCATGCTTTTTAATAAGCTCTAACTTTGCTTCTAAAAGAAACTTGTATTTATTTGTTTATCTATTTATTTGAAGACATTTTAGTATAAGCCAGGCTGGCCTGGATTTTACTGTGCGCCCAAACTGACCTTGACCCTACTGTGTGCCCAGACTGACCTTGAACTATTTTGTTGCTTTAGCCTCCCTAATGCAGGGATCAGGTATGTGCCACCCACATCACATTCTTTAAACATTTTCATACTCAGTTTAAATAGTCCAAAATTATGAACTGGCTTTCTTGTAATATGGGATGCAAGGGCTCCACTAGAATCGTTTTACTACTGCTTAACTAGAGGATAGATGTATGTCATATGTCATATACATCAAAATGACAAGTGAAATCCTTCCTTAGTTCAAAGTATTAACTTAAAATGCCACTCATCAAAAATCTATTTTCCTACCCATACTTAGTATGTTTCAAGAAAGGTAGATATGGGATAGACACTTACTGGGAAAGGAACTATTTTATAACTATATTTAATAAAAATAACATTGAAAGAGTAACAATCAATAAATATACTTTATATGCTCAGAGCTTATGTGAGCATATAAACTGAACTACATCTAAATAGGAATTTTCTTTAAAGAGGAATTCTTTTTTTTTGTTTTTTTTGAGACAGGGTTTCTCTGTGGTTTTGGAGCCTGTCCTGGATCTAGCTTTTGTAGACCAGGCTGGTCTCGAACTCACAGAGATTCGCCTGCCTCTGCCTCCCAAGTGCTGGGATTAAAGACGTGCACCACCACCGCCCGGCTAAAGAGGAATTCTTAAAGCTGACTGTGGTGGGGTATACTTGTCATCACATTCAGCACCCATGACGCTGGGCAGGAGGATCAGGACTAATGCCCAGCCTGTGCGCACAGTAAGCTCCAGATCAAGTTAAGCTGCATTGGAAAATCTGTCTGGGGTGCAGCAGCTTCATAAGACTGCCCCTTCCAAGAATCATTCAGAAGAGTGTAACTTCTTTTGTTCTTGGATCTGTTTTCTAAGTAGGCTTAACACTTTGGGTTTCTCTTAGCATTTAGGGCTTCCTTACTCTTCCTCTAAAGCTCCCATACTGCCTGTGGCTGCTTCTCAGCCATGTGTCTGGCTTCCATGCCAGCTTCAAGTGTATGTCCCTTCTCTTTTCCATTCTCCAGGCAGCTGTTGGGATTTACATCTTGCCTGTTCTGGAGGCTTTTTTGTTTTGTTTTTAATTCTAATAAAATTCTTTGAACTCGGGGGCTGGAGAAATGGCTCAGTGGTTAAGAGCACTGCCTGCTCTTCCAAAGGTCCTGAGTTCAATTCCCAGCAACCACATGGTGGCTCACAACCATCTGTAAGGAGATCTGGTGCCCTCTTCTGGCCTGCAGGCACACATGCGAACAGAATAGTGACAATACTGTATACACAATAAATAAATAAATCTTAAAAAAAAAAATTCTTTGAACTTTTGGTTCATGGGTGGGGAAGGCCCATGAGACGGCTCATTGGGAAACGGTACTTGTTGCCAAGCCTGAAGACCTCAGTTTGATATCTCAGATGGGTAGAAGAAGAGAACTCACTCCTATAGACTGTCCTCTGACTGCCACACACATGCCATTGCTCACTGACATCATCCTCCCAACAAACACACTAAAAAGTGTTCTAAAACCTTTAAAATGTTATAGGGCAGGCCGGGTTGCTCAGTGGACAACACTCTTGTGATACAAACATAAGGACCTGAGTTTAAATGCCTAGAATCCATGTAAAAATCTGGATTTGGTATCACAAGTGTCTATAGCCCCAGCACGCCCACAGGAAGATGTGAGGTGGGGACATGAGAAATGAAGGAAACTTCTGGGGCACCTACCCTTGCATATGCAGTGGTAAACAAGAGACTTATCTCAAACAAGACGGAAGGGTGACTGCTGAGTCCTACACATGCATGATGGCACATGTGTAATTTTACTAACACAGACACACATATACACACACACAGATTTAAAAAATATCTTTTAGGGAGGTGGGTATGGTGCCACACACTTTTAATCCTAGCACTTGGGAGGCAGAGGAAGGTGGATCTCTTCTGAGTTTGCAGCCAGCCTGGTCTACACAGCAAGCTGGACACCAGCCAGGACTATATGGGAAACAATGTCTTAAAATAAAAGAAAGAAAAACATGTTTTAGGAGCTGGGAAGATGGCAGAGTAAAGTGTTTGTCGCACGGGCATGAGGACCTGGGTTTGGTTCTCAGCACTACATAAAAATCAAGAATGGTGGTATGCATCAGCACCCTAGTGCTGGAAGAATAGAATGGAGACAGGGGACTCCTCAGGGCCTGCTGGCCAGCCCATCTCACTGAAATAGGGAGCTCACAGTTCAGTGACACACACATACGTATTAGAAGAATGTAAAAATATCAAAACACCTGCATGGTGGCTCACATCTGTAATCTTAGCACTCTGGAGACTAAGAAGGACTTCCACAAGTTTCAGGCCAAAGCTATAAGTGAGTTCTAGGTCAGCCTGTGCTATAGCGTTTGTCTCAAACAAACAAAGACAAGGCATTGACCCAAGAGAATCCTAGCCTCTGGTTTCAGCTAAGAACTCATACCTGCTCACAAGACTAAAATTGTACTTCTTAGTCTGAGAGGTGTCACTGAGACAACAATGAGATATCAGGATATAACACTTTCCCAAGTAAGTACATTTAACCTTTCTTTTACTAAAAGAATGGAGAAAATATTATCATGAATATATATATATATATATGACTACTACTTTGTTTTTTTTTCTTTTAAATAAAAATCTGTATTAAAATGAGAAAAATTGTTCTATAAAGAAGATGCATAGTTAATTGACTATTAGGTAATCAATTAATTCTGCTAAAATATTTTATTCTCTCCATCTAGTCTGATGAAGTAAGTATAATAAATATTACCCACTGATACTTTCAATGTGATTAGATTAAATAGGAGGCACACAAAATGAATTACTTTTCATCCATGCGGCTTCTCATGTTCTTCAGTTTCTGCATGATGCTGCTGGTTTCACTGCTGGAAATAGATATTGGGGAAGGACTGCGGGTCTCCAAACCAGTCGGACCAGGACTAGCTGCCTTATTATCCTTTGTATCATCATCACTATGAGAGCCCTGCAAACAACACAGAACAAATGCCACTGGCTTTCAAAGATCTCAAGGAAATCTTAAACACAATCAATTACGCTTAATCTATAATAACTGAAATAAAGGTATTAACTACTTATAAAACAGAAATAGATCACATAATTAAAAACAGAATAGTAAAATTGCCAGATGTGGTGGTATACAGCGATAATTCCTGCACTAAGGACGCAGATGCAGAAGGATCAGGAATTTGACACCAGCTTGGGTTACCCATGTGAATTTATGGCCAGCCTGGTATACACAGTGAGACTGCCTCAAAAAAAGGTGCAAATTTTATGTTATACATGTTTTACTGCAGAAAGAAAGAGGGAGAGAAAAAGAAACATAATAGTTTTCTTTTCTTTCCTTTTTAAGAACCTGGAAATTTTCTGCCACTATACTCAAGCACCCTCTTTGATTTTTAAAAGTTGAAACACTTTAAATGAATACCATGAGCAATGGTGTAGTGCAGTGGGAGAGTGCTTGCTTAGCAAGTATGAGGCCCAAGGTTTAATTCCTAACATGGCTTTAAAATAAGAATTTAAAAAAGGGAATGCAATAGACACTATAACTATATAAAACATGCATATACACAAAGAATGAACAAATGATATAAACCAGGAAAACACATTTTTTAAATTTCTTGTGGGAAACAGTATGTTCACAGAGTTTAAAATAGTTTTCTGGGAAAACATGGAGGAATTACTGGCTTAACCAGCACTTTACTTCCGAGGAACAAAAAGGAAAACTTGAAGCCAGGTATGGCGGTGCGTGCCTACACTCTCAGCACTCAGGAGGCTGATGTTGACTGCTAGCCTTTCATGGCTAACTTGAGCTACAGAGCAAGTCGCAGGCTAGCCACTTGGGGCTATAAAGCAAGATCTTGTCTTGAAAAAAAAAATACCAAAACAAAAACCAAAATAAACAAAAATTTGCACACAACATAGTGAAGTTAAAAATAGTAATTTAGACTCATTGATCCAGAAGAGATGGGTACAGATCCCTTCTCCTTTCCTTCCCCATCCTGAACAAATGAATACTACAGTCATTAGGAAGAGCATCACGCTTCCACCAAGTGAGAGGAAAAAGGGAGAGCAGGGCAAGCAAACATCTAATACAGGAGTGTGGCCTATGTGGAGAATCAGAGTAAAGGGGGCAACCTGAAAGTTCATGCGGAAGTAAGTGGTCAGCACCAAGTCATGAGCACAAACATGGTGAGCGGTAATAATGGCCTTCCCACAGAGAATTTTCTGTCCAAGGCGTCACAGTCCAAAGGGAAAGAATAGATAGGGAAAGAGGAAATGAGTAGGTGTGGTGGCTGGAGTGAAAAGGCTCCCATAGGCTCCTATTTGAATACTTAGTTTCCAGTTGGTGGCACTGTTTGCAAATGATTAGGAGGAAGTGTGTCACAGCAGGCAGTCTTTGAGGTTTCAAAAGAATTGTGCCCTTCTCAGTGTGCTCTCTGTGTCCTGTTTGTGGATGGAAATGTTGGCTCTCAGCTGCTCCAGCCAACATGCCTGCTACTTGCTGCCATGATGCAATGCCATGATGGACTCTTAGCCTTCTGATACTGACAACCCAACTGAATGCTTCCTTTTATAAGTTTCTGTGGTGGTATTATTTTGTCATAGCAATAGAAAAGTAACTAATGCATTAAGACAATAAAGTCTAGTATATATCATATTAATCAAGTAACTGAGGTACAATTATCAATAATGGAATCAATCAAAATCAAGTTCAAACTATTGATGGCAACAAAAATACAGCATCACTTACATGATACTCCTACCACAGATAAACGACCTGAACCTAATGTCAAGGGAACACTACACAAATCCCAGTTAGGGGATGTTCTACAAAATGACTGGCAACTATTCCTCTCATATAGCAAAGTCAAGGAACTATTCTAGAATGAAGGAGGAAAAAAAAAAAAACCAGACACAAAAACTGAAAGCTAGTAGTTTTCTGCCCTAGTTATTTCTTATAAAAAACACCCTTTTGACAAGGGAGAAACTGAAAAGACTTTAAGTTAAATAGTAATAATAAAATAATATAATAATTTTAATTTGTTGGCTACTTATTGTCATGCAACTCAGAAAAATAAATTATTATGTGCTTAATTTTTCTGTTAACTTAAGAATATTACAAAAATCAAAATTGAGAATTATCCTGGATTTACAGTTATAATATCCTGAGTTTTCCAACACAGTACTGATACTTCACAGTATCTTAGAATAGATCCAAATTTTGCTCTTGCCTTAATATCTTTGAATCCTATATCAATATAAAATTAAATCTGGATATGAGTACCATACAATGAGCAACAGACTCTCTCTATTCAAGAGAAGAAATGACAGAAGGATCAGCAAATCCAAAGATTCTGTCCCACTTTAGTTCATAAGAGGAAAGAACTTAAAGGTAATGAGAGAATCATGTGTTCTTTCCAAAACAAGCACATGCCACGTGAAGGTGTTCTCCCACTGTATAAAACAGCAGGCACACAGGACTTTAGCCTAGTTATTATTACACCATACTGAACAAACATACCGATCATTTCAGAATACAAAGTGAGCTAAGATTAGCAAGCAATATAGGCAGAAAATAAATTAATAAAAAATTCACTTAAATTACCAATTTATTCTCCCCTGCAGACTTCAACTTCTCCTGAAGTTTTATGGTGGTCTGCCGGATCCTTTCTATCTCTTCCTGCTGCTTAAGAATCAGTTGCCTTTCCTTCCGAGCTGCTTTATTGGCTTCTTGAAGACGTTTTATTTCTGCCTAATATTTAAAGAGTTAGGAAAAGAAATTGAAATTTGAAGGAGACAAGTTCAAAGGAGCATATAAAAAAAGAATCAAATCATTATATGTCACAGATATAATGTACTTCTAGACAACAATACTAAAACACTCAAATTAGTGAGGGAGGAAAATATTAAAAATAACACCATCATTCTAAAACAATGTAAGATGATCTCTTAGCTTAAAAAACTGTAGTTAAAGATGCTGGCAAATTCAGTCTTTTCTAAATCTAAAATATCTTTTATATTGTCCCACAATGTTACCGTATCTTTACATTTACCCACTTAATAGATGAACATCAGCAAATCAATTAGTGTAACCACTATTCTACTATTAAATTCTTAGACACAAACATTTCTCACTATCCAAAATAATGCTTTAACCTTAACTGTTTCATGTTATAAACTAGGCGTCTCTAAGAGGCCCTAAAAGTAGGAAAAGCAAGTCACTGAATCAGTCTACTGCCCTCAATACCGATTTAAAAGTGCTTTCAACCCGAGCATGCTGGTGGACACCTGGGAGGCTGAGGCAGGAACAACAGGAATCTGAGGCCTGCTTACTCTACACAGAAAATTCCAGACCAGCAAAAGTTACAAAGATCTTCTCAAAAATAAACCAACAAAAACCACCTGCTTTCAAAAGAAAACAAGAAGAGTATTCACCACTTACAATATACCAGAAACACTTAGTACTACACTGTAGCCAGCATTTGTCACGTAGTGTTGGCAGCTAATTTAGTGGGAAAAAAATTCACTGCTAATAATTGTTAACAATTATCAGAAACATCCTTTCTCATTAAAAAAAAAATCATTTACCAATGAGATAAGCACAATAAAGATACTAAAAATCTGCTACTTTTATTATTTTAATTATGTTTGAGAGCTATTTTTTAATTATTAGCAATCCAAAAAGTTAATAGTTTGTCAGTACTTGGGATTCCAAGAATGCAGCAAAGTGCAAGATAAATATCTACATTTACAAATCCTTGTCAATAATTGTTAGAATTCTGGTAGAAGAGTCAGTGGGTGGAAGTGCTTGTCCTGCAAGCTGGAAGACCTCAGTTTCATCCCTAGAACTCAAGGGTAGAGAGCTCTGACCTACACACACATGCCATGGTACACATGTGCTTGTGCACACACATACATCACACACACACATACAACAGTAATAACAAATACAATTAAATTTTTAAACAATCTGTTAAAATTCAGTATTTCTCCTAATTTCACTTATAATGAAGTGTCATATAATAAGAGCAGAAATGAAACACTAGAGAAAAGTAGTCTACCACTTGGCATTACCACTCCTCATAAGTAACCTTCAGCATGTATTCGGTATATATCCTTTTAGCTTATTCCTTTAAAATCTTTCACAAGTAGTTGTACCTACTTGCAAAAACTAGACTGTTTAGTTTGTGTTTTAAGACATTTTACAAATAACATCATAAGTATATATTTGCAGTTCAATTCCACTTAGTATTACTTCTGAGATACTGCCTGTGTGTGTGTGCATGTGTGTACATACAAATGTTCTACAGGGAATCAAACCCAGGACCTTACACACTCTAGGCTAGCGCTCTACCACTTAGCTACACCCCAGTCTAGACATTGCTTTTGATACTTCTCCATGTTAACTAATACATTCTAATGTTGCATAAAATACCTATTCAAACAATGCTCAATGAAGTTATCTGTTTGGTCTCCATGTGAACGGATAAGACTTTCTCTGGAGTACAGGATCTCAAATGTTCACGAGTTCCTAGGCTCTCCAGGGCCCTTTTAGGTAACTTACTACCAAACTACTTTTATGATATAAAGACAACATTTGTTCTACTCCAAGTTATTCTCTCTTGAGTATGAAATAACTTTGTTGTATTTTTAAGGAAGTCACTATATAAATTATAAAAAATTAATGACAACAATGACATATACAGCAAGTTTTATTTGATTTTTTTTCAATATAATATATTGGTCAGTTGGAAAATGTAATTTTAATGCTTAATGTGCATTCTAAATGTTCACATTTTATTATACAAAAATACGGGGCTGGAGAGGTGGCTCAGAGGTTAAGAGCACTGACTGCTCTTCCAGAGGTCCTGAGTTCAATTCCCAGCAACCACTTGGTGGCTCACAACCATCTGTAAGGAGATCTGGTGCCCTCTTCTGGCCTGCAGGCAGACATGCAGGCAGAATACTGTATACATAATAAATAAGTAAATCTCTAAAAAAATAAAAAATATTATTATATTTTTATCTCAAAAGAAAAATTATTTAGTAAGTAGCAGATAAAAGTTTTATCTTCCTCTTAAAAACTTGATCTTCAGTAACAATAAAGAGCATCCTTTGTTTTCTTTGATGTCACAACCATACCTTTTTTAAAGAGTGTATGGGTGTTTTGCTGTATGTATGTCTCTGTATCATGTGCTTAGAATGCCTAAGGTCAGAAGTGGGCATGGGTCCCCTGGAACTGGAGGTACTGATGATTGTGATTTGCTATGTGGGTGGTGGGAACTGAACCCAGGTACTCTGCAGGAGTAATCAGTGTTCTTAACTGCTGAGGATATGAATAAGCCTAGTTTGTCTGTCAATAATTCTTTTAAGTAAAAGTAGTATTCCAGAGTGGGATTGTGTGGCTAGTTTACAATAAGGAAATGCAAATTAAAAGAATACTTAAACTCCATTTAACCTCGATCAGAATGACTATCATCAAGAAAACAAAGGACAAGAAATGCTGATGAGGACACAGAGAAGGAGAAAACGTGTATATTACTGGTAGGAATGTAAACTGGCATAGCCACTAAGGAAAGCAGTATGGGCTTTCTCTAAAATAACAAAAATAAAAATGTCAGATGACCTAGTTGTACCACCAGGGCATGCCCGAACAGGATTATAGTAAGTCAGGACTGTCAATCATCACACCACAAACATAATTTGCACACCTGTGCTTACTGTTGCACTATTCACAACAGCCAAAGCATGGAACAAGCCCCACAGGTCTATCAACACATGACTGAGTAAAAAGGTGTAGTACATATACACCAGGGTAGTTTATTCAACTGTAGAGAATGAAATTATGATATTCAAAGGAAAATAGGTAGAACTGGAATTATTATATTAAGTAAAATAAGCCAGACTCAATTAATTATCACAGTCTAACTCATATGCAGAATCTGGATTTAGGTTTGTGTGTGGGTACTTAAGTGCGTGTGTGTGTGTAGGACATGAAAGTAAAAAAGAGATTAATAACAGGAGGAAAGGGTATAATGGGGGGAAACAGAAAATGATAGAATGTATGTGGCATGAAGACAAAGGGAGAGACCATTTGTGGAAAACAAGGGGACAGCAAAAGGAAATGGGGGTGAGCACAATATAGAACTGTGGAAGGTGGCTATGAATAAAGTATAATAATAAAGGTATACAAAAATATCACAATGAAATCTATTACTTGGGATGTTAATTTTAAGCCTATAAAGGAATACCCAAACAAAAAAGACAAAACTACTTGGCTAGTTCAATTTCCAATCAAATAACTGTACAAATATTTTCCTTGTACTAATCACTGTAGTCAGATGGCCAAAACAGAGCCTGTTAAGCACAGTAAGAAAACACAGATATGCAAGGGTCACAATCCTAAGATTATCGTTTTATCATGTAATTAGGGCTTTATTAATCAAAACATGCTTTTTAAAAACTGTATATACATGAAAACAAAGAATTTGACTACAATGTAATCTAATGCCCCCAATTTGTGCAAGGGCACTGGTTATGCTTGAATTTCTAAAGCAAATAATGTACAAATTCACTCAATGACTGTTCCGGAGAACAGTCATCCAAGGGGCAAGGGATGCAAATCTTCTACTATCACTGGTAAGTTTCTCCAAAAGGCCCACGTATTAGAAGACTAGTCTCCAGTTTGCTGAGGATTTAGGTGGTGTTATGCTTTTGAGAAGAGCTTACACTGGGGTGATGCCTAGTCCCTTCTTCTCTCTCTCTCTCTCCTACTTCCCATCCCTCACCCCCTTGTAATTCTGCCATGATATACTGCCTAACTACAGGCTCAAAAGCAACTGGACCAACTACCTGTGTACTGAAACCTCTCAAATATAATCAGAATAAACCCTTTCTTCACCACCAGTTACTGGGTGAAGGTTCTATGATGACAATTAGAGTGGTCATCAGTCGAAAACAAGGCCAGTTCAGAGCCTGAGTTCTCAATCATCATGCACTGTGCTGCTTCTCCAGAATTCAAAGCCAACGTCCTTCTAAGTCCCGAAGCCAAAAAACTAGTCAATATGTAACTAATGTCATGAAAATCTACTCGGGGAAAGAATGACTAAATATTAACCCACATCTGCATATATTTTAATTTTTAAATTTTGCATTTTAAAGGACTACATTATTCTCTGTAGTATATGAAGGCAGATTTATTGTCTAGCATTAAAACAGTTTTAAAATAAGAGAAGTAGGTGAAACTAGCAAGAAATGCCTATGATTATTGTACTATAGGTGTAAACAGTAGTTTCAACAAAATCTTACAGTGATAGTAACAAAATGTGATTAGACAAAGTAATTCAACATACAAACTTCCCTGTGACAAATGATGTCACATAGGTGCTATTCCCACACACCTTTTCTTGCTGCAGTCTTAAAAGCAGACCACGCTGTTTCTTCCGGAGCGGGGGCATCTTATCATCCTCTCCTTTGTCTCGTAGATGTCTGTAAGGAATATTCTTTCATTAATACAAATATTAAATTTATAAGTAAAAAATTCTTAAGTACTATAAAGCCTATAAACTGATTTAATATCTTCCTATGTGGAAAGCAACTGTTACAAGTAACAATTCAAGTTACACTAAGTGTTTTACTGAGTGTATAATACATTCAAGGCCTGGACTCCATCCTTTAAGGATAGCAATACAGCACTCGAGAGAACTGACAACCTATAATGAGTTGGATGGAGTGATCTAAGAGAAATAAAAATATCAACCAGTAGGAAAATTATTTTGCAAGTAACACAAATCAAAGATTACTGCCACTATTTCTAACTTGAGAACTGTGTTGATAAAATTCCATCGGATGAGACAGGTTGAAAACACAGCTCACAGTTAGCACAAGTTTAGCATTCACCAAACCAGGGTTTGATTCCCCAACACCAAAATCAAACAAAAATATCTTAAGACATGAAGCATTTCTTATTTCAAAAGAAACTGACTAGTAAAATCTACATTTATTGGAAGAACTTGCTTTTTTTGATGTTCTAGCCAGGCTAATTCAGCCTTTGTCTTCTCCTTCAGGGCCTTTTCTCGAAGACGCAGAAGTGAGGACTGGTGAGCGGCACGCATTTCCTCTTCTTTCATATACTGTCGGACCATCTCCATGGTGAACTTAGAAAAGCTGTCCTGTCCTCCCGAGAATGGCATGCTCAGCTCCTAAAGCATACAGTTTATTTCAAAATTAACACCTTCTAAATCTTTTGGTATTTAACTTCATTTAAAAACTTATGAACTTATAAAAAGTTAATTACAAAAGATAGGAGTGGGGTCATGCGTCTTTAGTTTCAGAGTCTGAGATAGGATTACATGAGTTTGTGAGACTAGACTGAGCAACACAGTGAGATCTCATCTCAGAAAGAAAAAAAGTATAGAAAATAAAAAAAAGCAAACAAGCATCTCATAAAACTGTCTATAATATAAGAAAATATCACTCAGAAAGATATAAGAGGGACTGAAATTCAGTCAAAAAAAAAAAAATCTTGATGAACAATTACCACAAGCCATGTACTGTCCCAGGGAAGCAAAGCAGGGAAAAAGCTGTTCCTGTTTTCTAAAAAGCATACAATTTGGAAAGAAATGTCTACTTTCAGATGGATGAGGTGAAAAAGCTGCAAGCAATACTGACTGAGATCCTTTAAAGGTGTTATTATAACTAACGTTTATATTCTATTTCATCTGAATAACCAAGCTAGATTTTACATGTATAATATAAATTTGATCTCTTGAAAAATATTTCTGATATTTGCCTGGTACTTATATAAAATGCATTCTCATATCTGTGGGAAGCTATGACCTCCTAAGTAGACACACCTTGGCAGAAGACAGTACAGGCTTATCTGGGGAAGCATCTTCATCGGAGTCATCATGATGGCCTCTTTTCTTTTCCATGTTAAATCTACGATGACTCTCAGAAGGTAGTAAAGATCGAAATGATTTTTCTTCTATTTCATCTTCTGTCATAGATTCATCAAATTTCAGGGAGTATTCTGTTGCAATAGAAGTCGAGTCTAATAGGATGAAGAGGAGGAATGCTACAACCATCCAATTTTACAATTACAAATAAATGTAAAAACAGTCTAGACAATGCTAAAATTTGATTTTTTTAAACTTGTAAATTTCTAATTGAAGAGAGAAGTGGGGGAGGGAGTAGCCCCACCTTCTGAAATAGAACAGCTTTGGCACCTTGGCCTGATTTGACAGTGGCAGCCCTGCTGATCTGTCATTCTTCTCCCTTTTGAAGAACACACATGTTCACAGCTTGAGACAGTCTAGTGACCCTTCCCACAGAATTCTACAAGTCTGTTCTTTCTCTATTTTATCCAACCTACTCTAGTTTAGACCGGCATTCTTTCTGCTGGTAATCACATTTATTTTTGGCTTCTGTTATAAAGGCTGACCAAATCCATGGCTAGTCTTTATGTCCAGGCACACTCTTAGCATTCTCTCCAAAATATGTTTGCTTTCTTCATCTTTCTCCCACTGCACCTCCCTTCTTAAACTATGGTTCAATGGGGCTGGAGACATGGACGAGTGGTCAAAAACAGCTGCATTTCTTCCAGAGACCACCACATAACAGCTCACAACCATCTACAATTCCAGTTCCAGGGGATCCACTGTTCGTTTCCAGTCTCTGCTGGCACGAAGCACACATGTGGTGCATAGATATACATGCAGGAGAAACAGTCTCACACACACACACACACACACACACACACACACACACACAACACACGACACAGTCCAAAGCTACACAGAGAAACCCTGCCTTGAGGGGCTGGAAAGATGGCTAAGAGGTTAAGAGCATTGCCTGCTCTTCCAAAGGTCCTGAGTTCAATTCCCAGCAACCACATGGTGGCTCACAACCATCTGTAATGCAGTCTGATGCCCTCTTCTGGCCTGCAGGCATATACACAGACAGAATATTGTATATATAATAAATAAATAAATATTAAAAAAAAAAAGAAACCCTGTCTTGAAAGAAAAAAAAAAGAATAGGCTGAGAATTTTCTAAACCTTCAAGATCTGGCTCCTTTTTTCTTAATAATTTCTTCAATTTACTGGATGCAGTAAAGAGAAACAACACTTTGGAAGGAATCTCTTAAGTTAAATACGTTAAGTCTATCACTTTTAACTACTATTTTCCAAATAAACTACAAAACTGGAGAGCATAGCTCCTCAGCAAAGGTCTTGCCTGGCATGCATAAGACCCTGAGTTCAAATTTCAGCATCACAAAAAAGCAAGTGAGTCAATATGTGAGTTTTGTGGACTCCCAAGGATCACTATTCCTTCCTCCAGTTCCCACATTTGTGTACAAGGAAATGTGCATGTGTGTAAAGGAAATGCACATGTGTACAAGGAAAGTTACCTTTCTCATCAGGAAGAGATGGAATACTATCACTTCGTAGAGAATCATCTGCAGCAGTCTGAAGTTGTTCATCAATTGAACTCTCCATCTTTTCATTGTGGAATTTCTTCTCATCTTCCTTACAAGATGGAACTAAAGGGCTTGCTTGACGACTGCTCCCACTACTACTTCTGTTTATATAGATATTATAAAAACAAACATACAAAAAATAAATTAAGGATCATAACTTCAAAGCAAACTTATCTGAACAAAAGGCTTTACTTTATAATCAAGGCATAAATGGAAGACAGAAAGATAGACAGACATACTATAAAATATAACTGGAAAGAAGAGAATTTTACTTGGAAATACACAGACAACCACTACTCTCAAGTTATCACTCCGCTATTTCATTTCACAGTCAAATTTCTGGTTAAAGGGAGGCTTCTGCTCACTACTTCCATTTTCTTTCATCAGTACATAACTGTGCTACTAGAACTGTTCTTGACAAACTATCTATAAACTTCTAAATGTCAAATTCATAAACTGCTTTTGCCTCTGTGAAAGCACCAGGCAGTACTTATCTCTTCGTATTAGACAAGATCTCAAGTAGCTCAGGCTGGCCTTATACTAGATATGTAGCTAAGGCTGACCTTGAACTGCGGCTCTACACAACTGCATCCCATGTACTAAGCCTACCAGCAGGAGCCTTCACATTTGGTTTATGTGGTGTTAGGGATTGAGCCCAGAGTCTTGTGCATGTGAGGTAAACTGCACCAGGTCATTACAGCCTCTGGACCGTCTTTAAAAGCTCTACTTGCTTTAAAATAAATAAGCAGATAGGCAGGCAGGCAGGTAGGTAGGTAGAGAGAGAGAGAGAGTAAAAATATCAACATTTGGATACTATGAATGAAAGATATTTAAGGACTTTATATTATTCTTGGTACATTTCTGAAAGCCTGAATTTATATCAAAATTAAATATCAAATAAAACCTCTCTTTTCTTATATTCCATGATTCTATTCTTAATATTTTTCTTTCTACCTTTAGAGCTAAATTTTCCTGTATTTATTTCACTGGCTTTTAAGTTTTGCCTTTCCTTAAACTCCCGCCATCACCTATGGTGAATGTGGGAGCTGCAAGTGCACATGGTCAGCCCTGCATGACTGCAGACAGAGGAGGGCCTAGTCTGCATGAGGATGTGAGAAAACTGCACACTCCTGGGGAAAAGCCCTGAGGCTTTGGAAAACAGTTTGGCAATTCTTGAAAAAGTTTCAGTCTTTCAAAACCAAAACAAAAACATGTATCACATAGTTCAGTAATTCCTAAATATGTACTCATGAAACATGAAAATATATAACCACACAAGAACTTGAACATTAATGATGTTCACAACATAATTATTCATGATACCACAAAAGCAGAAACAACCCAAATGGCTACCAACTAACAAAATATAAGTGTGCACAAGAAATGATTTGATGATATAATGGTGATATACACTAACATAGATGAGCTCTAAAAACATGTGAAGTAAAAATCGTCACAAGAAACCTAAATGACCTGGGAAAACTTTCAAACATGTGAATAGCTGAATTGGGTGCAAGCTTTAGAAAAATCACCCTGGTTATCACATGGCTGAGTAAGAAACCTACTAACAATCCGTTATAGTAACTAACCCAAAAGCCAAAATGAAATATCAGTGATGGTAACTCCCATTAACGTTAAAAAGGAATCACATGGTTTAACATAAGAAGTAATCAATAACTGTTGTACTCATCACATATTACTTTTCACGCTTTTAGTTCCTTTTTCCTTAGTTAAGGTTTTATTTTACTTGATGATGTGGGATTTTTGGTTTTTTTGTTGTTGTTGTTGTTGTTGTTGTTGTTGCTGGTTTGAGACAGGATTTCTCTGTGTAGCTTTGGAGCCTGTCCTGGAACTTGCTCTATAGTCCAGGCTGGCCTCGAATGCACAGAGATCCGCCAATCCCTGCCCAACTGCTGGGATTTAAGGTGTGCACCACCACCACCTGGCAAATGATGATGTGGTTATTTATTGTACCACTAGAAATGCTAGAGAGAAGCCTGCCAGAGGATGAAACAATAACTGAGAAATACAGATATTAATACTGTCCCTGTATAAATGGCAAACTATTCAATAGCATTCATAATAATAGTACATATGCAAACACCAACAGATAGGAACAAAGGCGTTCATGATGACACATGCTTGTAAACCCAATTATAGCTACTCAAGAGTAACATAGTGAAACCATAATCTCAAAGGAGAAGGAAAAGGAAGAGAGGAGGAGGGAAAGAGAGAAAAAGATAAGAAAGAAGAGAGCAGGAACAATGGGGGAGGGGGAAGAGAAGATAAGAAAAAAAAGACGTCAGTATGGAAATATGCAATAAACCCAGGCTTTAGAACCAGATAAATCAAGGTTCAAATCCTTAACGAGTCACTACTTATGTGTGTATAAGCATGTGTCTATGTGTATATGTAGAAATGTTTTGTGAGAACTCATAATTTCTTTAGGGGGGTCTCAATTCCCTTCTTTAATCTAGCCATATTATTGTCTGACTTGAAAGATTGCTCTGAAAGTTGCATGTAGAAGGAACAGCCTATGCAATGTTTATATTACTATACCCTCAAGGAATAATAGTACATCATTACACGGACAAATATTTTTTACATTTGCTAATCAAAAGGGGAAGCTGGCACTTTAAAACCAGACATTACTCAGTTTATACCAAAAAAAAAAATTAAGAAAGAAAAAGCAATGTTTAAATCATTTATCAGAATTCATCAAACTTTACTGAAACAAACTTTCTTCACCTTCGATCATGATTCTTGTACCTTGAAGACTCAGAATAACTGTCATATGAAGGGGAATATTTCTGACGCTTTGAGTCCAGAGCTCCTTCTTTATTCTGAGAGAGCGACACAGACTGACTTATCCTAAAAACAAAAGACTTGATTAAATATTAGGTCTCCAGTAAAGATTTTAAATACTGTTTAATAGTAATTGGAGATAAAATGTTAAATGCATAAAAATGACAAAGTGTTAGAAAGTATTTTAGAATTCACACATAGAAAAGGACATACAACATATAAAGAACACCATCTCTATTTACTCCTAGTTTCTATGAATTAGAGACAGTCAAAATATTATTTAAGAAATAAAACCCACAAAGCAAGCCAGGCAGTGGTGGCACACGCCTTTAATCCCAGCTCTGCAGAGACAGTGGCAGGAGGAGCTCTGAGTTAAAGGCCAATCTGCTCTACAGAGTGAGTTCTAGGACAGCCAGAGCTACATCATGAGACTCTGTCTCAGAAAACCAAACCAAAATAAAACAACTACAAAAAAAAAAAAAAAGAAAGAAAAAGAAAAAGAAAGAACAAAAGAACCCCCAAAGCTTGGAGCAACGGCACTCACTTGTAGTACTGACACTTAGGAGAACAAAGGGAACAAAACCAGAGGACTGCCACAAGTTTAAGGCAGCATGGGCTGCACAGTAAGTTCTAGGCTATACTGACTTCCATTGTGAGACCCTGATAAAACAAAACAAAAAAAAAAAAAACCAAAACCTCCCCAAAGAAAAACCACATTTACCCACAGTATAACTGGGCATAGTGACATACAGCTTTATCTAATCCCAACACTTGGGAAGCAGGTCTCTTTGAGTCTGATGCCAGTCTAGTCTACATAGTAAGTTCCAGGCCAGGCAGGGCTACAAAGTAAGACCCTGTCCTAAAACTTCTTAAATGACTTTTCATGTTTCTAAAGTAAAGTCCAAAATGCTAACATCTGCAAGGTCCTACCCTCACCAGCTTCCAAACAAGAAGCTCTCTCAGCATCAACAAGTCTAGAGTGACCAACGGCTGTCCCTCACCCTACCACATACTCCAAGAACCTATCTATGTTTAAGTCAATAAGAAAGCAAGGAGTACAAATCCCAATCTCATAACCTCTATGACTTTCTCAATTAGATATTAGTAAATTTATTATATAACTTTGTCAAAGTTAAATTATAGACTAACTTCTATATATCTTATATGGCTAACCCCTTTCAACTAGGCTTATAAGATACCACATCACCCATTATAGAAGAACTAATAAACTTTCACGATCATACCCTAATAATTGCTTTCCTTATTAGCTCTTTAGTATTTGACATTGTACACTTATATTTATTACCAAATAAACCCACACTAGCACAGTAGATGCCCAAAAAGTCTAAATAATTTGAACAATTCTACTTGCTGTTACCTTAATCCTCACCACCCTATCTTCCCTTCGTATTCTTTATCCTTTATATAATAGATGACATTAACAACCCTATCCTAACAGTAAAAACTATAGGACACCAATGATACTGAAGCTATGACTACGTAGATTTTGAAGACCTATGTTTTGACACCTACATAGTACCAACAACTGATCTTAAACCAATTCCATACCATTTTCCTCTTTGCTCTCTTCTTCCATTACACTGACCTTTCCTGTTTTCATTTCCCCTTAGATATGTTGTAGACCTTTAATCTGCCTATTTCCCTCCTTTATATCAATTAATCCTTATATACTATATCCTCTGAGATGTGTGCTTTTTTAGAACACTTATCTAAGTTTATAAAGCATCTTTCACTTAGCTGAGTAGTTGCCAAATGTTTCTCTTTCCACTGGACTGTATGCCCTTAATTGTATTCTCAATACCCTAAATAGTGCATGGGATAGAAAAGATACCTCATTACATATTTTTGAATGGCTGAATACTTACCTATCTGTTTCAGCTTTGGTCCTCAGTTGTTTCATAAAGTCTGGAAGATGCTGCCGCTGGTGGTCATACAGTGCTGTTAGGGAAACTCCAGAAGCACCAATGGCATCGGAGATTTGTGTCCGAGTTAGTTCTGCCATCTGAATGTGAACACACAAAATAGCACAAGTAGATTTTAGAAGATAGTATCAGAGGACACCTGAAAAGGAGAACGTCCTGAAAAAAATCACTGAACTGGGGCCAGCAAGATGTCCTCAGACAATGGCTGCCAAACTTGAGGACCCGAGTTGGCTCTCCAGGACCCATACGTAGCAGAAGAGAAGCACCTCCTTCAAGTTGTCCTCTGACCTCAACGTCTGAACTCACCTACCTCTGCCATGTAAATAAGCAAATAAACATAATTTTAAAAAAGATCACTGAACTGAAATCAAAATAAATTCTGCCTCTGATAAACTACTACAATCAAGTCATTTAGCTTCTTTAAGTCATAACAGGTTCATCTTAGGAAAATGAATTAAAGAGCTGGGAAGAAGTTAGGCAATTAAGAATACCAGCTGCTCTACAGAGAAACTGGTTCAGTTCCCGGCACACACATGGAGGCTCATAACCATCTGTTACTCTAGTTCCAGGGGGTCCGATGTCCTCTACTGGTCCCCACAGGCACCAGGCATGCATACAGTAAAGTAACATACATGCAGGCACTCACACATACACACAAACAAAAATGAATAAATCTTAGGGAAAAAAGTTGAATTCAATAATTTCTAAAGTTTTACCCACTATAACAATTTATTAGTCATATAGGAAACATCTTCAAATCATATAATAAGCAACAGTAAACCAAAAATTAGTCTTCCCTTGAGAATAAGTCCAGCCCCTGCTTACTTTCTAAATATTTTGTACCATAAAGTACATTTACCTATCCCTTACGCCCTTATTATAACTGTTAACATATTATTTATTTGATCATTTTTCAATTACAGTTTTAAGCTATTCCTTCATTTGATGACTTAATAGTACTTTTAAAAATCTTTTGTTAATGTTTTCTACTAAGTTAAAGTTTTACTAAGAGGTGCTGGAGAGGTGATACAGTGTTTAAGACTGCATACTGATCTTGTATGGGACCTAAGTTCAGTTCCCAGCACCTACTTTGTGGTTTAAAACCATGTGTAATTCCAGTTGCAAGAGATCCAATGATCTCTTCTGACTCTTGGGGCACCCACACTCACACACACATACACACACCCATACACACATTTTTTAGTTTATTTTTTGTTTTTTTTTTTTCAAAACAGGATTTATCTGTGTAGCCCTGGCTGTCCTAGAACTCACTCTGTAGACCAGGCTAGCCTCAAACTCACAGAGATCCATCTTCCTCTGCCTCCAAGAACTGAGATTAAAGGTGTGCACCACCATGCCCAGCACACAGATTTTTTAAAAATTTTATTTATTCTCTGTGTTTTTTATATCATGTATCTTGATCCCATTATTTCCCCATCTCTTCTAATCTACCCCACCCCCAAATAAAACAAAATTTAAGAGAAAAATGGGGAAAAAAGGGAAAACATTAAAAATCTCATCATGGAAGCTGCAGTGTGACACAGTGAGTCATGCCATAAACCCTTTTATCCACACATCTTTACTTGCAAGTGTTCATTGCAGAGTCATTGGTCTGGTTCGAGGCCTCTGGTTTCTACTACACTATAGATGCTAGGCCCTCATTAGGACTCTTCGTGCGTATCCTGTTGTTACCCTGTGTTGTGGAGATCCTGCAGGTTATGTTCCTTCACGTGCTCTAGCAGGCCATGGATGGGGTAGATGATGGGGCTGGCCAAGTCATAACCCTGGGTCTGGGCCTGGGCAGCTGTAGGGTCTGGTCCACCAGATGGGAAATGGGGATAGCTCTCCCATGGCTTACAACTTTGGGCATGGCTCACCCAATCCTGCACTAACAGGATCAGCTCTGTTGGTGCTGCCCTGGTGGGGTGCAGGGCCTGCTCTCCCAAGTGTTGCAGCTGGTGGAGGCAGGGACAGCTTCCCTGCTCTTATGGCCACAGGGCAGTTCTCCCACCTGCCCGCAGGTGTTGATTGAAAGGCAGGTAGGAGGGCAACTGTTCCCAGCCCACTACTCGGACTGGCTCACCCACACCTCTACCAACAGGGTTGAGTTTATTGTGTTGCTCAGGTAAGGTGCAGGGTCTGTTCTCTGGCTCTCCCATCAGCCTCAGGTGTTGTTGGTGGTGGGGTTATCTTCCCCTACCCATGCTGCCATGGGACAGATGAGCAATGGGGCAGCTCTCCCATGCTCACAACTTCAGGGATGACTTGTCCACACCTTCACTAATAGGGTAGGCTCTATTTGTGCTGCCCTGGAGAGATGCAGGGCCTGCTCTCCCACGTGCTGCAGCTTACTAGGTATGTGGTGGGGGGAGGGGCAGGGACAGCTCTCCCACTCTTACTATCTTAGGGTCAACTCTCTCACCTGCCTTAGTCGTTGGTGGATGGGGGCAGAGGCAAGGCAACTCTCTCCAGCCTATGCTGCCATGTGGCAGGTGGGGGTTGGGGCTAGGTCTCTCATGCTCATGTTCTCAGGGTTGGCTCACACCCAACACATAGATTTTTTAAAAATAAATACCTTTTAAAATTTTTGCTTAAGAAACAAGACTAACTTTATATTTATTTAAGTTCACAATATCCTACATAGATTCACAGATACATGGTTTTTGTTTGTTTGTTTGTTTGTTTGTTTGTTTTTTCCAAGACAGGGTTTCTCTGTGTTGCTCTGGCTGTCCTGGAAACCTACTCTGTAGAACAGGCTGGCCTCAAACTTGAGATCCACCTGCCTCTCCCTCCTAAGTACTAGGATTAAAGGTGCTGACACGTAGAATTTTTTTAATGGCAGTCATTTCACAAATACTTCTAATTTTCAGAATTGCTAAAAATCAAACTCTATCCATAGATGATAATATCCTTTTCATGGAGAAAGAAATAAAATTATTTCTGGCTTTACCATTGGTATGGCAAAAGAAAAGATACTGAAGGACTGGAGAGTAGGCTCAGAGGTTAAAAGCACTGACTGTTTACTCTTCCAGAGGATCCTGATTCAATTCCCAGCACCCACATACTAGCTCACAATTGTCTGTGACTCCAGTTCCAGGGAATTTAAAGCCCTTTTCTGGCCTCCATGAGCACCACGTAGTATACAAACATACATGCAGATAAAACACCTATACAAATAAAATATTTTTAAAAGATAATGACTAATCTCACTATGGGTTAAAAACAAAAACATGTAAACCAAGAGAGTGGCTTACACTTCTCACTCTGGCACTTGGAAGATTAGAAGAGAATCAGGAGTTCAAGGTCATCCTTAGCTACATAGCATTCTTGAGGCCAGCCTAGATTTCATGAGATCCTGCCTTTAAAAAAAATCAAATAAAATAAAGACACAGTCATAAAGCTCCCCTGATGCCAAGACTGGGGACTAACTGTAAAGAGGCATGAAAAAGGGGAATGATAGGCATATTCTATTTCTGACTGTACTAGTATTTTAGAGAGATATATACTATGTATTCAACATAATATATTATACTATTTATAAATTATGTATCAATAGTTAAGACTTCCATAAAAAGCTTGCCAGAAGGTAGAGATTTAGAGTTCTCTATCTTTGTTCTAACTTTCATACGTACAATACATTACCAATGTATATGTCAACCTTATTTTAATGGGGCCTCACTAAAACTCACTAAGTCTAAGTGTGCATCTTTTAAGAGTTAGATACCCATCTCTTGCAAAATCTAAGTTATTCAGAATGACGTAGAAGAAGAAGGAGGGCTCCAGTGCCTCTTACCTCACAGATCTGCCGAGCTGCATCTGTGGTGAGGCGAGCAGTCTCTGTCTGCTGAGCTGCTATTTTACAAGTTGCTTCCTGGAGGACTTCAGTCACTTCTCTTTGAGACTTAACCACCTGCTGTAAGGATTCTGCATGGACCTATAAATAAATAAAATGGAGTGAAAAGCTTAGGTTTTAGTCTTCCTTCTGTGTAACTTAGTTTTAATTTATAAATTTGTCTCGTGGACCAAATAATTTATGAAAACTAGGCTTGACTATAACCTGGATTTCATAGTTGAAGGGTCTGTGGTGATCAATCACAATGCACAGTGGCTGCCACCGCTCTAAATGAGGACCGAGTCTTGACTGCTTATTTTAAAGGACTGCTAGATGACTCAAATGTCACGAATTATGACACATAAAGTACTAAAATATTTACAACCCAACCTTTCATTTTTATTCTTATATACTTAAGGAGTTCTACAGTGAAATTTCTAAATATAAAATTTTAGGTTTAAAGAATCAATACCCGCCACAAAAAAAATCACCTGAGCTGTTTTGTTCCGGGTTTCTTCTAGCTGCCTCTGGCACTCCAGAGCTTCCTGCTCAGCTTTTAGCTTCAGTAAGGCCAAATCTCTTTCATGGCGCTGTTGCTGTGCCTTTAAATTAAAGTGATGAAATATTAATTCTGCAGCATTAAGCTGTTTTGATACAATGGCTACAGTTAATACATCCCTTTCTTTCCTATCTATTTTCTTCAAACAGGTCCTTTATGGATCAAGCTGCCTCAGCTTACTGCATGTACAGCTAGGATTGCAAAAGTGAGCACCACACGAGACTCACACAGCTCTACAGCAAACAACTAGAGTCTAAAGGAAAGGTAGTACACCCAAAAGTCATCAGATACTTTACTCTCTCTTTCTTCCTCCCTCCCTTTCTTTCTTCTTTGAGACAGGGTTTCCTCTATATGAAGTCTTACTATGCTGGAACTTGCCATATAGAACAGGAGATTGAACCTGAACTCACAGAGATACTCTTGCCTCTGCCTGCTGAGTGCTGGGATTAAAGGCGTGCACCAGCATGCTTGGCCTGAAAGTTTACTTTCTTCAAACAAACAAAACTCATTAAGAGTACTTCCAAACACAGAGAAAAGAGGAAACCATGGGGAAAAAAATTAAGAAAAAATTCAACTGATACCTTTATGATCTGAGCCAGAGATACACTCTCCTGCTGAGCAAGAGAAATGCCTCTAACTCGCTCCACGTCTGACAGCTGACGCACTGACTCCTCAATGGCACTCAGGTAACTGAGCTCTGCAGCCATGCGATGCTGAAGACCAGCAGGAGAAAAACGCTTAGAACCTGGGGGACAGAAGAATTGTTAAATCAAACAGTTCATATGAATGACAATGACTCATTTTATGAGCGCGTAACAAATCTACCCTTCCCTTGAACTAAAGACAGCGACTTATTAATATATTGTATTTTAACAGTTACTTCTTTTCTTGTTTTATGTGTGTATATATGTGAACATATATATTACATGTCTACAAACAGAATATATTATTTTGGGGATGAATTTTAACTAATACTGACAACATGGGGAAAGGTGTTGAATTTCTTATGCTTTTCAATACTTAATTTTCTATACAACTTTTGTTTAATACTTCAAAGAGCAATCACATAAACTTGAAATATTTCCCTATCACTTAATTGGGAAAAAAAGAATTTTCAGGGGAAAAAAGTAAATAGTAACTTATTTTTTTATTTTGGTATTTTCTTCTTCTCTTTTGAAATATGGTTCATGTAACCCAGGCTACCCTTCTAGCTCACTAGGTGGCCTAGGACAACGTTGAACTTCTGCTTCTACCTTCCAAATCCTGAGATTAAGGGTAAGGCCCACCACATCTGATTTATGTGGTGTCAGGGTTCAAATTTAGAGCATAATGCAGGCTAGCCAGCACTCTACCAGCCAAACTATACCCCAACACTGTACTTTTAAATGTCTATCTGCATGAAACTACTTGCCTGGTGTTGAAGCCGTCTCTGTTTTGTTCATATCAGTGAAAGCTGCAGTGGGCTTAAATCCAGTGGTAGTTGAAGGAACTATGACTGAGGACTTAGATCTTTCTAAAGAAGTCCCAGGAAGGTCAAACTGTAACAATTTCTGCGAACTTGGAGATAGGGGAGAAGTTGGAGTCTTCTGAGATCTTCCCTTGTCTGATGAGCCACTAGAAATTTTTTTGCATAAAGACATTAGAAAAACTACTCCAAGAAGCAACTAATCAATAACATTTTTCTTCTTTACCAACATTATTTAGCTTTACTAATTATGACGTAGGCATTCACTCAATGGAGTCGCTACTCTGATTAGATGTGTATGAATACGTCTCTAGTTGCTAGATAAGAGTTAAAACTGAGAAGCTTCTGTAAAGCAAAGGACGCTGTCACTAAGACAAAAAGGCAACCTACTGACTGGGAGAAGATCTTCACCAACCAACCCCGCAACAGACAAAGGTCTGATCTCCAAAATATATAGAGAACTCAAGAAACTAGACTTTAAAATGCTAATTAATCCAATTAAAAAATGGGGCACTGAACTGAACAGAGAATTCTCAACAGAAGAAGTTCAAATGGCCAAAAGACACTTAAGGTCATACTCAACCTCCTTTAGCGATCAGGGAAATGCAAATCAAAACAACTTTGAGATATCATCATACACCTGTCAGAATGGCTAAAATCAAAAACACCAATGATAGCCTTTGCTGGAGAAGTTGTGGAGGAAGGGGTACCCTCATCCATTGCTGGTGGGAATGCAAACTTGTGCAACCACTTTGGAAATCAGTGTGGCGGTTTCTCAGGAAATTCGGGATCAACCTACCCCTGGACCCAGCAATACCACTCTTGGGAATATACCCAAGAGATGCACTATCATATGACAACAGCATTTGTTTAACTATGTTCACAGCAGTATTATTTGTAATAGCCAGAACCTGGAAACAACCTAGATGTCCTTCAATGGAAGAATGGATGAAGAAAGTATGGAATATATACACATTAGAGTACTATGCTGCGGTAAAAAAACAATGACTTCTCGAATTTTGCATGCAAATGGATGGAAATAGAAAACACTATCCTGAGTGAGGTAACCCAGACCCAAAAAGATGAACATGGGATGTACTCACTCATAATTGGTTTCTAGCCATAAATAAAGGTCATGGAGTCTATAATTGGTGGTCCTAAAGAAGCTAAATAAGAAGGTGAACCCAAAGAAAAACATATAGTTATCCTCCTGGCCATGGAAAGTAGACAAAATTGCAGGGGAAAAAATTGGGATCTTGGGGGTGGGGTGGGATGGGGATAAGGGGAGATGGGGAGAGAAAACTGAGAAGGGGAGGATGGGGGGAACTTGGGGAAACAGGATGATTGGGATAAAGGAAGGTTGGATAGGGGAGCAGGGAAGCACAAATCTTAGTTAAGGGAGCCACCTTAAGGTTGGCAAGAGACTTGAACCTAGAGTGGCTCCCAGGAGCCCAAGGTGATGTCCCCAGTTAGTTCCTTGGGCAGCTGAGGATAGGGAACCTGAAATGACCCTATCCTATAGCAATACTAACGAATATCTTGCATATCACCATAGAACCTTCATCTGGTGATGGACGGAGATAGAGACAGAGACCCACACTGGAGCACTGGACTGAGCTCCCAAGGTCCCAATGAGGAGTAGAAGGAGGGAGAACATGAGCAAGGAAGTCAGGACCACGAGGGGTGCACCCACCCACTGAGACAGTGGGGCTGATCTATTGGGAGCTCACCAAGGCCAGCTGGACTGTGACTGAAAAAGCATGGGATAAAACCGGACTCTCTGAACATGGCGAACAATTAGGGCTGATGTGATGTCAAGGACAATGGCACGGGGTTTTAATCCTATTTCATGTTCTGGCTTTGTGGGAGCCTAGCCAGTTTGGATGTTCACCTTCCTAAACATGGACGGAGGGGTGAGGACCTTGGACTTTCCACAGGGCAGGGAACCCTGACTGCTCTTTGGACTGGAGAGGGAGGGGAAGAGGAGTGGGGGGAGGGCAAGAAAGGTGGGAGGAGGGGAAGGGAAATGGGAGGCTCGGAGGAGGCGGAAACTTTTTTTTTTCTTTTTCTCAATAAAAAATTAAAAAAAAAAGAGTTTTGAACAAGCTAGGTAAAAACCATCCTAAATAAAATAGTAAAATAGGTTACTGACTAAACTACTACTTAATCACATATATCACAATTCATTCATTGTATTAGGAAGCAAAATCTAAGATAGTCATTATACACTAATAAAAATATAACCATATGTAAAAAAGCATTAGAAACAAATATTAAAACGTCTCTCAAGTAAAATATCGTTTTGTGTTTAAATTTTTTTTAAAGAGCCATGATTCTTTCAACATTTTCTGTTAAACCAAAGACCACCAAAAATTAATTTCATATTGTCATCTCCAATATTTTATACATAGCATTTTTTCTTTTGGCTTTGGTTTTTTGAGACAGGGTTTCTCTGTATAACAGACCTAGCTATCCTGAAACTTGCTTTGTAGACCTGGCTAGCCTTAACTCAGAGATCCACCTGCCTCTCCCTCCCAAGTGGAGATTAAAGGTATGTTCCACCACCGCCCAGCTCCTAATTCTTTTTTTTCCCCTCAGAATAGGAAAATTTATTACTGTGCTTCCACTGTCAAAATTTAGGATCTTGGTCTTTCCTTCTTGCCTTTGTACAGGGCCAAAAGGGACACATTGGCGACTTTAACAACCTTAAAGCGGACTCCAGGAACATCACCTACAGCATTACTCTTTCGACCAAATCCAGCAACCAGAACTTCATCGTTTTCCTCAATGAAGTTCAAGCAACCATCATTAAGGACGAAAGCTGTGATCTTCTTGCCGTTCTTGATGAGCTGCACCCTGACACACTTCCTGATAGCAGAATTTGACTGCTTGGCTTCAACTCCTACTTTTTCCAGCACGATTCCCTTGGCATGAGAGGTACCTCTAAAAGGACTGGCCTTCAGGGCTGTGCCCAAGTGGGCTTTCTTGTATTGTTTGTATGCCACTTCTGGTCCCGTCGGTGGCTACGGAGCTTCCTGGCAGTACGGAGACCACGACACTTGCCCATCTTGCCGACGCCATGGGCCTGAGAGCTCCTAATTCTTAATACTATAACACTTTCTGAGCTTTTTCTTAACTAACGTCACATAACTGATTGTAACAATTCTTAAGGCACTTAATTTTACATAAAAAAAACCCGTAACAAGCCGGGCGGTAGTGGCGCACGCCTTTAATCCCAACAATCGGGAGGCAGAGGCAGGAGGATCTCTGTGAGTTCGAGGCCAGCCTGGTCTACAAGAGCTAGTTCCAGGATAGGAACCAAAAGCTACGGAGATACCCTGTCTTGAAAAATCAAAAAAAAAAAAAAACCCGTAACATTCATGTTATCTTGCACCAAATATTTGTTAAATAAAGAGACACTCTATAAAATATTTAGCACAATAAACATATTTCTAATATACTAAGTTTGTTTTTATATTCTGAAAAAAAACATGAATTTCAGAGACAAAAATTATAACTGGCTTGAGTATTTGAATAAAAGTAGTTTTGAAAAGCAGTTACTGGCTTACAAAGGTCTTTAACTGAGGACTTAGGGAGTGTAACAGTAGTGCCTCTCCATAGGCATGGGGAATATGTTCCAAGACCTCCAATGGACACCTGAAACCTTAGGCAGCACCAAAGCCTGACACACACACACACATGCGCGCATGCACACAATTAACACAATTAATGCCTTTCTGTGTATTAAAAAATATTCATTTTACGTGTATGTGCCTCAGTGTATGTCTCTATCAACATGATCTGTGCAGGAGCCCAAGGAGGCCAGAAGAGGGCAATGGATTCCCTAGAACTGGAGTTATAGGTGGTTGAGAGTTACAATATGGGTGCTGAGAACCAAACCCAGGTCCTCTGTAGAGCAGTAAGTGCTCTTATACACTGAACTCTCTCCAGCCTAACTCTGCCACCTGTGGCTACAAGCTTTCCAGTCTGAGGTCAAACTACTATGACTTTCTTCTATTCTCCTCCCAGCTTCGGGGATAAAAGGTTTATTCACAGTAGAGCTTCATAACTTCAGCATACAATCTTTTCCTTCCCTTTTCATGTCAAAATATTTACCTTTCACTTAAAGGAAGCACTTTGTAGAGTCTCGTTAGCATGTACAAATTAGCACTATTACTGCCCTTTAGACTGGAATCCATTATTAAGCAAAATAAGGTTTAATTGAACTCAAACATAAAAACAGTACTAGACAAAGGGATAAGTCATATGAAAGATGGGCCTGACTGGTATGTGATTATTTAGATCAGTATTACCTTAAAGAAAGATATCATATATTTCTACAACTTTCCATGTGCTATTTTACAACTTTAATTGAACCATAGAAAGCAAAACCCTATATAAGAAACTAAAATTAAATTCATTTACAGTACCTAAAAGGAATTCTCATTTTAAATTCTATAACATTAAACAAAAGGGCTCTATAATTCACTGTATGTTTTTATAAAATAAATTATATTTGCTTTGCAGAGAAGATTCCGTTAGACTATCATTTCAAAAATATAAGTTTTCAGTGTTTTTATTGTTGTTTTGTTTTGTTTTTTCGAGACAGGGTTTCTCCGTAGCCTTTTGGTTCCTGTCCTGGAACTAGCTCTTGTAGACCAGGCTGGCCTTAAACTCACAGAGCTCCGCCTGCCTTTGCCTCCTGAGTACTGGGATTAAAGGTGTGCTCAGTTTTCAGTGTTTTTAAATAAGTTTTTAATTTTAAAGTAACAACTTTGTACCAGTTCAAACATGAATAGGGAACTGCCATGCTGAAATTTACCAAATTCACTAAATGCCAAGATTCTACTTCAATGATATTCAAACTGCAGCAAAAAGAATATATATATATATATATATATATATATATATATATATATACTGTTTTACCTCACAGAATGACCAGAAAGTTCTTCCAAAGTGCTCTCAGTGTCCAGAGTCTGCTCAAAGTCTCTAACAGCAAGTTTACTGCCTGTTCCAAGTTTCTTTCCTTGATGGGAACCACGTTCTGAGTCAGACGGTACTTTCTCCTCATCAATAAGTGAGCTCTGAGAATTCCCAGTGAATGACTCCAACCCTGGAAAATAAATTGTAGTAAGCAAATTTCCAACATTAGACTGTGTGGTGGCATTTCATTTGTATTTTAATAAATAAAGTTTGCCTGAGGATCAGAAGAGTAAAATATCCACACTGAAGAAGGTTACAGACCTGACAACAATAAGACACACCCTTTTTTTCCCCCATTATTTTTATTGATTTTTATTGAGCTCTACATTTTTCTCTGCTCCCCTGCCTATCTCTTCCCTCCCCTTCAACCCTCTCGCATGGTCCCCATGCTCCCAATTATTCAGGAAATTTTGTCTTTTTTACTTCCCATATAGGTAAGATCCATGTATGACTCATTGTTGTCTAGGTTCTCTGGGATTGTGATTTCTAGGCTGGTTTTCTTTGTTTTATGTTTAAAAACCACTTATGAGAGAATATATGTGATAATTGTCTTTCTGGGTCTGGGTTACCTCACTCAAAATGATGTTTTCTAGCTCCATCCATTTGCCTACAAATTTCAAGATGTCATTTTTTCTGCTGTGTAGTACTCCATTCATAACACACACCTTTAATCCCAGTAGCCATACTAGCTTGCCATAGAAACCAGGTGGTAGTGGTGCACGCCTTTAATCCCAGAACTAGAGAGGATTATAAAACAGGGGAGACAGCTCTCAGTCTCAGTCTCATTCTGACATTTCTGGAGGCACGATCGCCATTTCGGATTGAGGATTTTCTGATCTTTAGGTTGAACCCCAATTTCTGTCTCTGAGTTTTTATTCATGCTTCATTGTTGAGAGAGTTGATAAATTTTTTTCAGTAATAAAAGAACAGATCAGAGTATTAAAATTAGTTTTTATTTAAAACTTATTTTCCATATCTAAAATAAAAAGCAGTTCATTCTTCTGCCTCCATTTAAGAAAATGCTGGTCATGGTACATGGCTGTAACTCCAGAGTCTAATATTCTTCTTGTCTGAAGTACCTAAATTAGTCAAACTTATTCAAGTCCAGAAGCTACCAATGGCTGGGGAGGGAAGAGTGGATGCACAGTGGTGATGTTTACAATGATACAAATGTAGACTTAATGTCACTCAACTATACCACTTGAAAAAGATTTAAATGACTGGGTTTTTCTTGTTGTTTCTTGCTTTTTTTTAAAAGATGGTATCTTGTGTAGTCTATGCTGACCTCTATTTCACTATGCAGCTAAGGAAGACCTTGAATTTCTGATCTTCCTGTTTCTACCTCCGGAATACTGGAATTACAGTAATGCATCATCATACCACGTATGTAATGTGGGGATCAAACCCAGGGTTATTTTTAGACAAGGACACGTATGCTACCAATTGAGTCACTTTCCCAGCCTAATAAAATTTTATTGTGTATTATAATTATTATTATTTGTTTTTCTGAGACAGAGAATCTCTACATAGCCCTAGCTGTCCTGGAACTCACTATATAGACCAGGCTGGCCTCGAACTCACAAAGATCCATCTACCTCTGCCTCAGGAGTGCTGGGATTAAGAGCATATCCCAACACACCCAGCTGTGTGTATTATTTTACCATAATGAAGTTGTAAAATATTAGCACTGGTCATTTTAAACATAGAAAATGAAGGTAATTAAAGCTTATTCAAATATACTTTCCTATACCGACCAGTTAGTTTCTTCCTGCACCCCATTCCACCTCACATTTGTCAACTCGACAAACAGTTTGTCTTTTCAATTAGAAAAAAAAATGTAAAAGAAAGAAAGATCACTCACAAGCTTGAACCATTTTGTGCGCTTAAGTTTTGGCATGACCACTATATAGCCCTAGTTGTAGGTCTACACAACAAATATGGGCTGGAGAAATCGCTCACTGCGTAAAGTGCTTTCTGCAAAACCATGAAGACCAAGCATGGTAGCATGCCTGTAATCCCAGAGTGTAAACAGTGTGATGGAAGAAGAGAATCCTCAGAAGCTCATGGGCCAGCTAGCTTGCTGTACTCACTGTCAAACATCAAGAGAATCTGTCTCAAGGTGGAAGGGAGAACAAACCCAAGGCTGTATACTGACTTTCACACAAAGACATATATCATACACACATACATTAGTGCTATTGTTGTTTTTTTAATAGAGTACAACTATAGACACTGGCAGGTATCTCAATCACTCAAAATATTTACTGAGTGCTAACAGGGGCAACTACTATGCTAAATACTGTGACACACACATAGTAATTTCTCATGTTCTTCAAAATCACCATAGGAACTCTTGTCTGCTTTACTGAGGAAGACCACGCTTGATAATGCTTAGACATGTACATGATATACTACCAAGTTATTTGTTTGTTTGTTTTAACACAGTTGCAAAGAAATATTATTTGAATAAAGGTGTGTATGGCGTCATGTATATATTGGAAAAAGTCATCAAAGATTATAATAGCAGTTACCTCTGAACAGAAGGATTAAGCATGACTTCTATTTATTTTTTGCTCTTATTTTATTTATTAGTGTGAGAGAGAATGTGCACCCATACAAGAGTGCCACAGTTCATATACAGACGTCAGAGGACAACTTCATTCTCTTCATTTACCTTTACATGGGTTCATGAGATCAAACTCATGTGTCAGGATTATACAGCAGGTATTTTTATCCACTAAGTCATCTCCATATTTTGCTGGCCCTGATTTATATTTCTTTTTTTTTTTTAAGATTTATTTATTTATTATGTATACAACTTTCCTTCCCTGTATGCTTGCATGCCAGAAGAGGGCACCAGATCTCATTATAGATGGCTGTGAGCCACCATGTGGTTGCTGGGAATTGAACTCAGGACCTCTGTAAGAGCAGTCAGTGCTCTTAACCTTTGAGCCATCTCTCCAACCCTGATTTATATTTCTTGAATGAATATCTATAATTCTTAATTTTTAATTATGTATTTCATTTGTATTAAAAAAATAAAAATGAATATAAAAATAAAAAACAAAATGAAAGAATATAAAATATATTAAAAGGTTTGACAAAAGATACTATAATTACAAATGTGAAAGTTAGGACATTATAATAAATAAATTCATCTACTGCTTATAGAACCAAACCATAACTTTAGGTCACTACCACAAAACCACTGAGAAGAGAAAAAGTCATCAAGCAGAATTCTACTTACATTCTGTCTTTTCCTTTTTCCCTTTCTTTCCTTTAGAGGCAGATGAACGAGATGATACAGCAGACTGAGCCCCTGAGGAGTGCTGAGAGGAAGCGTCCACAGAAGAAAGATCATAGACAGACTTTCTGCTGGAATGGTCCTCCTGTATGCCTAAGTTGCTACCACCAATTCTGTCAAGGATAAAGTAACAGGAGTTAAAGAAAAAATTAAAAATCTGAGGTTACAAATTCTATTTCAAAGGAGCTCTGAATATGTCAAGTAGATGCCACAAGCAAAGCTTACCCTCTTGAGTTGAAAAAGCAACAATAAGAACAGACATATAGCAAAAGGTACACAAATTAAATAGTGACAGACATGCCCAACAAATAGTGTAAATATCAGGTCTCTTCATCAATTTTAAAAGGTTCCCTATGGCTCAGTTTACATCTCAGAAAATTTCAGATGAGCTGTTTAATGAAGTGAAACCAAAGAAGGTCAAGTTTCGGGCCTGGAGATGCAGCTCAGTTGACAGTGTCTGCCTAGCACACACAAAGGCCTGGAGATGAAGGCTGGTTGACAGTGTCTGCCTGGCATACATGAAGGCCTGGAGATGAAGGTCAGCTGGCAGTGTCTGCCTAGCACACACAAAGGCCTGGAGATGAAGGCTGGTTGACAGTGTCTGCCTGGCATATATGAAGGCCTGGGTTTGGTCCATAGAACCTCCCAAAGACTAGGAAAGTAGAAATAGGAGGACCAAAAGTTCAAGGTCAATTTGAGCAACACAAAGCCTATCTTAAAAAAATAAAAAATGAAAAAAAAAATTTCAGATATATATAAGAAAAATGACTATAGGAAAATCTGTCCTCAATTTCTACTCAAATTTATCACTTTTATAAAGCATAATTATTTTTCCTCTGATACTCTTAGAGAACAATTTAATATATTCTACCTTAACAGTAAAATGCATCAAATTGTATTGGTTGATGATATCAATCTCACTACAATTAATCCTTAAAAGCCTTAATTTAAAAATTTAATCTTTTCTTCGGGTTCAAATAAAACTTTTTTTTTCTGAAGATTTATTTATTCATGTATGTGTGTGCTATTTCCCTGCACACCACGAGAGTCAGATCCCACTACAGATGGCTTTGAGCCACCGTGTAGTTGCTGTGAATTGAACTCAGGATCTCTAAAAGAGCAAGCAGTCAGTGCTCTTAACTGCTGAGCAATCTCTCCAGCCCCATTGGGTTCAAATTTTAAACTACAATTTTGCTATTATACTTTTTTTTTTTTTTTTTTTTTTTTTTTTTTTAGTTTTTCGAGACAGGGGTTCTCTGTGGTTTTGGAGCCTGTCCTGGAACTAGCTCTTGTAGACCAGGCTGGTCTCGAACTCACAGAGATCCGCCTGCCTCTGCCTCCCGAGTGCTGGGATTAAAGTCGTGCGCCACCACCGCCCGGCTTTTTTTTGCTGTTATACTTTTATGAATATTCATTTCTATTACTCCAGATAATAGAAAGTTAGTAGAACTAATTTTTATAAGGTTATTTAATAACTTTATGGGGGCTATACTTTATGATACATAAAAGATAATGAATAAGAAAAAATATAAATTTATATGGTAATAAAATTTAGAAAATGAAACTCTAAAAAAGTCAAATTCATCTTATGATTTTGTACAATTTAACCTCTGTTCTTCGGTTTCCTCTCTAAAACAGGTCTATTCTATGAAGCTCCACCGGGAGCAGAAGCCAGGAGCAAATCCAGTCCCGGAAGCCAACACAGTTCTGGGACACTGGCAGTCCAGGATTGAGCCAGTGACCTGACTCAGAGTCAGCGATCTCCACCAGAACTGGAGTGGGACTGAACCAGTTACCTGAGACACAGAACAAGCTCCACCAGGAGCAGAAGCCAGGAGCAAACCCAGTCCCAGGACACGGGCAGATCAGGATTGACCCAGCGACCAGATCTAGAGTCAGCGATCTCCACTGGAACAGGTACAGGGGAGTAACTGCTAGGCAAGTGAGCCAGAGCCAGAGCCCGCTAAGGGTCCGGACGTGAATCTGGAACCTTCAAGGGAGTAGACCTAAGCCAGGACCCAGATGGGTCTGGGCGTGAGTCTAGGACTTCCCAGGAACTAGGCCTGAGCCAGGACCTCTGACAGTCTGGGCATGAGTGAACCTGGGACCTCCAAAGGAATAGGAAGGAACCAGAGATCTCGGTGGGGCCAGGCGTGAGTCTGGGTCCTCAGAGAGAGAAGGGCTGAGCCAGGACCTCTGTGGGTCCTGGAATTTGTCTGGGACATCAAAGGGAATAGACAGGAACCTGGAACCTCTGTGGGTCCGAGCATGAGTCTGGGACCTCTAAGGGAGTAAGCAGGTCCTCTGCGGGTCTGGGCAAACCCGAGCCTGGGACCTCTGAGGCTCTAGACCAGAGCCAGAAACCTTTCCAGGTCCAACTCCAACCCAGGGACTTCTGCAGAAGGGGTTCCAGACCAGGATTTACAGAAACAAAGCAAAGCCAGCAACCTAGGCCAAAGTAGGCCTGAGACAGCAAACTCCAAGGGAGCAGAGCAAAGCACAGGAGTGCTGAGCTATCTCCAGGAACACGGAGTAACCAACAAGGTAACTAGAACTGTGGCACTGACTGTACATGGGGAACAACCATATGAACTTTGGATTCACTGGCACCTAGAAGATTATTGAACAGAATCTCGGAAAACCCCAACCACACCTATCAGAGGAAATGAGGAGAAAAAGAACACACGCAACATCGCGAAGAGCAACACAACACCAGTAAAATCTAAAGACCCTACAACAGCAAGACCTGAACAACCAAATATGGATGAAACAGAAGAAAATGACCTAAAAAATAACTTCAAGAGAATGTTTGAAATTCGAAAAGAGGAAATGAGAAATTCCCTTAAAGAAATGGAAGAAAAAGCCGGGCAGTGGTGGCGCACGCCTTTAATCCCAGCACTCAGGAGGCAGAGGCAGGCGGATCTCTGTGAGTTCGAGACCAGCCTGGTCTACAAGAGCTAGTTCCAGGACAGGCTCCAAAACCACAGAGAAACCCTGTCTCGAAAAACCACAAAAAAAAAAGAAAAGAAATGGAAGAAAAGACAAACAAAAAATTGGAAGACATCAGCAAATCACGTAAAGAAAACCAAGAAAAAAAAATCAAACATATGAAAGAAACTATTCAGGACTTGAAAAATGAATTAGAGGCAACAAAGAAAACACAAACCGAAGGAATTATAGAAACAGAAATCATAAGAAAATGATCAGGAACCACAAACGCAAGCATGAACAGCAGAATACAAGAGATGGAAGAGATAATCTAAAACGCTGAAGATACAAGAGAGGAAATAGACTCATCAGTTAAAGAAAATATTAAATCTAACAAGAGCTTAACCCAAAATATCCAGGAAATATGGGACATCATGAAAAGGCCAAATCTAAGAATAATAGGTATAGAAGATATATATAGATATATATAGATATGTATGTATATAAAGAGAAGTTGTTCAACTCAAAAGCACAGAAAATATATTTAACAAAATCATAGAAGAAAACCTTCCCAACCTAAGGAAAGATATGCCTATAAAGATACAAGAAGCTTACAGAACACCAAATAGACTGGATCCAAAAAAAAGTCTTCTACCACATAATAATCAAAACACTAAACATACAAAGTAAAGAAAGAATATTAAGAGCTGAAAAGGAAAAAGGCCAAGTAACATATAAAGGTAGACCTATCAGAAGAATTACACCTGACTTTTCATTGGAGACAATGAAAGCTAGAAGGTCATGGTCAAGCATTATGCAGATATTAAGAGACCATAGATGCCAGCCCAGACTACTATACCCAGCAAAACTGCCAATCACCACAGAAGGACAAAACAAGATATTCCATGACAAATCTAGATTTCACCAATACCTAGCCACAAATCCAGCCCTACACAAAATACTAGAAGGAAAACTCCAACCCAAGGAAGTTGGCTACACCAACAAAAACACAAACAATTGATGGTCTCATAGCAACAAATCCCAAAGAAAAGAAAAACACACAAATTAACGTCACCAACAATGATAACTAAATTAACAGGACATAGCAATCACTGGTCATTAATATCCCTTAATGTAAATGGACTCAACTCACCTATAAAAAGGCACAGGCTAACAGACTGGATATGAAAACAGAATCCATCCTTCTTCTGCATACAAGAAACGCATCTCAACCTCAAAGACAGACATCATCTTGGAGTAATGGGTTGGGAAAAAATATACCAATCAAATGGACCTAAGAAACAAGTGGGTGTAGCTATCCTAATATCTAACAAAACAGACTTCAAGCTAAAATGAGTCAAAAGAGACAAAGAAGGTCATTTCTTATTAGTCACGGGAAAAATCCATCAAGAGTAAATTTCAATACTGAACATCTATGCCCCAAATACAAAGGCACCCTTATATGTCAAAGAAACACTTCTAAAGCTTAAGTCATATATTAAACCACACACACTAATAGTGGGAGACTTCAACACTCCCCTCTCACCACTGGACAGGTCAATCAGACAAAAAATGAACAGAGAAATAAGAGAACTAACTGATGTTATGATTCAAATGGACTTAACAGACATCTATAGAATGAATATTCCATCCAAACAGAAAAGAATATACCTTCTTCTCGGCACCTCATGGAACCTTCTCAAAAACTGACCACATACTCGGTAATAAAACAAACCTCAACAAATCAAAAAAAAAATTGGAATGACCCAATGTACCTTATCAGATTACCATGGTATAAAACTAGAAGTCAACAGCAATACTAATTCCAGAAAACCCACAAACACATGGAAATTAAACAATGCTCACCTGAATCACCAATGGGTCAAGGAAGAAATAAAGGAAGAAATTAAAGACTTCCTAAAATTCAATGAAAATGACCTTAAGTGTCTTTTGGCCATTTGAACTTCTTCTGTTGAGAATTCTCTGTTCAGCTCAGTGCCCCATTTTATAATTGGGTTGATTAGCCTTTTACGGTCTAGTTTCTTGAGTTTTTTATATATTTTGGAAATCAGACCTTTGTCAGTTGTGGGGTTGGTGAAGATCTTCTCCCAGTCAGTGGGTTGCCTTTCTGTCTTAGTGACAGTGTCCTTTGCTTTACAGAAGCTTCTCAGTCTCAGGAGGTCCCATTTATTCAATGAGGCCCTTAATGTCTGTGCTGCTGGGGTTATAAGTAGGAAGTGGTCTCCTGTGCCCATGTGTTGTAGAGTACTTCCCACTTTCTCTTCTATCAGGTTCAGTGTGTTCGGACTGATATTGAGGACAATGAGGACTACTGAGAACTCAAGATCAATGGCAATGGGTTTTTGATCCTACTGCACATACTGGCTTTGTGGGAGCCTAGGCAGTTTGGATGCTCACCTTACTAGACCTGGATGGAGGTGGGTGGTCCTTGGACTTCCCACAGGGCAGGGAACCCTGATTGCTCTTTGGGCTGACGAGGGAGGGGGACTTGATTGGGGGAGGGGGAGGGAAATGGGAGGCGGTGGCGGGGAAGAGACAGAAATCTTTAATAAATAAATAAATTTAAAAAAAAATTCAATGAAAATGACCACACAACATACCCAAATTTATGGGACACAATGAAAGCAGTGTTTAGAGGCAAGTTCATAGCACGAAAGGCCTACATAAAGAAGCTGGAAAAAATCCCACACTAGTGAATTAACAGAACATTTGAAAACTTTTTTTAAAAAAGAAGCAAATTCACCTAAGAGAACTAGATGGCAGGAAATAAACTGAGAGCTGAAATCAACAAAGTAGAAACAAAGAAAACAATACAAAAAAATCAATGAGACAAAGAGTTGGTTTTTTGAGAAAATCAACAAAATAGACAAACCTTTATCCAAACTAACCAAAAGACAGAGAGAAAATATCCAGTTAACAAAATCAGAAATGAAAAGGGGGACATAACAACAGACATGGAGGAAATATAGGATGATCAGGTCATATTTTGAAAACCTGTACTCCACAAAATTGGAAAACTTGAAGGAAATGGACAACTTTCTAGATAAATATCATTACCAAAATTAAATTAAGACCAGATAACCAAATCAAACAGACCTATAACTGCTGTAGTAATAGAAACAGTCATCAAAAGTCTCCCAACCAAAAAAAAAAAAAAAAAAGGCCAGGACCAGATAGTATCAGCTCAGAATTCTACAAGACTTTCAAAGAAGTAATACCAATACTCCTCAAATTATCCCACACAATAGAAACAAAAGGAACATTGCTAAACTCTTTTTATGAGGCTACAATTACTCAGATACCCAACCCACAGAAAGACATTACAAAGAAAGATAATTACAGACCAATATAACTCATGAACATTGATGCAAATATACTAAATAAAATACTGGCAAATCGAATCCAAGAACACATCAGAGCCATCATCCACCATGACCAAGTTGGCTTAATCCCACAGATGCAGGGATGGTTCAACATAGGAAAATCTGTCAACGTAATCCACCATATAAACAAACTAAAAAATAAAAACCACATGATCATCTCATTAGATGCCAAAAAAGCTTTTGACAAAATACAACATCCCTTCATGATAAAGGTTTTGGAGAGAGCAGGGATACATGGAACATACCTAAACATAATAAAGGCAATATACAGCAAGCCAACAGCCAACATCAAACTAAATGGAGAGAAACTCCCAGTGATTTCACTGAAATAAGGAACAAGACAAGGTTGACAACTCTCTCCATATCTATTCAGAATAGTTCTTGAGGTCCTAGCTAGAGCACTAAGACACCAAAAGGAGATCAAGGGGGTACAAATTGGAAAAGAAGAAGTCAAACTCTGTTTGCTGATGATATGATAGTTTACATAAGCGATCCCAAAAATTCTACCAAGAAACTTCTACAACTCATAAACACTTTCAGTAATGTAGCAGTATACAAGATTAACTTAAAAAAATCAGTAGCCCTGCTGTACACAGATGATAAAAGGCTGGGGAAGAAATCAGAGAATCAACACCCATTATAATAGCCACAAATAGCATAAAATATCTCAGAGTAACTCTAACCAAACAAGTGGAACACTTGTATGACAAAAACTTTAAATCTTTGAAAAAAGAAATTGAAGAAGACACCAGAAAGTGGAAAAATCTCCCATGCTCTTGGGTAGGCAGAATTAACATAGTAAAAATGGCAATCTTACCAAAAGCAATCTACAGATTCAATGCAATGCCCACCAAAATCCCAACAAAATTCTTCAAAGACCTCGAAAGGACGGTATTCAACTTCAAATGGAAAAGCAAAAAACCCCAGAATAGCCAAAACAATCCTGAACAATAAAAGAACTTCTGGAGGCATCACAATCCCTGACTTCAAACTCTACTACAGAATTACAGAACTGAAAACAGCCTGGTATTGGCATAAGAACAGACAGGAGGACCAATGGAACCAAATAGAAGACCTGGATATCAATCCACACATTTTTGAACACCTGATTTTTGACAAAGAAGTAAAAAAATATAAAATGGAAAAAAGAAAGCATATTTAACAAGTGGTGCTGCATAACTGGATATCAACATCTAGAAGAATGAAAATAGACCCATATCTATCACCATGCACAAAATTCAAGTCCAAATGGATCAAAGACCTCAACATAAAGCCAACCACACTAAACCTCATAGAAGAGAAAGTAAGAAATACACTTGAATGCACTGGCACTGGAGAACACTTCCTAAATATAACCCCAGCAGCACAGACACTGAGAGAAACAATTAATAAATGGGACCTCCTGAAACTGAAAAGCAAAGGACACAGTCAACAAGACAAAATGACAGCCTACAGAATGGGAAAAGATCTTCACTAACCCCACATAAGACAGAGGGCTAATCTCCAAAGTACACAAAGAACTCAAGAAATTAGACACCAAAAGAACACATAATTCAATTTTTTTTTAAAAAAAGTGGAATACAGACCTAAACAGAGAACTCTCAACAGAGGAATCTAAAATGGCTGAAAGACACTTAAGGAAATGTTCAATATCCTTAGCCATCAGAGAAATGCAAATCAAAACAACTCTGAGATTCCATCTTACACATGTAAGAATGGCCAAGATCAAAAACACTGATGACAACTTATGCTGGAGAGGTTGTGGGGAAAAGGTAACACTTCTGCATTGCTGGTGGGAGTGCAAGCTGGTACAACCCCTCTGGATGTCAGTGTGGCGATTTCTCAGAAAATTAGGAAACAACCTTCCTTAAGACCCAGTAATACCACTTTTGGGTATATATCCAAAGGATGCTCAATTGTGCCACAAGGACATGTGCTCAACTATGTTCATAGCAGCTTTGTTTGTCATAGCCAGTATCTGGAAACAACCTAAATGCCCCTCAACCGAAGAATGGATAAGGAAAATGTGGTACATTTACACAATGGAGTACTACACAGCAGAGAAAAATAACATCTTGAATTCTGCAGGAAAATGGAGCTAGAAAACATTATTTTGATTGAGGTAACCCAGACACAGAAAGACAATTATCACATGTACTCACTCACAGGTGGTTTTTAAACACAAAGCAAAGAAAGCCAGCCTACAAACCACAATCCCAGAGAACTTAAACAACAATGAGGACCCTAAGAGAGACTTACATAGATATAATCTACATGGGAAGTAGAAAGTAGAAAAAGACAAGATCTCCTGAGTAAATTGGGAACATGGCAACCTTGGAGGAAGGTTGATGGGGGTAGGGGAGAGGCACAGAGGGGAGCAGAGAAAAATGTCGAGCTCAATAAAAATCAATTAAAAAAAAAAACAGGTATTCTAAGAATAATATTTCCCAAATCAGGCTTCTAGAAAAATGAGCTATATAGGCAAAGTCCCTGAATCCATTCAGTGTCTTGAACCTTAAGGGTCCAATAATTATCAGTTGTCATAACCTACCTCTTCAAACCTTAGATGTTGAATGTTTATCAAAGTTTTAGATGTTTTCTTGATTTAAAAAACTGCTTAGCACAAAGTTAAATGTCTACCTAATTTTCCTCATCTACCACAGAAAACAAATTTTTACACTTCTTATATTACTATGTTGCAAGACTGTTTCCCAATGCTATCCTCTGTTGAAATTCACAGATTGACTTAAAGTCTGTAATTAGGTCCTTTTAAGTATTCTATGTTCCACTCACCAGGTGTGGTGGCACACACAGGTGAGCCCAGCACATTTGAGTACTGGAAGAAGGAGGATCAAGAATTTAAGGTCATCCTTGGCTAGATGAGACTCTATCGCAAAAAAGAAAAGAAAACTGTGTGTTTCTCTGAACATTTCTAATGACTGTGAGGTGAGCATGTTCTACTAGCTTCATCATTATGCTCAAATACAAACAAGCTTTAAAGAGTCAAGCATCAAGTCAGGAAGTCCATGTCGAGAGTCTGTGGTCTACAGCCATAAAGCTTTGATATGTATCAGTCAGTAAGCAAGATCCTACTTATACTCTGATCAGAGTCCTCATTTATATGTATTTTTCTACTCAAAACTTTATTTCATATTTGCTGTCAAATTCTTACTGAGATTCGTGAGTAGATTTTTTTTCTGTCAATGTCACACTCCCTGGCGAGGAGACAAAATCATCTTCATAGGAAATACTGCTCAGTGGGGTTGTGGTGGCATTGAAAGGCCGTGATGCTGATATTCCTCTATCTTCAAATCCTATCAAAAGAAATAATTGTGGTGTGGTTAAAAATAAAATGAAATTTAAAACTATAAGCAAGGCATTCTCCAGCATGAAGTTAGTAACATAAAAAGGGACAGCTTCAATTGCTTTTACAACTCATCTTTTTATCTTGCTTTCTTAACAGCCATATAGATTTCTTTTGTTTTTTGTTTTGTTTTTGGTTTGGTTTTGGTATTGGGTGTTTCTGAAATAGGGTTTCTCTGTGTAGCCCTAGCTGTCCTGGAACTAGCTCTGTAGACCAGGCTGTCCTCTAACTCACAGAGATCTGCCTGCCTCTGCCTCCTGAGTGTTGGACTTAAAGGTGTGGACCACTATGCCTGGCTGCTTTTCACTTCTTTTTAGAAAATTTTTTAAAATAAATAAGCATAATGAAACTACTGTATCCATTACTATGACTAATACAAAAGCAAGCTAGTTTCATTTAATTGAACAATCTATTTCTCTCTTCTGCAGTGAACCTACAGATTATTTTGAAGCAAATCCCAAATAACATATTTTATCTCCAAATATTTCATTATAACTATAAAATTTTAATAAAGATCTAATACAAGAATTTAAGAATGAAACCAATTTTCTTATTAAGAAATAAGAATATCGAGATGTAATGATGACTCAGTTAAGAACACTTACTGCTCTCCCAGAGAACCTGGGTTCCATTCTCAGCACCTAAAGGGAAGTTCACTATCATCTGTAACTCATCCCAGGGGATTCAACACTCTCTTCTGGCACCAGGCAGACGCAAAACATACATTCAGGTAAACCCACCCATACACATAAAATAAAATAATACTAAATAAGAATATTGATTTAAGCATTTTGCTTTCATCAAAAAAATTGAAAGAGCATTAGAATCAAAAGGAATTTAAAATGTAACTGTCCTTGTTTGCTTGCTGTGATAAATAACCATAATAAAAACAGCTTGGAAAGGATTTACTTCACCTCGACTTCCAGGTCACAATCCATCACTGAGGAAAATGGGGGGGGGGTGACTCAAGCAGGAGCAGAGGCAAGACCTACAGAGAAAGGTTGCTTACTGGCCTGCTCTAGTGCTCAAAGGTTCAAGTTCAACTAGTTTTTATTTTTTAATTACAGTCTAGGCCCACCCCCATAGGGATGGCACCACCCACAGGGATACTATCAGAAAAGCTGGACCTTTCTTTATCAACCAACATAATAGATAATGCTCCACAGACATACCCACTGGCCAGTCTGATCTAGGCAAATCCTCAACAGAGGCTCTCTCTTCCAGGGTGACTCTAGTTTGTATCATGTTGAAAACAAAATCTAACCAGAATAACCACCAATGTAAATAAAGTAGTTAAGCAAAAGAGAGGAATAATATATAAACTTGTCACAAGATCATAAAGTGCCCAAATGTGAATTTTAGGAAAAAGGAATAAGAGTCTAAGAACACATAGAATCAATTCATTTGTCAAATAATTTGCTCCATTTATAGAGTGAGAAAATATGGGGCTGGGAGAGATGGCTCAGCAGTTAAGAGCATTGCCTGCTCTTCCAAAGGTCCTGAGTTCAATTTCCAGCAACCACATGGTGGCTCACAATCATCTGTAATGAGGTCTGGTGCCCTCTTCTGGCCTGCAGGCATACACACAGACAGAACATTGCATACATAATAAACAAACAAACAAACAAACAAACAAACATTTTAAAAAAAAGAAAGAAAATAGCCCAGGAATTCTAAGGTTATGTTATTATACGTTGGGTAGAATTCACCTATAATAACATGAAAACAGAAATAGACATAACTGAAGGAATTAACTTCGTTACGAAAAAAGAAAGCTGTGTTATACGATTTCAGAATTGAGAGACCATGGATTAAAAGAAAAGAAAGAAAATTATGAAATAATTGTCTTACTGTAGTATAAGCCGATTTTTCTCACCTTTTCCATATAACTGATATGACTTGGTAAAAATATTAATGACACTATGTGGACTTCCCTTTGCCAGTTCTTCCCACGGTCCCTTACTTTGCGTACCGCCTATGTGGCCCAAAAGTGGCAAGAACTTCTCAGCTTCCTTCTGAAACTCTTTGATGGGTTCATAAGAATTTCTCTCTCCAGCACAGAATTCTTTTTCCTTTAAGAGTTCTGCTACCTTCAGGAGGGGCCGTGCATCCCGGCCTCCCTCTTCCTCAGAGAGACTCCCTTCACTAAGAAGAGGCCCTTCGCTGACCGAGTCTATGCTGGAACAAAGAGACCTTTTGGCTCTGTCTTGAGAACAGGCTTGTATATCAGAGCTGGAGGAGTCAGTCTGCCTCTTACACAGCTGTGCCAGCAGCCCTCCTGGTTTCGGACTAGGGGATGTCATTCTGAAGCTTGATATGGCACTCTGGGGTCTGATCATCTCAGGAAGTTTCTTAAATTCACTAAGACTGCCTACACCAGGAAGATCATCATCAAAAGTTGCATGAGATATACAGGTTCCCAGCATCTTCTGAATTCGGGCAGAGAAAACATCTTCAATGTCCTCTTTCACAGGTGGACTGACAGCTTTAGTCCAAAGCCCATTCTCTTGAGGTGCCTGCTGTACATCATGGTCATTGTTCCATACTGACCCATAGTTAATGCTGGCCCCAGCTAGTTTCTTAGCTTCACTTTCAATCCTGCTAGACAGAGAAGCAGCTGTTGCTTTCAAGGCTTCAATACGATCCAGTTTACTCTTATATTGGCTGGTACTCGGTTTTAACAAGGCATCTGGATGAGGAGCTTGTGAGGTCAGATATGGTTGAGGTGTGAAAGTTAATGGTCCTGAAGCTTTATTATGACTCTTCTTGGCTGGTAAAATAGAGTCATAGTCTTTGTGCAAAATTCCTACATGCTCAAGATGCAAGAGTTGGGAAAGTAAATTTTCAGCCGTTCCAACAAGGGGCTGTGCTTGAGAACTGTGAACTCGTGGGCTCAACCTGTCAGGCTGCATCCATGTAGGTTCCATCAAGTCTCTTCTGGTAACAGAAATCACAATGTTAGTTAATACAGTAATCCATGTGTTTTGTTGTTGTTAGCTTTGTTAGTTTTTGCAGTGCTAGCAACTGAGTCCAGAGTCTTGGTCATGCTGAGCAAGTATTCTATAAAGAGCCTAGATCCCCAGTTTAAGTTATCATTTAAAATTGGGGAAAGAAGCTCTCTGATTATAAGAATAGTATACAAACACTTCCAGAAAAAAAGGCAACAAGGTTGAGAGTGAGAGATTACTCGGAATAACCAATAAAAGGATTCATTATCTTTGGTAGTTGGCTTACAATTATATCCTTGCTAACTTTATCTATGTGTATGTTGTGGTTTTGTTATGGTGTTTCCACAAAAATGTTATTTCACTATTTATACTGTTTTGTAAACTGCTTTCTTCGAATTTATTTTTTTAAGTGGTTACTTACAACTCTGCAGACAAGCTTCCTTGGAACTATACCACTATCCAACCCTTTAAAAATAATATATAAAAGAGAAATGCTTAAGATTGTTTAATATTGGGACCCATCAAATGACTAAGCAGGTAAAGGCCTCTACCATTCAAGCCTAGAGAACCCAAATAAAGAAGGAAGGGACTACACAAAGTTACCTTTCCAACCACAGTATGTGTGCCCTAGTATAACACATGATATTTTATGAAAATGTACAATTTTAATTTAAAAAAAATTTCATTATATATTAATCCATTCATTTTGGTTTTTCGAGACAGAGTTTCTCTGTGTAGTTTTTGGCGCCTATCCTGAAACTCGCTCTGTAGACCAGGCTGACCTCAAACTCACAGAGTTCTGCCTGTCTCTGCCTCCCGAGTATGGGATTAAAGGCATGCGCCCCCAGTACCAGGTGAAAATGTACAATTTTTAACACACACACACACACACACACACACACAAATCTAAAATTTTAGGAGGAGAAGGAAGGGAATAAAAGAAATAAGTGAAAGAAGTAATGCAAAGCAACAACAAACTTGTGTTGGTTTGTTTCTTAACATTCTTTAGAATAAGAAAGGCAAAAATTGTTTGTGAACATGACACCACCATAGAAGATCTGACAATGATGAAATGTACCATATTATCTAAACAAAAATATTCATAATAAAAAATTATACCTTATGATTTAAGCTTAAAGTACATTTAGAACATTAAACAAATCATACATTTCTCTTACTAATAATAAATACACAAACTGGTTAAAAGTACTGGCTTTTAAAGTAAGATTCCAAGAGGCAGGCAGACCTCTGTGAGTGACTTCGAGGCCAGTCTGGTCTACCAAGTAAGTTTCAGGACAGCCAAGGCTACACAAAAAAAACCCTGTCTTGAAAAGCAAAACAAAACGATAAAGTCAGATTGCCTATGTTCAAACCCACTTCCACAACTTCTGTTTTGATCTTAAGAAGGTTTAATTAAAGTCTAGACTTCAATTCTCTCCTCTGTAGAACAATAATAACAATAGTGCATCAATGTGTGTCAGCACTAAATCACTACCTAAAAGGCACAAGGTATTGGGCTTCATTCTAGCACTACAAAACAAATAAAACCAAACTAAAACACAATGGTTTTTACTAGGCCTAGAAATTAAGAAATAATAAATGACACTAATATTATTGGAGGCTAGAGAGATGGCTCTGAGGCTAAAAGCATTTCTTTCGGGCTAAACAGATGGCTCAGCAGTTAAGAGCACTGGCTGATCTTCCAGAGGACCCAGGTTCAATTCCCAGCATCCACTTCAGGCACCTCAATGAGACTGACCATCTCTGCAGAAACCTGCAATGGCATGCACATATCGACATACACACATATGTGTAATCTAAAATAAAAACTAAAAAAAGGTGCTTCCTGCTTTTGCAGAGGACTCAAGTTTGGTTCCCAGCACCCACACAGTGACTCAATGACTCAACCATCAGTAATTCTAGTTTGAGGGGATCCTCTACTTTCTTCTGATCTCCATGGGTACTAGGAATATATGTAGTGTATGTATATACATGCAGGCAAAACACTCATCTAAATAAATAAATAAATAAATAAATACAAAAACCACTAAAATGTGATCAATATTATTGTCCTTTGGGTGAAAGGGGACCATGTGTATTAACTACGAATTGGAAAGAGATCTGACTTGTATTTGTGCATTCTCAAACTGCTTCAAATCTTTTTTTCTTCTCTCAATGGTTATTATTACAAAATATAATTTAGAACCATCTATATCTTTCACTGTGATTTATCCATCCAAGAAACTTTGTTTGGGTCAAAGGAGGCACGAGTGCTACCACATGCATAAGGAATTAACACTGGACAGGAATTAAAGGACAGGAAAAAACTCAAAAACCAGAGCAGAGCAGAGTGAACACAGCATACACCATATTCAGGCTTCAGTTGAAGATATTTACCAAGTTTGAAATAAGTCTTTTTTATAAAAAAGAAAGAACCTCATCTTTCATCCTCTCTCTATCCCTCTCCCCCTCTACCTTGCAAGAGGCTGTGGAGGTTCTGACAGGGACAGGTCACTGCTAGAAGATGCACTCGGAGGACGTTCTTGTACTTTGTTTTCTTTATCAGATTCTCCAGATGGTTGATACCCAGGTCTTACCTAAGAAAAAAGGATATCAAATTTATCTGATTTTGATCACAAAAATGTCTTCAAGTAGCACATAAGAAACTTATCAAGCCACTTTAACTTAAAAAAAAAGATCATAGGAACTGGAGAGATGGTTCAGCAGTTAAGAGCCCTGGCCACTCTTCCAAAGGACCTGGGTTCAATTCCCAGCACCCACACAGCAAGTTCACAACTGTCTACAACTCCAGTTCCAGTGAATCTGATATCCTCACACAGATATATATGCATGCAATGTACATAAAAAAAAAATCTTAAGCCGGGCGGTGGTGGCGCACGCCTTTAATCCCAGCACTCGGGAGGCAGAGGCAGGCGGATCTCTGTGAGTTCGAGACCAGCCTGGTCTACAAGAGCTAGTTCCAGGACAGGCTCCAAAACCACAGAGAAACCCTGTCTCGAAAAACCACAAAAAAAAAAAAAAAAAAAAAATCTTAAAAAAATCATAAAAGAGAGGTTTTTTTCCCTCCCTCAAGTAAAATCACTTTATATTTAGTTGTGGGATGTAGCTCAGTGAAATGTTTACCTATATTACACCAGGTTGTGGGCTGGATCCTGCATCACAGAAAACCAAACAAAAACAACCACTACAATTAACTGCAAAACATCATCTAAAATCCACAAGGACATTGTGATGGGTCAGTAATAATTGTCAATTCAACAGAATTTAGAACAAAACAGAAATTAGGTATGGGCCTCTAGGTAATCCTGTGAGGAATATCTTGATTGTGTTAAGTTGGGAAAACCTGCTCACTGCGTGTGCACCATTCCCTGGCTAGAACCCGTGAGTAATTAAATGGAGAAAGCAAGCTAAGGTCCAACACATGTCTATTACTGTTTGCTTTCTGATTGTAAATGTCATGTGACCACCCTGATTTCCCCTCCATGGTGGGTTATTCCCTTAAAATATGAGCAGAAACTAAACAGACATTAATATTAGCAACATGGTTAAAAAAAAATAGCATCCTTTATAAATCTCAGGTTTTTTCATCTGATAAGTAAAAAGAATATATATAACCTTCCTGGAGTTGTATTTACTGATGTTTGTAAGTAAAGCTTTTAAAACAGTATGTAATACCTGAAACACATTCAGTTACCAGTCTTAAAAACATTAGCACTGGGCAGTGGTTGCACACTCCTTTAATCCCAGCACTCAGGAGACAGAGGCAGGTGGACCTCAAGTTCAAGGCGAGTCAGGTCTACACAGAGAAACCCTGTCAACAAAAACTAAACAAAAACGGACAAACAAACAAAAAACATTAGCACAAGAGTATGTCTTCACTTCAACACTGAGCCCAAAATTAAATATTTCATTAGCATATTTTGGTTGTGTATTATATACTAAATATCTTCTCAGTACTACAATGAAAACCAGGCAGGAATATCAGAATGACAGAGATCACTAGTAACCAATGTTGCAAGCTCTTCAGCTCTTACTTTCTGTGTGTTTCTCATCATTCTTTGCATGCAATAAATTTCATGAAAGGTCTTGACTGTCACATGTTGGAGCATGTATAGTGGTAGGGATGATAATTTTCCAACATTTCCGTACAGCAAGCAAGCTTTCCTCACCATGAATTACCCACGTTGTGTTCCCAGCACTACTAGTACCTGTGTATCCTGTGTAACATGCTGATGAGCTGGCTCTTCCAGCAAAGTCTTTTCTAGTAGCAATTTGGAGTATGTTTCCTGCAGCCGCCTGGAGGATGATGGATCAGGAGGCACAGCTTTGGCTTTAGTGAAGGCTTCTCTCTGTCTCCGGTAGAGCTCCTGTAACCGTTTGTTCTTCTGCTCCGTAGCCTCCTTTTGAGCCTTCTTCTCTTCGTTCTGCTTCCTCCTCCTTTCCTCCTGCTGCCTGACAATGTACTGTCGTACCTCATCTGTGTCATAGTGGCGCTTTTTGGAGGTCACAGGGGGATCCTCGTTAGCAGTTATTTTGTCAGGCTTCCTTTTCACAGGACTGTGACTCCGAGGCGCTTGCACAGGTGCCGATGACTTCTGGTTCTGTAACTCTCCAATCTCTTGCCTCACAGTTTGAGCTGAAGAATCTAGCTGTAAGTCATCAAGAATGCCACGAATTTCAACTGGCAAAAAATCCTTGTTTAAGGCAGCGTTTTCCTCCTGCTTATTGTCTGGAAGGGATGGAGCTGATTTCACTATATTATTTTCAGACCGAGCTCTACTTCTTGACCGTTCTGAGCTTCGTGGGAGATGTTTATGCACAACATCCAACTTGGGGTCGGATTCTGCTCTTCCAATATGGCCCCCTGCAATGTACAGATTGTTAGTTATATTACAACTCCAGATTCATCCCTAAGAATAGCAGAACACAATAAATACATTATGTCAGCAAACAACCATCCTATTATCTATAATTTGCTGACATGGCTTAATGTTAGACTGAGAATATGAATGAGTTCATTTGCAAGATGAAAGAAACAAAGAAATATAACTGCTGTCTATATTGACAACAATATATTAAATCAGAGTTGATGATATTTCTTGCTTAATTATGACTCCAGGAACTCAAATAAAGTAAGGCAAATTTCTTCACTACTAAAAAGGAAATCTGGCCTGTGGGGATTCCATGTTTCATTTCCAAAAGTTAGTGTTTATGGAAAGCATAACTAGTTATTTTTTCCTTTTCCCGTGTGTGTGTGTGTGTGTGTGTGTGTGTGTGTGTGTGTGTGTGCAGGAGCATGTCTATGAGTGTGTGTATGCATGTTTGTATGTATAGGCCACATGTGTGGTTATGTGTCCATGGAGAGGGAGGTCTGTGCACGTGGAAGTCAGAGGTCGATGCCAGGAGTCATTCATTGCTCTTCCACCTTACTCCCTGAGGTAGGGTCTCTCAGTCATAACCAGAGCTCACATACAGAGCTAGTCTTGCTAGCCAGATTCCTCTAAGGACTCCTTTCTGAGGCAAGAATTATAGGTGGGCCTCTGAGGATTTGAACTACTCTGGTCCACATCAAGCACTGTAACCACTGAACCATCTCCCGAGATTCATAACTATTTTAGATAGTAGTCAATGTACTTAAAAAAAAAAAAAAGCCAAGGGCTGAGTGGTGGTGGCGCACACCTTTAATCCCAGTACTTGGGAGGCAGAGGCAGGTGGATCTCTGTGAGTCTGAGGCCAGCCTAGTCAACAGATCTAGTTCCAGGACAGGTTCCAAAGCCACACAGAGAAACCCTGTCTCAAAAACCCAAAAGGGGAAAAAAAAAAAAAAAAGAATTTTAAGATCATATTTAAGAGAACCCGAAATCTTAAAAAACAAACTTAATTATGACTATACACCTATGAGGAAGGTAACTTCTGCAGACCTATCCAGGCTCAACAAAACATTTCCTCATTTGGGGCTACAGGAACAGATTTAGTGCAGTCTTAAAGTATTTGCCGGCACATTTTACCTTCTAAGTAGCAAACAAGCAACCTTGCTTTTTGCAACAACTTTAACTATATCCTCTCACCAAATTTAGCCATTCTCTCTCTTCCACTTCTGTCACTTGATGCTGGTCTTCGCTCTTTTTGCTCCATCTTGGGTGCAGGTCCCAGAATCTTCTTTACTAATTTCTGTCCATCTCGCCAAGAAGATGTGCTTATCAAACGACTACCACCTGAAACACAGATTGCACTGCACTTAAAACATTCATTTTATCTCTAGGTATAGTTACTTGGTCATGGAAGTTTTGTAATTACCATCTGAAATACATACTGCATCACATTTAAAACTTTCATTTTATCTCTAAGAAGTATAGTTACTTGGTCATGTAGGTTTTATAACTAATTTTACATTTACCTTCAAAAGACCTGCCATTAAAAGTGGATTTTTAGAGTACAGAGAGGCTCAGCAGTTAAAAGCACTGGCTGTTCTTCCAGAGGACCTGGGTTCGATTCTCAGCACCCCAATGGAGGCTCACGGTCATCTGCAACTCCATTTCCAAGGGGTCCAACATCCTCTTTTGTCCTCTTTGAGTACTAAACACACACTAAACACACAGGCACATGTGTAGGCAAAACACTCATACACATAAATAAAATTAAAATAAATTTTATAAATTTAAGTATATTTTTAATTCTAAGTCATCAATATTAGTTAACAAGTTTGTTCAAATCTCTTTTTTTAAAAAATCACATATATTTTGGGGGTAAGGAGAATGTGCAGCAGCACACGTGGGGAGGTCAGAGAACAAGTTGGGGTCATCAGTCCAGGTCATCTTCACGTACTAGGCCATCTGGCTGTGCCCGTTTGAACCTGATTTACCTCCACATTTCAAGGAACGTAAAACACTTTTAAAATTAAGAACCAAATCACAGCGAGTCTTGAAATCCCAAGTTACTACCTGAACACAGCACATGATAAAAAATACCTGCTAGCCAAATGAAGGCTTAATCTAAACACAGGGATAAAATTCTGAAGAAACATAAAAACAAGGTAATCACTTTTATGGGGATAGCATGGTAGAGACTTTCATTTTTTTTTGTTTTGTTTTGTTTTTTGCTTTGGAAACAGGGTTTTCTCTGTAGCTTTGGAATTTGTCCTACAACTAGCTCTTGCAGACCAGGCTGGCCTTGAACTCACAAAGATCCGCCTGCCTCTGCTGGATTAAAGGAGTGCACCACCACCGCATGGCGAGATTTTCATATTTTACAGTTATATCACATAAGTAGACATTAAAATAATACAATAAACACTAATGTTTTAGACTATCCTTAATCATAAAAGTTCATAAAAATAAAGGTGTGCTGCAATAAAGTTATTTACCAAGAAGAAAAGAGTTTTCATTAGTTTCAGATATAAGAAATTCAAATAGATCATCTGAAAATAGTTACATATAAAGCAGTAAATGTTTACAAAGTGAAAAATATAAAAAAAAACCACTAAATTAAATGCAAAATAACATGGCAAGCAGGAAGGCAAGGGCGACATACAGCTTGCTTAGGATATACAGCCCTGAATTCCATTATGAATTAAAAAAAGAGGTGGGTGAAGCAGAGTGTGATGGAAGAAATCTGTCAAGGTCACCTCTAATTCCAACACCCAGGAAGTAGGAGCAAAAGGAATTGCTGGGCTCCCAAAAAAAGGAAATGGAATAACAAAGGAAATAATGAAATAGTGATTTAAAATTAATTCAATTAAAAAATACCATTTGTATGGGCAGTAGTGGTGTTGCATGACTTTAATCCCATCACTCAGGAGGCAGAGGCAGGTAAGCCTCTGTGAGTTCCAAACTGGGTCTACACAGAAAGTTCTCAGCCAATAAAGGCTACAAAGTGATACCTTTCTTCAATAAATAAATAAATTTTAAAAATAAAAAAATGGTAAGAATTTTATATATACAAAAACAGTTTAGGTGTATAATGATTAAAATTATACTAGTATGACTTTAAAACTACTGCATGGGCTAAATAAATAATACCTGTTATAAAAAAATTTAAATACCAGTCAGAACTACTTAAACTAACACTAGTACTTTTGCTTGTGTCCAAATAATAGCTTTGTTTTCTTGTATTTTTCCAGTTCTCTAGTATACTATACTATTATATTATATGAAAGACATCCCATTAAGAGTTTCTTTAAAGGAGCTCTAATTTAGTACTGTAAATGGCAATACGAGTGATAAATACATTAATTACAAAACTGAATAAAGTATGCTCTGCTTATTTTAAAATGTGTGCATATGTGTGTGTGTACTTAAGAGTATATGTGCGTGTGTGAGCATGTGTGTGTATGTACATGTGTGTATGTGTGTGTATGTGTGTGCATGTGTAGGTGTGTGAGCATGTGTGTGTACATGTGTATATGTGTTGTGTACATGTGTATATGTGTGTGAGCATGTGTGTTATGTACATGTGTATATGTGTGTGTGTACATGTGTATATATGTGAGTGCATATATGTGTGTGCATGTGTGTGAGCATGTGTGTGAGCATGTGTGTGAGCATGTGTGTGTACATGTGTGTATGTGTGTGTATGTGTGTGCACGTGTAGGTGTGTGTGCATGCATGCATAAGTGTGTATGTACGTGCGCGAACATGTGTGTGTGCTTATGTGTGTGAAGACATGCCACCATGCACATATGAAGATCAGATGAAAACTTTTGGTGTTAGTCCTCACCTATCTTGCTTGGGACAGGTTATTCTGTGTTTTTCTGTGGCATGCACCAGGCTAGTTGGCCCAGGAGCTTTTAGGTATTATCTACACCTACTACCTCCCACAGCAGCACTAGGACACAGGCTGACGCTATATGTCTAGATTTTATGGGGGTTCTGGGAATTCAACTTCAGGTCCCCATCTTTGCACAGTGAACAGTTTTTACCCACTGAATCAGTCTCTGTTTACTTTAGAAATGCTTTTATACTTTGTTATTAGCCATAAACAATGGGGCTAAAGCGTTTAAAGGGTTGTAAGCTTATTGTTCAATCTATAACAAACTTTATGCTCTTATAAAATGACAGAACAGAATTCTTTGGAATTTTACCTTAATTTTCTGACTCAAAGTTAAACAAACATGAATGCTGTGTGCTAGGGGGTAGAGAAATGGCTCAGCAGTTAAAGAGCAAGGGCTGCTCTTCAGAGGACCCAGGTTTGCTTCCCGGCACCACATGGTGATTCACAGCTGTCTGTAACTCCAATTTCAAGGGATCTGATTCCCTCTTCTGGCCTCTGAGGGCACCAGGCTGCACATAGTACACAGACAGTATTTTGTAGTACTAGACAAAATACCCAGATACATAAAATAAAAAACTAAATTGCAGCATTCTGAAATAGTCTCATAAAGTCATTTTAAGAAGATGACTCTTGCTAGTAAACTATTAATATAGTTTTATCACATATAATGTTGCTCAGTCCAGGTTAATAGCAAGTGCATACAGATGAAGCGGATTATCATAAAACTGGGCAAATACAATCTTTGTACTTCATTTCAAAGGATGCCTTGGACAGAATTACATAATATAAAAGTATTTTTATACTTAAGTAATTAACATTTAGATAACTCATTTTCTTGTAAAACAAGTTTCTTTTGTACAGAATTGCTAGTTCTATCATTATTCTATTACTGCATCTAAAGGTACTTACAAAATATGCTGTCACTCTAACGATTAGTCCATAACCAGAAAGATAAAGTCCTGACCAAAAACAGCACCTCATCACTCTTGTTCTGTTCCCCTTAAGACCTTGTAATCTCTTATCAAAGTGTGTCACACTTTGTTTCTTACTGTACCTCTCAGGAGTATTTTGCCTTGCTAACCCCTGTTATTACCTAAGCATAGCACACCACACTGCCACACACACAACTACTGCTGAGATACACAAAAATGAGGGAATGAAACTAAAGGAGTGTCCTGGAACTAAAGTGACAAGTTCTCAACCCGTCTCTACTATTTCATGGCCAAAAGTTACTTGCTGGATGACACTGCAGGACAGCGAGCCACCAGAAAGCATGTCATGCATGCGGGACATACTGCAGCATTTTCTAGTACTGATTAGTTTAGCTCTCACAACAACCCCGAGAGACAAACACCACTGATCTGATCCTCTACAAATGAGAAAACCAAGTCATATTAAAATTAACTCACATGCCAAAGAAATAAAGTTAGCTATAATATAAATTCAAGAAATCTGAATCAAGGTTGACATGCAATCACATGGAAGTAGAAATGTCTTGTTTTCCTAGTTTGACCTATTCTTTGTCTAGCTTAACCATTACTAGCAAGAACACAGGAGTTCTGATGTGTATCTTAAAGGCAATCATGACCGATCCCCTTGTAGAAAAAGATTCCTCTAGGGAAAAAAAAAAAATCACTAATTTGGTGTGTTTCTATTAAACTAGAAAACGCTCTTTTTGAGAAGATATGTGTTTTTCCTATCTTGAACATAGGATGAATCTGATATTAATCTTCACTGTAAACAACATATGACTTAGAATCACCACGGAAACACACCTCTGGTTAAGCTATGAGGGTGTTTCCAGAATGGTTTAGCACAGAAAGGAAGCCCCACCCTGCCTGTGGATGGCACCACTCTGTGAGGTGAGGGTCCCAGATGGAATAAAAAAGAGGTGAACTAAGTCACAGCTTTCATCTCTCTCTGCTTCCTGACTGAGCATGAAATACGACCATCCTCATCCTGCTCCTGCCATTGCCTTCCCTCCATCATTAACTCACCCTAAATCTGTGAGTCAAAATAAGCCCTTCCTTCCTTCAGCAAGCATTGTCAGGAATGTTTGCACAGCAGTACTAATACAATAAACAAATGTTTCCATAGATTTATACATATAAGAAAGCTTTCAAATTGTATATTCTAAATATGGACAGCAAATGCTATCAACTATACCGTAACAAAATACATGTATATAATTATGACATGTGTAACAGACTGAATTTTCATACATTCCTAACAATAAGGACATCTAGAAATATGACATAATATATCTATATAGGTTCCATCTCCATGTTATATATTTTCCAAATAAAATAAAAATTTCGTTTAAGCTGAGCAAACTACTGAAAACTAACCTGTTTTTGAGTCTGCATTTGACAATTGAGTCACCTTTTGGATTTTCCGTACTGGCTTGACCACTTTCTTGTCTTTACTTTTTTCAGCAGGCTTCTCTTTCACAGAGGTACCATCTGAAATGCATAGATATTGAAGTCTATCATTATAGTTCCCATTCTGCACCACCTCCCTCAGTGAGGAACCACAGTGCAGCAGCCTCTCCTCTCTGCAGTTTCAGTTACCCAAGGTCAATTGCAATCTAAAAACATTAAGTGGAAATTTCTAAACATAAACAATTCATGTTATAAATTGTGTAATATTCTGAATAGCATGCTGATATCTCTGCTATCTAGTTCCAGCCAGACAGACTGGGTCATGTCTTTGTCTAAAATGTGCACACCTACAGCTTCCCAACTATAAGACACAAAGTAGCCATCTCTGCTATTAGACTATTTCTTTAGGGAAATCATAGAGCTTGTTTTCAAGTAAACTCTATTTTAAAGGCCATGGAGCTCAAGAACAGTGATGCCAGCAGCAAGGTTATGCCAAGAAGAAGCTATCCAGTACAGCTACCCAGTGAAATGGCACTCTTGTCAACTCAGTGAAGAAAACTGTATGTTGAGTTTGCTAAGATGCATAGTAAGTTCATCTTTTATGCCGAGTTTATAAATTAATTCTATAACAACTTTGTGTAAGAAAGAAAAGTATAAGTAGGGTCCCATACACAAGCATCCTTTGGTGGTCTTAGAAGGAGGAGGAAAGCCTTCACTGGGGCTACTCCTAGGACCCACAAACTATCAATGTGAAGCCCTCCACTGGAAAGGGGTAAAGATCACCACTACTCCATCGTTAGCTACCAATTCTTTTTTGTTATAGCTTTTCTTTTTTGAAAACTTGTGAGAAAACTGCCTCATTTCCACAACTGAGAAGAAGCTACAACAGTCATGCCTCCAAATCACTGCATGCTTAGAATTTCAGTGAGCACTTTCTTAGATTCCTATTTTATTTAAAATTTTCAAGATAAAAACTTTACAAAATGTAAATATACTAACCATAGAAGTTCTAAATTATAGATATGAATAATGCAATTTAAAATACACACAGAGCTCTATAACTTTGAGTGAGGCTCTAAGGCAGAAGCAAATGGTATCTAAGAGTAAGCAAGGAGTCTGGTGTGAGCATGACAAAGAGGAGAACAGTAGGAACCCGGGTTGGAGATACAAATGAGAGCCAGATAAGGTGAAAGGTTCTTTAGGCTTTCTGTCTTACTCATCAGTAAAATGTAAAGTTTGTAGAACATTCTGAGCAAAGGAGTAACATAATTTAAACAAAACTTTAACAAGTTTACTCTGACAGCAATGTTGAAAGCAGACTCATTGAAGAATCAGCAGTCAGGACACCAGTTAAGAGAGTTCTTGGGGAACTCAGGCGACAGGCTGATTTAGGTAACAGTGACAAAGGTGGTAAAGGTGGTTATGCCATAGACAGAATTTAGAAAATAGAACAGAAGATATGAAAGAAACGGGGGGCATGAAAGATTACTTAAGATGTGGGTCTGAGCAAGAGTAGCTGACAGAGTGACAGCTGGAGCTAAGAGATGTCACACCCACCTTGAGTAATCTTGACTTCATACACTAAGACTGAGATATCTATAACACATTCGAGGAAGGGGTATAGTTAGCAGGTTGATAAGAGTTTGAAATCAGGAAGGAGGTCTCAACTAGACACGCAGATGTGGGGATATCAGCAAGAGAACTATTTCAGGTTGTTAAGAATACATACATTTTCCTAGTAGGTCTTTTAGATAAAGAAGAGAGGAAAGATGATAGATAGGGGGGAAAGGAAGAAAAAAAAAAAGAATAGGCAGATTTAAAAAGAAAAACATGCTTCTAGTATGCCAAGTGAAGAACTTCAAGGAAGAGATTGTTTATGGTATCAATTGCTGTTGAGCAGCGAAGATGACAGATGGACATTAAACACTGCATAGAAAGTGTATGTCGTTCATGATTGTAATAACAGCAAAACCCCAAACCCAAACAACCATGTGTGTGTAGAAGACAAATCAGAGATCATTACTATAAGGAAACTTTCTGCAGCTTTGCTCTCAACAGAAGGGGGAAACAGGGCAGTCACTGGAGAAAAATCCAGAGGGAGTCTATCATGATGACTGCTATGCTATGTGTTAAACAGTATGTTAAAGTGTAACTACACAGAGAAGGAAAGTATGATACAAGTGAATGAAAGCAAGATGGGTAATAAACTTACTCACACAACGGCAAATGTAACAGAAACACAGGTAGAGATAGATAGGTTGATTTTTCCACCATAAAAAGAGAAGGGCAGAGTGTAACAGAATAATCTCTTTAGTAGTATCTGACATATTCTCCCAGGCTATGACACTATCCTATAATGTGCAGTTATTAACATTTCTTTTTAAGATGAGGAAACCAAAGATGAAGATTATGTAGCATAACCTGATCTATATAACTAATAAATATCAAAGCCAGAAATGTAGAACCCTTTTAAGTTGACTCTAAAATAACTGCTCATAATTACTACATTGTATGTTCTCTCCACACGAGAAAAGTATTCTGAACACAGTGTTTAATAAAATTAAGAAAAAAGAACTGGACACTTAGTGCTACCAAAAAAAAAAAAAAAAGATTAGCAAACTCTTTATGGGGCTTACTAGAAAGCTGTTGGGTTTGGGAATTAAACAGTTGCTTTTGAATCCTGTCTTTAATTCTTTATGCAATCCTGGAAAAAAATATTCTTTCAGCTTTCAATTCCTCAACTGTTAAAAAACAAAACCAAGATGAAGCACCAGCATCTTGCTTAGTGCCTTACTAGATACTCAGAAAGTGGCAATATCACCATTCTCATCATCCTGTTTCCTCTTGTTGACCATAGGCTCCTCCCAGTTGTAACTCTAACACGTATTCCCTTCCTGTAACACTTATTTTGGCTTCTGCATATGCTGACTAAAATTACTGGTCACTTTAAAGACCTCTGAGCCTCGGAGAAGTAAGCCAAAATTGAACTCTGCTTCCCTAAAATCAGTCTGTCCTGGCTTTAAAAGTCCCCCAGTTTAAAAGTAGTCTTGTTTCTGTATCATTAGGCATGGGAGCTAATTTTAACCCTGGACGAGAGCCAGGGGGCTAAAAGAGTCTCATGACTTTAACCACTACTTCTCTGATATATAATACACTTAGAAAAGGGCAACACCTCAGATTTAGCCAGAGTTTCACAAGACACAGAAAGCTCTGCTCTCACCTGCGAACTGCAGTGCTAGGTCTCGGTACAGTTCTCTACTCATGTTTTGAAACTCAGCCTCTTGCCACACTTTCCCGTCGGGTGTGCGAATCTTGGTCTCTGAAGGGTTGAAACCTGATACACACCAACAAAGATGTTTTAAAAGACTGGTTTCGTTTTTAAGTCAGATATAATTAAAATAACATAAAAATTCACTCTGTTAAATCTTTTTTATTTTTTACATTTTGTGGGGGTTGGGCACATGAATGCCCAAGCATAGCTGAGGAGATCAGAGGGCAAGGAGTTGTTTCTCTCCTCCCCTCTTACGGATCCTGAGGATCACACTCCGGTCATCAGATCAGTCAGCCATCTTACCAGTTCCAAAAGTCACTCAAGTATACAAAATTAGGTGCTTTACAATATGTTTTAAGTTTCATAACTGCTGGGAGAAAAGACCTGTGTTTTGGTTATAGTCAAGCCATCTTAGTTTACAAATTAAATAAAATATTCACCTCTATAGGGCCCAGAAAACAACCCTTATCTCTCCCTGTGAGTTAAGAGTGCCTGTAGACTTGCAGACCCCAGGACCCAGAAGTAATTAGCATTCTCCTTGTTAGTAAACATTTACAGACCCTTAGTATTTCCTTATCTCTTCCTATCAGCTAGGGCTGTCTCCAGACTTGACATTCTAGTCTTTTTGCTGTATAGTGCTACTGAGAAAAATTAAAGTTGGCAGTTGATCAGAATGCAGACTTGCTGTCCGTTTCTTGTGTCTCTTGCCCCTTCGTTTCTCCCCTCCAGGGCCCAGGCTCCCGATTCGTGTCCCGTTGGTTGGGACACATAACTACCACTGAGAAAAGAAACTTTGTCCCTTTTATCAGTCACTACTCCTAAGTCCTGTCCACCTCTGGCAACTACCCATCTACTTCCTATCTTGATGGATTTGCCTATTCTAGATATTTCATATAAATGGAATCATTCAACACTGGTCATTTATGTTTAGCCTGTTTGACTTTGTAATTTTTCAAGGCTCTAGCATCATTTATCAGGCTTTTTAGTGTCAAATGATATTTCACTGAATAGATATGACATTTTACTTAGCCATATACCGACTAATAGTCACATAGGCTATTTCTACTTTCTTCTATGACCAATAATGCTGCTATAAACATTCTTGTCCAAGGTTTTGGGGAAATGCTTTCAGTTACATGTAAGAACCAACTGCTGGGTCATGGTAATGTAACTGTAAGAACTACTAAATTATTTTCTAACAGAGTAGCACAATTCTGTATTCTCACCAGCTGTACAGACAGGTTTAACTTTTCCATATTCTTGTTGATACTATCATCTGTCCTTTTTATTAAAGCCACTCTAACGGATCTATAAGATGGCGTCTTATTGTGGTCTGATGTTTCTGTGATAATTAATGTCATAATTTCTATAATATGTAATTAACTTTGTATTTCCTAAAAGAGGAATACATAATTGCTATTATAGTATATTGATGAATACCAGTTGGAAAAAAGCAGGCTTCAGTGAGATAAACATCATATATTCAGAGACTAGAAATGGAGACTCAAAAAATTAAAGATTCCAAGAATGTCAAACACTAGAAGCTGTGTCTAAACTATACCATATGCATATTTAAGAACAATAAGTATACACTCATTTAAAAAAGCATCAATCAAAATTGTGGGCTTCAGAGACATACACTACCCTTTCTTAGGATGAGAGACAAAGAATACTGAGGAAATTCAGAGAATCATAAGGACACTAAAAGCCTGTATTCCACCAAACTGGAAAATAAAAAAACAGGATATATTTTATAGATACCATTTATCAAAGTTAAATCAAGATCAAATAAGCAATGTAAACAGACTAGAAGCACTAGTGAAATAGGAGCAGTTACTAAAAGGCTGCCAACCAAACAGAGAAGATGGTGTGGGAAAGATTTCCCATGCTTGTGGAGCACTAGGAGTAACATAGTAAAATGATCATCCTACCAAAAACAATCTACAGATTCAATGCAATGCCCCTCAAAATTCCAACACAATTCTTCACAGACTTTGATAGAGCACTTCTCAACTTCATATGGAAACACAAAAATTCAGGATAGCTAAAACAATCCCGAACAATAAAAGAGCTGCTGGGGGTCTCCATCCCTGATTTCAAATTGTATTACAGAGTTATAGTAATAAAAAAATACATGGTATTGGCATAAAAACAGACATGTTAATCAACGGAATCAAACTGAAGACCCAAACATAAATCACTACACTCCTATGAACAATATTTTTTTATACAGAATCCAGAAATAGCTGGGAGGTGGTGGTACACACCTCAGGGGGAAGTGGTGGCACATGCCTCAGGAGGCAAAGGCAGGCAGACCTCTGTGAGTTCGAGGTCAGCCTGGTCTGCAGGACAGCCAAGACTACACAGAAAAACTCTGCCTCATAAAAACAAAACTCAAAAAAAGAAAGAAGGGGGAGGGAGGGAGGGAGGGAGGGAGGGAGGGAGGAAGACAGGCAGGCACACTGGAAAAAAAGACTGCTCTTTAACAAATGGGAGCTGATCAACTGGACATCAGCATGCAGAAGAATACAAATAGATCCATACCTATCACCCTGCACAAACCTCAACTTCAAATGGATCAAAGACCGCAACATAAAACCCAATACACCCAACCCAACAGAAGAGAAAGTGGGGAATAGCCTTGAACTCATTGGCACAGCAGACAGCTTTCTGAACAATCAACAATTAATAAATGGGACCTCGTGAAACTGAAAAGCTTCTATAAGGCAAAGGACATGGTCATTTGGACAAAACAGCAGCCTACAGAATGGGAAAAGATTTTTACCAACTCCACATCCAATAAAGGACTAATATCCCAAATATATAAAGAACAGACGAAAACTAGGTATCAAAAAACAAATAATCCAATTTTAAAATGGGATACATATCTAAACTGAGAATTCTCAATAGAGGAAACTCAAATGGCTGAGAAACACTTAGAGAAATGTTCAACATCCTTAGCCATCAAGGAAATGAAAACCAGAACAACTCTGAGATTGCATTTTACACCTGTCAGAATGGCTAAGATCAATAACACAGTGCCAGCTCATGCTGGCGAGGATGTGACGCGAGGACTCCTCCACGGCTAGTGGAGTCCAAACTTGTGCAGCCACTTTGGAAATCAGCTTGGCACTTTTTCAGGAAGCTGAAGATAACTCTACCTCAAGATCTAGCTGTACCACTCTTGGGCATACACCCAAAGGACTCTTCATCCTTCCACAAGGACACTTGCTCAACCATGTTCACTGTTGCTCTGTTCATAATAGTCATAGTACGTCCTTCAATAGTAGAATGGATTAAGAAAATATGGTACATTTACACAATGGTATATTACTCAGTTGTTTAAAAAAGTGCTATCATGGGGGCTGGAGAGATGGCTCAGTGGTTAAGGACACTGGCTGTTCTTCCAGAAGATCCAGGTTCAATTCCCGGCACCCACATGGCAGCTCACAATTGTCTGTAACTCCAGTTCTGGGGAATCTGACATCCTAATACAAATATATATGCAAGCAAAACACCAATGCACAATAATCAACATTTTTTAAAAATGACATCATGAAATTTGCAGACAAACAGAACTGGAAAAAAATAATACTTCACATGAAGTAACCCAAACCCAGAAAAATAAATACAGTATGTATTCACTTCTATGTGAATATTAACAATTAAATGAATGATAACCAACCTACAATCTGTAGACCCAGAAAGGTTAGGTATACAGAAAGGAAGTAGGGGGGACAAATGGGTCCCTCTGGGAGGAGGAAATAGAATAGATTTTATAGATGGACTGGAGGCAGGTAGGTATAGGAACTGGAGGATCAGGTTTGAAAAGAGAGAGATGAAAGGGTTGAGGGGGGAATGCAGGGAGAGACAACTAGAATTGACAACTAGCATTTGAGGGATGATATGGAAACCTCATGCAGTGGAAACATTCTAAAATCTATGGAGGTGATCTTAATGAAGTCTCCTACTAATGAGGGAGACAGTCCCAACTCACCATCTCTTTTCACTAAACAAGGCTTCCACTACTGAGACTGCGTTGCATCCAAATGAGTTGTTGGCCAATGGGGGTCCCATGGAAATCACCAAACAACCCAGGCTGTTGCTCTCTACAAACGGACAGCAAGGACAACACCCACACAACTTATTGAACAAGAAGTCAAGCTGGTGCCTACATGGAGTCTTCACCCCTGCATTCTAGTGTCTCTGGTGTATAGCAGGCTACCAAAAGAGAAATATAAACACCAATTTGGCCACAAAATCTTTGACCTACAATCTGTCCTGCCTGGAAGGTATGCTAGGGCAACGATAGCAAAGAACTTGTGGGAGTAGCCGACCAATGTCTGGTTTGACTTAAGGCTAACTCCATGAGATGGAAACTATACCCAACACTGCTTGGGTGACCAAGAACCAGAGACTAGATAACCTGGGGACCAAACCAAGCACTACTGGTCTTTGAAAAAAAAAGAAGGAATCAATAAAATGATTCCTAATGGTATTCTAAGCTATACTCATAGATCAGTGCCTTATTCAGTTATATTCAGAGAAGTGTTTCCCTGCAGTAGAGAGGATCAGATGTAAAGACCCATAGCCAGACATTCCTCAGAGCTCAGGGAACTTCACCAACAAGGAGGCAGAAAGAGTGGAAGAACCAGAGGAGATGAACAACACTGGGAGAGCAACTCCCTCTGAATCGACTCAGCAAGGCTCCTATGAACCACACAGACTGAAGCAGCATACACAGATACACAGCGTCTACCGAGTTCTGCACCAGATCCTCTGCATATGTATTATAGTGTCCAGCTTAGTATTTTTATGGGACTCATGAGTCTATGAATGAGTGGATCTCTGATTCTTGTGCTTGCCCTTGGGGCTCATTTCCTTCTGTTGGGTTGCCTCGACCAGCCTCAATGTGATGGAATTTGTTTTATCTTACATTTTATTTTATCATGTTTGGTTGCTATCTCTTAGAAGCCTGCTCTTTTCTAATGAGAGACAGGAAGAAATAGATCTGGAGGGAAGGGGAGATGGAGAGGAACTTGGAGGAATGGAGAGAGGGGAAA